ATACTATTTGTGTAGTCCTTCTGCTTTATATTTAATGATTATAATATTATTATGATAGGGGTGTGTAGGTTCTTGATAGATACACTGATATTCTATCTATTTCTATGGATATTCAAGTCTTAATTCTTCAATTATCTTTGGGATTCTTAGAAATTATTCTTTTTGTTTTTTCTCTGCAAGATGCATTTTATATGATGAGTTATAATATATTATCTAATATATTTTCTAATACAAATTTCCTTCTAATGCTAAATAGTGATAATAAGAATAATTTCTTATATATCTAGTCATTCTATTGCAAAAGCGTTGTTCTTGCTTATATAATATATATTCATACATGTTTGCTAGGGGTACATACATTTGTCTATGTTGTTAGCACACATAATATATCTATTCTTTATAGTGTTTATATTCTTTAATATAATCTTTCTATTTCTTTTAAGATCTCTTCCAGCAAGTTGTGTTTGCTAACGTGCAACTACACTGGTTATTCTCTTGAGACTAAATAATATTATCCCATGCTTCTTTTAGTTTTTTCTCAATAGGGTTTTTGTTTGATTCTTAATATAGATCTTTATGAGTTATTATTATTGGCCTATTGTCCTGCAATGTTAGTTGAGTATAAAACAACTTTTTTAATAGGGATTTTGCTTGAGTATCTTTTATATTAAAGTCTTCTGTATTAATTTCTTCTGAATTAACATCTTTACTATATTCTTCTAATGAGTTTTTTATATTTTTAAGATGATATGCGAGAAATGTCTGGCTGATTGATTCTTCCCCTAAATTGTAAGGTTGGTGTCCCTTTCTTATATTAATGCTAACTTATCTTATTTATTTAATACTTTTTCTAAAACTGAATCTTTTCTATCTTTTATCTTTCTTACTTAGATTACTAAATATTTCTTTTAGTTATTCTGGAGCCTTCTGCTTTTTGGTTTGTTGTATTTATTTTACTTAAATTTATTTATAGTTCATTATTCATTCTAATTATTATTCTTTATCTTTAACTGATTGCTTTAAATCTTTATTAGAATTAATCTTGTTGTTAGCTGTTCCATCAGCTTTGCTATTATTAATTAAAATTAGTAGAATTATTATTGTGATTTGCTCTTTTAAATCTAAAATAACTGGTTTCTAGTTCTTTCTTAGCTTTTAGTATTAATTTACAAAATAATCTAGTTTTTTATAATTAAAATAAGCTTTGTTCTTTTTTAATTTATCTTTTTTTTCTTTGGATAAGATTGTATTTAACTACATTATTATATCTCCATCCTTATCTTTAGTTTATCTTTGATAAATGTTTGTTTTATTTCTTCTGAACTCTTCTTTTTTTATTTATTAGATATAAATAATTAAATCAATCTAGGATACTGCTTCTATTATTGTTTAAAATATTTTAAGTTGTGATATTATTATTGAGATTTAGTTTTTAATATTGTCTTTCAGTTCTTTATAGAACTGATCTCTAAATTCTTGATTATTTTATAATAGTTCTCCTAATATCTATAAGAATTTCAAAATATATTCTCTAACTGAGGTTTATTATTTAATATATTATATTTTATTAACAGCTTCAATTTTCTTATTAATAGTTTCCTATAACTGGTTAAATTTTTCTTTGTAGTACTGATAATTAGAAAATATTGCAATTATCTCAAGATTTCTTTATTCTTTATTGCCATTTATATAGTATTAGTTGATAATATATAAAGCAAATCACTTTATAGCTTCTTTATTGAGGAAGCTTGATGCTACTAATACTTTATCGGACTTATTCATAATTTATTTATTGTTATATATAAAATAGAGTTGTATCTAAGCAAGGTACATCTTAAGGATTCTATATTCTTTTTTAAATAAAGTTACTATTCTAATCTTAACTTCTTAAGATGTATAACTTATTCTTTCTTTATTATTAATCACTGCTTGTTCTAGTTCTTTAATATGTTGTAATAATGCTGCTATATCCCTATTATTAATAGTTGTGATATTCTTATTACTAGTATTAGTAGTTCACGAGTTAGGACTTGAAGTTACTAAAACTAGGATTTAGAATACTATTGTTATTTATCTTTAAGACTTCTCTTTTAACTGAGAGTCTTGAATTATTAGAAACTTTAGTTAGATTACTATTGAGTATAGCTAGGATAGCTATTAATAAATAAAGTTAATAGGCTTCTAAGATTAAAAGATCTCAATAGATGAAAGAAATAAAAATAAGGTTATGAATATCTTAATTGATAGAAGATTATATACTTAAGTTATCACAATTAATTTAAGATAATAAAAGAAAATTAAATATATGGTGAATGAGTATCCTTATATAGCTTTCCTCTATTATAGCCAATATAATAATGGCTCTGTTCGCTCTGTTCTGACCAATATAGTCAATATAGTGATGGCTCTGCTGGCTCTGTTATCCTAACCCTAAGGTTTCGCGGGTAATCCCTTGTTCCGATGTGCATTAGTCTCGTAGTGACTAACCTGATCCATTGGCTGTGACGTTCTGATTCTCTGACATTAACCTATTTAGATTTTTTCTTAATTATATAAGTAATAGTTAATACTAGGATTTAAGAATATTTTCTATAAATCTAATAATAACTTTATAAAGCTATATTATAAAGCTCATATATCTAAGCTTATATAGTTAAATCAAGCTCTTTAGAGCGAGGCATTTTATTAAAATAGATAATTATAGATTTCTATACTAATTACTATGGAATCCAATATTAATATATTTTATCCGGCAGAATCGCTGGCGGTGTGACTAGCGCGTTTTGGGGTGTCCAAATACTTGTGTCCACCCACTGTATGTAGATCGTTTTTTTCTTCTCATTGCTCAATGCTTGTTCATCAGTTCCAACGTCTCGGATCTACTTGCCGGAGCTTTAAGAATAAGCGGCTTGGCGTGAGTCTCTGAGTGGCCAATAATTTATATGTGGATCAGCTATACCGAAGCTGGCATTTTAGCGTCCTAATTTACCGTGGCGGGGTAATTTAAACTGTTCTTATTGGCCCCTTTTGCTTGTCCCCGTAGCAAGTAAGTCGCTCTGCAATGTCCGCTATTTAGAAAGACGTCGCAGACCACGGATTGATTGCTGTTTCCCGGAACTCGTCCATGTTCGACCAATTGCAAAGCTAGGTATACTCAGAGTCAAGTCAGGAAGGCGTACACGAATAACAAATGAAAAGTATAGGTAGACAGTGGGATTACGTGCATATCTCCCTTGTGGATTTCTGATGTTTATTTTTCCGTGTAGAGCGTCTACGCTATCGAGTAAGTTGACTTGATATTGTGTTTTTTTGACGTACTATTTACTACCATCACTCTGTACTATCAACCCAACAAGCAACTCTCTTGGAATTGCGATAGACAATATTTTCATAATGATGATTGAACTAATGAAACTGAAACGGTCACATGTTCTCCATGATGCCTACTCCTGAATGCCACCCACAACTACTAGCTACCACCTCTGTGCCAAATCACAACCCCGATGAGTGAATTTCGTCAATTTATCTGGCCCCGTACTTATTTATTCATTCATGTATGGTTTCGTCAAATGGCTTGGCATAAATTATATTTTCGCTCCTTATAGGTTGGTTTCATTTGAGCAATCGGCATAAAAAAATGTAGTCAAATGGCAGAATTATGCAGTCATTTTGACCTATGAGCCGAGAACACATGAAAAACTATTAATATAATTCATCTACACACGTAACTAATCAAAGTAATTGTGTTTATTCACTAATACATTTGTACTTTATGTACGACTTTCCGGTGGTTTTTTTTTTTCTCTCTTTTATTTTACATCTCCATGGATCCCAATGCGGAATACACATTTAATTAGAAGCCGGAGATAATTTGACTAGCCACTTGACCATCAGTGGCCTCTGCATGGTCTTGGATATTGAATGGCTGGGGCGGCGGCCGAGTACTAGCATGCGCATAGATGATACATACATGGAACAGGGGTTGAGCTTAAAGTGAAGAACGCATTATCACAGTTCTTTTTACCGTTCTTACCGAGGTACCGAAACATAAACTCACTAGCGATGTACCAGGGGAAGAGAATACATGCGAGGAAAGCCAAATGATAGGTTATTGCTGAAAAGCCTCGAAATTAAAGGATGAGCTACCAGGCTTCAATCACTAGGTCCACCCAGTGAACATTCCCAAAATAGTTAGCAAAGGCCTTGTGTGCTTCAGGATTTATAAAATGTATTCTAGGCTCAATTATTGTACACTGAACTACTAATTGCAAAAGATAGAAATTGGTAGGCAAGCAAGCATTTCGGGGAAAGAGATGGTTTGCTACACCAAGCACTCCGCAGTGCCGGCATAATGAGGCTCGCAACACCTGGACTATTCCTAGTGCTATCAATATCATTAGATGCCGGCAGGACGCTAGTAAGCTAACTACGACACTCGAGCAGTCGAGGAGACACGATGTTTGAGGTATCTATTCACATGCAACAGGCGAGAAAGAGCTTTTCACCTGCGTGATTGTCCACTATACTGTTTGATGCTCGCTTCAAGTTGAGATCTTAGACAGCATGCCTGTACTAGAAATATTAACTGCAACAGTTTTGCAGGTTCCATTATTTTTCCGGCGTCTCGACCTATGCATTCGTCGCAGTGAGGTTTGATCAGTGTTTGGGCAGACTTGTGGTGTTGGACAGAGATTAGAGTGTCTTCAAGCAAAAGTTGGATCCCACATGCGAATGGAACTAAAAGCAGCATAACGGAGAGCGAGGATACAGGATCAAGAAGGTATAAATATCAGGTCAAGTTCCTTCTCAAACCTCGTTCTTTTTCCATTAGCATCAACAACCCAGACTCTCTTCATTCTTTACAGCCCTGACTTGACTACTGGCTAGTCTTCATCTTTGGGAACTCATTCGCACTTTGAACAACAATAACTACCGATTTCTTCACTTATTTTCAAGGAAATATTTATTTTCAAGAAAGGAGTTCACCATCTCAATCAAAAATGTATTCCCGAATCATTCTCTCTACTTTGTCGATGATTACTCTAGTTGCTGCTCATGGCAAAGTCTCCGTCCTTACTGGTGATCTCGGTGGTAACGGCACTGCTCTGGGTATCAGAGGCGCAGTTGTCCCCGGAGCTGGTCCCAACTACCTGACCGAAGTGGACACAACTATCTTCTGGTCCAAGGACATCCACACCGACGATGATCTTGGCTATACCGATGAGGCTGGTAACAACCAGCTTAGTGACCTCAGCAAGGCTATGTCTCAGTCTGGCAATACCCTACCGCAGGTTAGCAGTGGTGGCTCTGTTAATGGTACCTACCATATTGTCACCACGGACGGGGCTGGTCCCCTGGAGGCTCTCGTCGACGAGTCTGCCAGCGGCAAGTGGTCTAAGGCCAAGTCTGCTACCGTTACTGTTCAACCCCCTGGCGATGACGGTTACATTGCCGCTCCCAAGGAGAGCGGTACCAGCAATAACAAGCGTAGCCGTGTGTATGGAAAGCTCAGCAAACGTGCCGAGAACGTCAATGAGGACTATGTAAGTCGGTATTCTTAATCCTGTTCTTAATATTCCATCCTCGAGATTCTGTACATCATAGGCTAATACCTTGAGTAGCCTTTCGCCGTTGAGATTCCTTCAGGGACCTCCTGTACTGGCACCATCAATGGTATCAGCAACCTCTGCTTGGTAAAGGTTTCTAATAACAACGACAACGGTCCATTCGGCTCTGTCTTTGCTGTGCAGATGCCCAACTCTACAACTTCTAGTACTTCGAGCTCTGCCAGTGCTGCGGTAAAGAAATGCTGAGCAGACATATCTCACCCTTTTTCTTCCAGGACATGGTTCACGACGGGAAATTGCACAGGTAATCCTAAGGAAGATAGTGCGATGCTGATAGTGCACTGGAATGGCTCACTTTCTGCCGGTCAATTTGATGGTTGTTCCAGTTATCATTTTCACAGGTGACGCGATAAATGTTTGTGAATAGTGATGTACCTAAAAATCTAGAAATAGTTGTCAATACATCTAGGTATGCACTCTTCACTTGTGATGTTTTCTACTTGGAATGTCTGCACCAATTAATTGGCATATTCTTCGTAAGATCTTCAAGAACCATGTGTTACAGTGTGCTGAATAGATAATTTTTTGACAATCACCTGGATATTATTGCCTCTTCTAATCCATCCAATTGTTGAGAAAATATGAACTTCTATGCTTGAAATTTAGACTGTGTAGGATGTACTAAACTGTCAGCGAGAAATCACCTAAAGTGCTTTGCTTCACTGTCTAGGCGTTGATTGATTGTGATGTACATTCCACCTTGTGTTGAGATCCATTGTAGACAAATATTAACGAAGGGCAAAGTAAAATGTTAACACAAATTGTAACAGACCGGTGCAGTTATCGTAGGTGGCTCCGAGGTAACTGTTACCAAAGGTGTTGTTATTGCTGGAGTCGAAGAAGCACAAACGCAACTTGCAACAGAAGTAGCAGGTGGAGCAGTACAGTGTGCGCTTGTTGACCAAGTGAAACATGTGGTTGCGACAGTCTCCTGTAGCGTCTCGGCCTTGATAAGGACGGGGATCACGGCGCCAGTATTAAGACTGAATGATCGGTGACCCAAAACACTCAGCATAGAACCAATCTGGCCTGAGTGGCTTGTCACAGATACGAAGAGATTTTCGTTTTTGTCACTTCCAAGCTCCCTGAACATCTCGTCGAGGACCTTTTTGGACCGAACGGCTTCTGCGTCGCTAGTTTCGCCTGTCACACCATTCCAGAGCTCGTCGTACTCAGTAAATCCGTACTCAATAGTCCAATCTGGAACCAAGTTGTGGATATATGATTCGTTGCTACGACTGTCACATGTGTGGATGCTTATGCCCTCGCGGAGAAGTTCCTTGATCGTAGGCTTGAACTCTGCGCTGGATTGAGGGAAATCGAGTCCGTTGAAAGTGTAGTTGGCTGTCTGGAGACAGCGGGTGAGCGGTGAAGTAAAATACGCATCTGGAGTATGGATGCTTTGCTCGTTGATGAGTTCCTGCCAAAAGTTGTGCGCCGTTTCAGCTTGATCAATTCCAGCGGGAGTGAGGGCTGCGTCACGCCAGGTTGTAGTGCCATTGCCATCAAGTTCGGCCCAGTAACACTGTCGAGTTTCAATGATAATTGTTAGTTGTAGCATCCATACATATAGAAGGGCACTGAGACTTACATTCCATGCCGGAGTACCATAATATGTTTGTGCGGCATTGTGATATCCATCACCATGTCTTCCGAAGAAGAATACCTTGTATTGAACATTGGGAGGGGCTTGTCGGTTTAAACGAATCACCTCCTCATAGAATCTTTGCCATTGTGACATGCCTTTCAAGACACAGCTATCCTCTTCGCCCGGATAAGTGCGGTTGATGAGGCCAAAATTCTCTTCGTACTAGATGACTGACGTTAGCCAAGAATACAGCCGTTTTGAATGCTATACATACGTAAATAAATTCTGTAGCATTTGTAGAGCCTTCATCTTGCAAAAAGTACCCAGTTACAGTGGTATAATTAATATACGAGGCATTGGCGAAGGCTGCAAGGCCAAAGATGGCAACGATTGCGGAAAGCTTCATCCTGGCCGACTTGTAGATCAACAAAAGTTCAACTCTATTGGAACTTTCAGCATTCAAGTTGCTTCAATTAAAGCTTCGTATTAGAACTTGTCATTATTTATATTTCTTCCAGCTTATCTTCCACCCTTTACTGACATAACGCATTTAATTTGTACGTTGCTTCCAATTGGCACCGAAAGAACTTCCACGTGGTTATGTAAAGGTGTTAAAAGGCTGAAACTAAATTCAAATAGGCCTAATGCCATATCGGTGTCCACTGTCAGATCACATTGTGCTTAGCGATTTCATCCTGATTGGTGTACTTGCAGTCGACAAGTAGTAAGCATTAACAACGTAGAGGGTTATCAGAACATAGAAATTACCGATAATCCTTGCTCTGGCATTTTCAGCAATGATCATATATGCGCAGAGATAAAAATACTGAGCACCAGGGCAGCATACAAGGGTTATTCGATTAGGGTTGCTGGGATTAGCCCTCGGTTTATTAATCAGCCGAAATTGCCGATGTCCCTCATTGAGCCCAAGTTTCGAATCTTCGTATTTCTAGTGACACTTTCATCCAGAATTCATCCTCTGTCTCATAATACTTCTAGTAAAGTTACTTCGTTCAAGTCATTTTCAATTGATATGTCGTCTCAGAACCAAGGCCCCCGCCGTATCGGCCAATGGATCTATCTCAAGCCGGAATGCATCGAAGAATACAAGAAGTGTCACGCAGCAGTCTGGCCCAGAGTACTGGAGCAAATTAAAGATTCAAACATAAGAGACTGTATATATTCATCATAGCCTCTCCATCCATCGAGTTGTAAACTTGTTCTAACTCATCAAGATTCGATCTACTTGTCTCTCTCTCCACGACCAACGTTGTTTGCGAGCTTCAAATATGTTGGTGATACCTTTGACAAGGATATGGAGCGCATGGCATCAAATCCTCAAGTTCAAGAATGGTGGCGCATGACAGATTCAATGCAAGAATCTCCGGTTGATGGTGCAATTGGAAGTGCAACTGGACCAGGGTGGTGGGGTAAAACCGAGGAAGTCTTCTATCTGGAGTAGAACCGAGAGACGAGGCAGAGCATGCCTGGTATTCCACTATCAAGGCGAGCTACCTAGATATTCAAACCAAGAAGTTTGTTTCAAGGCATATGTTACCAAAACATTGTTCCAAAGTCACCAATTGAGCTCAATATCCGGGGACAGTATATAGACATGATATAGAATACCTTAGAGACAGACATGTCATATATTTTGTTCTTAGAGAAGTTACGTTTCAGCTACTTGATATCGAGATATCGACTCTTGAGGGCTTGCATCCTGCAGACAGATATTGTTTTTTATTTGTTGCGTCACGAATGTAATCTTACATACACCGTTAAAACTGTAAAGTACGATAATATTAGTAATAATGAGTAGGTCAATGTGGGCGCATAACTTGTGCCATGTAAGTCCCGCTATTACGCGGAGGTTATGTAAGTAGGGGCCTCCTCCATCTAGGAAGTAACCTAGCCCTACTTATCAAAGTACAGTCAAACGTAATCATGGCACCCTCTTGGAAGATAGCCGTTATTCAGCTGTACGTAAAGGCAAGTCTATTTTCTCACTTTTCTGATTACGCTTTTCCAAACGAGAGTGGAGGTTATTCTCCCCCTGAAAACTTGCAAATGCTGGGCCATATGCCGGGCCGTTGGTTCTGGCGGATTTGGAAGAAGCAGAAAAGAATTATTCTATTCGTGCGGATCTGACGGACTCCAAATGGCATTATCGCCATACACGACGGGCGGAGATAGTCTTCAAAGTGAAAGCTATAGACCAAAACAACGATTTTAATCTTTGCTTTGGTTGTGTCATAGATGATGATGTTTTGCTAGGTCTTCCAGGGAAAGTACTTCTCCAGTCTTGGAAAACGAGAGGGGTGAACCAAATAAGGTCATGATGCGTAAGCTACAGTCGATCATAGAGTTATTAGGTGGTAATTGCCCTCACATATAGACACTTGTATTTATTCTTAGCGTTGTGTCTTGTAGACAGTCTTACATTGTTTGACACAATGATTACGAATGTATTTACCTGACAGACGGAAAATTACCAATACAGCAACGAAAATTCATGTCGTCTAGAATGACCGTATATAGGGAGCTACTGTGGACAGCCCTTGACCTACCGGAATTCAGAACAGGGGCGTAGGCGCTTCGATCACCCATCATTTTATTCTATGAATTTGTGATCACTCAGCATTAAATTTCTCAATGAATTAGGGGATGACTTTATTCTTGCCGACTCGCCATTAATACGCTTCAATGGTCACGACTATGGAAGACGCCTATCTTCTCGCCCGGCTTGATATCCATGCTTATATTGTTAAGTGTAGTCACAGTTCCGTGCCTGCTCGGAGAAAAAATGCATTAGTATCTCAAGGCACAGCTCTCGACGAAATATACTTACTTGTATGTCGCTGTAACATTTTGAAGCTTTATACTACCCTTATCCGGCCAAGAGCAGAAGGCGTAATAGTATCTGAAGGAAGGGATTCAAGCGGCATGTCTTCCTCAAACTCCTTGACTCTCTTCACAGAAGTCATAGATGTCTCAATCTCAGTCCAGATTATGATAATATCAGTAATAAGACCGCTCAGGCTGATGAAGTTAGAGAGCGCAACTCCAGCATATCCAGAGCGGATTTTACTTTTCAAGCCAATAATAAGGCCTACGAGGAGAATGATCAATCCGGCCATGATGCAGTCCATCACTAGAGACAGCCATCTCTGAATGACAAATAGGAGATAAAAAGGCCTTTGAGAGCTATCTAGTCGGTCATGGTTTCGTTTGATGAGAAAGAGGCTATCTAAATCGGCCTGAACTGACAGCTGCTACATTTCTGCGACAACCAGATTGGTTTGATAGGCAAGCCCAACAGTTACCAACCTGGTTCTACAAGTATGGGGCTCTTGTAAGGTACGATGAAGATGGGTCCTTGGTTTTCGTTGGCAGGAAAGACACTCAGATGAAGTATCATGGGCAAAGAATAGAACCATCAGATATTGAAGCCAACATTAACCGAGATGTGCGCGTCAAGGACTCCGTGGTGCTGATTCCATCATGAGGATCACTTGCGAATCGCTTGGTGGCTGTCTTATCCATCGAACAGTCTATCTTCGCTGTTTCTGAGGGAGAACCAAACATCATCATCGACCCCGAGATAGTGTATCGTCACACGAGCGATGTACGTTCCTTTACTGAGAAGGAACTTCCACCTTTCATGCGGCCTACCAATTGGCTTCTTATGCCTAAGCTTCCCTTGAATATATCCGGAAAGCTCAATCGAAAGCAACTGCTGGAGTGGGTTGAAGGATTAGAGGACAGCGTCATTCGTATGCCGACGACAGGAACGATTGAAGATGTTGAGATGCCCGACTCAAATGATACCATCTCTAGTTCCTTTCAGAAAGTGATACGGGAGTGCTAAACGAACCGCTTCGCCCCAATCGAGTGACTCAGGCATATATCTCTTGGATGATTATTCTCAGGCTTCCAACCCTGGGCTTCCTTCAAATGTTGATGGAATCTCTACAAAGCGTTTCGAGGCAACAGATGATGTCGGTCGCCCTTCGCAGGAAGATTCGTGGATGAAGAGATCTTTTTCTTCATTGGATGGAACTGAAGCCGACATAATGGATGCTGCTCACAATTATTCCGTTACAAGCAATGACTCATTGGACCATGACCCTACAAATGGTCTAGTTTCAATAGATAGCGTAAAGCCTTTTAGTGCCTTGTATGTTATCTTCACGTCGGGAAGCACAGGAAAACCTAAAGGCGTTGTCATCGGGCACAGCCAGTTCTGTTCGGGTGTTTTGGGGCCTCGCAAGGACGCACTCCAACTCTCCTCAAACCGAATCAGCTACTCGCATGACCTCGGTTGCCCCGACCCAACTATTCTCAGAGTACAATAAACGATAATGTCGTTTTCGGGAATTTGCTCAGCACTCGGACAAGCGTTGATGGACTCGAAGGTATCGACCAAGCGGTAGGCCCATGTCTCAATTTTGCGCCTGTCCGGTTGACATTGGGACAACACAACACAGGTCTCGACCTGCTACGCGCTGTCCAGCAGCAACACGTTACCTCTCTTCCACATGGAGCTATGGGATTCCGTCATATCTTCGAACATTGTACAAACTGGCCAAGAATGGAACGTTTTAGCTCTGTATTACAGTACCAGAATCTCGAGGAGTCAATGTGATGAGATTCATATCGGAGATTCACACTGTACAATCGATGCATATATTCCAGCCACTGATGTTGCCGACGTGTGGGTTTTGGCAACACCAAAATATGGCCATAGTATCTGCGAAGTTAAGCTGCACTACAGTCCATCTAAGATATCTCTTCAACAGGTCGAACCCATACTAGACGAATTTCAATCCTCTCTGCATTCAAGACAAATTCTACAAGTGCACCTTTAAGAGAAATTCTTCAGCTTCGTTCTCCCTCGACCGTCACAATACCCCTGGACTACCATCACAAAAGAGACTCGTCCGGCGATCCAAAAGCCCAGTCTAGAGAAAATTCCGTTGATTTTATCGAAAAGTGCTGGAACCGCGTCTTTGGACCTCTTGCAAACGCAGTCAATGATGATTCCCGCTCTTTACTTCATACGCCATTCTATAATATCTGGGCCGATCCGGTGGGTGCCGTGCAGCTTTCCAGTTTATATCGAAAGTCAGGTGCCGATATCTCACTCGAGGAGATAATGGAGTATCCAACCATATTTCAACAAAGTCTTATCTGGAGTTATAAAATGAAGGACCGCTAATGAGATTCTGTACCTGAGAATTTTCTTTTCGTTTTACTTGGTGCTTTTCCATGATGACCAAGGCGTACCTTGATCATGCTTGATTTCCTCCGGTATTCTTGATTTTCTTACTTTTTGCATCACTGTTCAGAAAACTTTGTATATGTAATTAAAAGTTGTCTCAATTGATTGAATGCAGTGGTTATAGAAACGCCATTCTTTCCTTGCATTCATTTACTGAAAAAGCCACTTTGCTAAGGAATCCCGAGATATCCCACCAAAAATTGTCTTCCTACCGGGTTCTGCCGTACAATGTGTTATGGTAGCATTCTCGAGCGCCTCCGGTTCGTTCTTGTTTTTTGGAAGTTGATTTGTACGGCTCTACTGGCTATTGTGGTTGGTTATCGTTGGGACTTGGCTGTAGCGAACTAAAATCCGCCGTGCAGCAGATCAGATGTCACTCAAGCTAATCACGACCTAGGCAGATTAAGTTGATTAAGAGAAGCCTAGAACTATATTGCCTTACAACCGATCATTGCTTGCTCCGTGTCAGCCTTGAAGGCCGTTCTATATATGTCAGATGATTATCAAGATTGAATGCAGAAATTGCTAATGTAGAGAATGCTATATGATGTTTCACAACTGCTCATAAGTAAAGAGTTAATACTATCTAGTTTACTGGGATCATACCAAGATTTGCCAGCAGAATTGACAGGCAATTGCCGAGATTAACAACATTTTGCGTTGGCGATGGAGAACGCCACGGCTTACCAGTAAGGCCAGTGACTTACCACATAGTTAACCAATTACGTATAACTATTCGTTTAAACTATGTATAGCCAGTCTGTAGTAGGTAACATAAAGATTGACAGTTCTCGACGCAAATTACAATGTGATGCATAGATGGCGGGTTTATTGGCCGGTTCATCACATGCAGCGAATAAAACGTGCGCATTGGCGAAATAAAAGGCAACTACTGCAAAACTATAGCCCACTGATGATTACTATCCACTTGTCAGGATGGACAGCTTTGAATTAGGCTCGCTCCTTTGCAAACGCCTGATGGGCCAAGATTCTTGGTCAAGTCGGCGCGGCTTTATACCACGGTGACAACGTTTCATGACAAGGATCATAGGCTGCGAAAACATGCCGATTCAGTGCCAATTAGCGAAAAGGGGGCTTGTTTTATGTCCAAAACAGGCTAACGATGTTGGTTTAGTGCTCACTCGGTTCCACGAGTGTCAAGCGATGCAACGCAACGTAGGGGCCGGTGTGCATGGACCAATGAGGGCTTTATGACCTTGGAAGCAGTTGGCAGTGTATATAAAGTGAGCTCAGTTAGATGGCCATTACTGAATCAAAAATCCCTATTCCAGATCCTTTTCTTTTTTACTCATAACGGAAACCCTTGATTCATCATGAAGGTTGCCGGATTACTTGCTTTTGGAGCGGCCCTCCAGCAGGCTGCAGCCGTTGGATTCACGACCTACAAACAAATCTACGAAGGGACAGACAATTCCGGGGAAATCTCTTACTCCGAGCCAGACCGTTCCACTACGCTCTTTCTCTACATCCAAATCCTCCCGTATGGCGGAGACCACAGCGACATCATCAGCGACTTCAAGACCCTAGCTCAAAACTATGGTAGCCAGGGAATAGCTGTCATTCCTCGAGTTCGCTATGGCTTTGCCAATGGAACAATCACCACTGAACCATCATCGGACATCCTCTTGCCTGATGTCGCTCTGTTCGCAGGGGTCTTTGGCAACATTACCGATACAATTGACATCCCTGTCCTCCAAGCTGGATTCCTTGGAGAGTGGGGAGAGTGGCATGTAAGGCAGTGCCTTTTTATCTCTTGCCCGCAACGAATGAGACAGCTAAATGACTGATCCAGGATGGACCATATTGCCAAGCTCGTGGCACAGCTGACACGGCCGAAGATCTGGAAATCAAAGGAGAGGTCGTCAAGACTCTTCAAACATCAGGCCTCAAGGTTGCGCTTCGCTACCCTCAGGACCACAGTGCTCTAGTCAACGGCACCCGTGCAGTGACACTCCACGACGATTGCATCTTTGATGGAGGCTTCGGTGGTACCGACGGAGGCACCTGGCCTACCGATGATTACGATTACTGGGTTGCGTACACCAAGGAAGTTGCTTCCAATAACACCTTTGGTGGCGAGGGATGCAATAATGCTGGTGACGCTACTTACGACTGGTCAGATACTTCTGCTTTGTGTGGCAGTGAGGGTTTGGCTGCCTATATCAACTCTTTTGAAATGGCATACTTGAATGTGAGTTCTTCACTTAGACATAAATTTGCGAAACCCGGGAGGATCTCATATACTAATAACCATCAGGACGAGACTCCGGATCCTTTCGAAACAATTTTCTTCGGTGCGGACGATGATGCAACTTACGCCGAGTGCATAGATGCTATCCAGACAGCCCTTGAACAGTGGAGCTAAGCTTATTATTGTTAGAACTGCGGAAAAGTCCATACTTGGGCTTTTCTACGCTGAATATTCACGAAAGATCCATTGGTCAGTTGCCTTCGCACATACAGACAAGGTTCAGTTGATCATGTACATTTGGAGCGAGTGGAAATTAGACAGCAGTAAGGATGCTCTATTGAGATACATAGTGCGAAAAGTTTCAATGTCGTCTGAGATAAATAAAGAAATTACAATAGGAGCGTAATATGCCTCATCTAGGGCTCTACGGCTGACAAAATGCAAATTTTTACAAATCACGTGCAACTTACATTTACGTTGTTAGTTCTCGTTAGTGCCTTATCGCTCCAATTTGTGGGGAATATCGCAGAGGTCTCGTATACATCTACTGCCGGGAGTCTAGGTGTTCGTCAATATATACACCTAGATGCGCGTATCGCTCAAGCCAATTTTATTATGTGCTTTCTCCATTCACAAAGCGGCCTTGATGGCCCCAACTTAGACATTATACGGAAGATTGGCAGAGTTATTCCAGCCAGCAGCCTCAACGTAGTTACCTGTGACGTTCTGCACGGATAACCCCGTCTCCGAAGTCCAATACGCTGCTACCGTTGGTACAGTTGGGATTGAACAAGGGCCAACGGGCTGCAGAGCTGACAGTGCTGGGGACCTTGTTGAAAGAAAGCACATGGTCCTGCATGATTTCAGAGATTTCAATTTCGAGCTCAGGAGACAGGGCCAACGACGTCTGTTCTGTAAGCTCCGAATATCATGAAGAGATCGCTCCAATGGAAAGCGTCGAGCCACGGCACAGCACGAATGTTGGTGAAGTTCCCTAGAAGGTATATGTCAGTATTATAGGTCTATATTCGAAGGAGTTAGTGTACTGATAACATCTGTAGAAGTAGCGAGAGGTGTCGAGACCACCATTGTAATGTAGCACGGTGTACTCGTGGTTGGTGCGGGTCCAGCGCAGTACTCCCCAATCGAGTCGGTCAGATTGCCCTCAGTGAGGGTCTCTGGAGCAGTGATTGATCGAAAATCTGCCTGGCAACCTGGCCGGCCACATAGCGCTCGGTCTAGTAAGAAAAGAGGTACTTTTCATCAGCTATCACAACAGTTAGCAGTCGAGCTTCTTTCTTTCCGCATTGCGCTAAGCCTATCGTGGATTGCGGGGGGGGCTTGCCTCTTTGGGGTTAAGCTCGGATACGGAGACACTATCGCCCGCATTAGTGTGATATCCCCCCATTATGCGCTTTTCTATTACCATTCAACGAAAAATCATCAGATTATGCCGTGACAAGTGAGTAGATAGCCTTATACTACACTTGCTCTGGTATATAATCGATTTTAGCACTAGATTATGTAAAAGTAGGTATTCTTTCCGAGTTCAATTATGTATTGTCTTCGTATTGATGAATATATATATTTTCAGGGTTCGCCTCAATGCATTCCGTCTTAATACGCCAAAAACAACAAATAACAAGACTACAAACTGACCGAAAATGTGAACAATGATGATAATATATATAGGGTCCCAGGCAAGACCCGAGATGGTAGGCTTCCATGCGAGGCCAGAGTTTTTGAGATAGGCATGCTCTTCACCAATAGCCTCGATCAACTACGCAGAGTCGCCCATGGCTTGGATCATTGCGACAGTACCGCCAGCGACAGCCTGGAAAGACTTTTGGACGCTTGTCACTGGATCGGATGACGCGCTCATACCATTTCCAAGCGATGGCTTACCCCAACCTCCACCGCCCGGCGACTTGACGACGATGCGATCACCCACACCCATCATGGCAGTGTTTTTGCCGCCTAGATTGATGGACCGGCCGTTGGCCTTGATCCAGATATTCTCGCCTCTTTTTCCATCGTCACCACCTTCGAGGCCATACGGTGCAAAGGCGCGTCGTTCACTTAGGATTGACACTTGAGTTGGTATTCTAAACTCAATGTCACGGATGATACCATCGCCTCCCGGGTGAGCACCGTTACCACCGCTTCCTTCTCGGAGGCAGAATTGCCTCAATATCACAGGATAGCGCCGTTCGAGGACCTCGGGATCCGTGATCCGTGTGTTGGTCATGTTAGTGTGAACGCCGCTGGTGCCATCCCATGTTGGCCCGCCACCAGCACCACCGCAGATAGTCTCGTAGTAACCAAAGGCCTGCTCGGGATCGTCCGTGCCAAAAGTTAGATTGTTCATACAACCTTGACTTGCTGCAACAGCCTTGAAGGCTTTGAAGATGACATCCACGATGCGCTGTGAGGTGAGAACATTTCCCGCGCAAACAGCTGCCTCTTCTGATGGTCGGAGTAACGAGTTGTCGGGAACGAGAACTTTGATCGGCATGATTGCGCCTTGGTTTAGCGGGATTTCCATGTTGACCATGCAGCGCAGGGCAAAGATAATAGATGAGTTACAGATTGCAATCGGTGCATTCCAATTACCTGTCGGACACAACGTGTTAGATATCGGTATATTTGACCGTATTAGATGTTATTGTATCTTACCATAAGCTTCAGGGCCGGTTCCCTCAAAGTCAAAGGTGGCAGCCCCGGTCTCTTCATCAATGCTGACTTTGAGCTGGATTGGAGTACCATCGTCCATGTAGTCAACGGCTTCAAGCACCTTTCCGCCGTTCATCCGCGCTATTTTTTTCAGCATTTGCCTGACAGCGAGTTCGGCGGCGCCGATAATCTCTTGCACTGCGGATGAATTAGTCTCATTTGTGTGGTTTCGTTTGTTGTTTTGCGGAGCTTACTGTAAAATTGCACTGCTTCAAGGCCATAGTCCTCAATAAGTGCGTGGATAAGTTGACTGCCGCGATGATTCGCCGCGGCCTGTGCCTTTATATCTGAGATGTTATCTCGGAGGCATCGAGTCCCCTGGCACCCTTCGATCTTGCCCGGGGCCATGAGCAACTCTGTGAGCTCTTCTTCTTTAAATATCCCGTTCTCCACGACTTTGAACGATCTGATCACGGCACCCTCTTCCCATAGCTCTTTGGAGTTGGGAGGCATGGAACCAGGGAGGATACCTCCAATCTATACAAATCCAGTTTAATAAGCAAACGTCAGACATGAGCAATGAGTGTATTGGAAATACACTTACATCCGCGTGGTGACCGCGAGACGCGGTCCAGAAAATAATCTTCTCCCCTTTCGCATCAAAAACTGGTGTAATAACTGTCAAGTCCGGCAAGTGAGTGCCACCGCAGACTGGAAGTAGTTACAAACAAATATTAGTTTGATCAGAACATGCCGAGTGAGGAGGATTATTCATACCAGGGGAATTGGATAGGATGATATCACCCGCACGAAGATCGCCTTTCCAATGATCAATCTGCCATTTGACTGCAAAGGCCATACTTCCAATCTGAAGACGTAAACAACTTAGCATGTATATGATTCCATGGTACCGTGGAGAACTTACCATAGCCGGCACATGGGGGGCATTTGCCACGAGCCCACCATCAGGAGAGAATACTGTGCAGGAGAAATCCAGTCGCTCCTTGATATTTGTGCTAACACTGGTCTTCTGTAAAGCGCGACCCATTTGTTCCGCCACACCCATAAATCGGTGTCCAAATATCGACAACTGAATGGGATCAACCTGAGTAACAGAAATCGTTTCCTTCTTGCCGACTTCAACATCAATGATGACATTGTTAGAAAGGACAGTTGCCGTGGACCTAGGTGCAACGACAATGGTTTGCTGGCTGTCCATGATAAGAGCAGGGCCGGCAATCGTAGACCCCGAGTCTAGACCCCCAAGCTCATACATAGGAGCTTGCGTCCAGCCTAGCTCTTTGAAGTAGAGTGCTCTAGTATTCGATGTACTAGAGACAGGTGTTCGGTTGACAGTACCGAGTTCTTGCTTCCATGGCTTCTCCACCTCAACACCACTAGAGCCGATAGATCGGACGCGAAGATCGTCAATAATCACGTCTCTGCCGACAGGCAAGAAGCCAAATTGCTCTTGGTGAGCGCGCTCAAAAGCAGCCAGGAAACTGTCCATTCCATCTGTGTCTTGGATCATCATGGCTGTATCGCTTCCATGGAACCTCATGTTGAGGTACCTCTCCGAGATGATCTTTGACTTGTCAATGCGCTGCCGGAGCAAGGCCTTGACCGACTTTTCCTGCAGTCTGTCCAGCTCTTCAGAGAAAACCGAGAAATTCTCTGCCTTATAGGCCAAGGCGCAGGGGCTACGTTCTTCATGCACGACATCTGCAAGAGCCATGCCATATGCAGAGAGCAGCGATGAGTACTTGTGGATAAGGACACGTGAAATTCCAAGTTTTCTAGCGATTTCGCACGCATGCTGACCCCCAGCACCACCGAATGAAGCTAGATTGTGCAAGCTGGCATCATACCCCTTGGCTTCAGTGAGAGTTCGAATTGGGCGGCACATTGCTTCGTTAGCCACGTCGAGGAATCTAATAAATGCATTAGAAATGGTATTTAGGGCAAATCCGGACTAATAGAAACGTACCCAGCAGCAACTTCTTCTACTGTCAACTTCATTGGTACCTCCTCGTTGATCTTTGCAGTCATTTCCTCGAAGAGCTTCCGGCTGATGTCGATATCCAAAGGAAGATCCTCATTTGGACCGAAGATCTTGGGGAAGTATTCAGGTCGGAGACGGCCCAGGACAAGGTTTGCGTCTGTAACTGTCAGAGGGCCACCTTTCCGGTAACATGCTGGACCAGGATGTGCAGAAGCACTCTCCGGGCCGACTTTTAACATGCCCGCTTCCCAGGTAAGAATGCTGCCACCTCCAGCGGCAACAGTGTTAATGTCTAGCTGGGGACTCTGAACTGTAACTCCGGCAGTGGTGGTCTCAAACACCTGCTCCAGATGACCCGCATACCTAGTGGTTGCCAATCAGTCCTATTAACGTCGGAAGCAAGTTCATGGCACAATATCATACCTAGAGACATCCGTGCTTGTACCTCCCATATCAAATCCGATGACAGGCTTTTTGTCATCCTCCATATATGCAGTGCGCGCATAACCGACGCAACCTCCGGCAGGTCCAGACAGGATAGCGCGTAGACCAGAAAGACCAGAAAACTCAACCAAGCCACCATCACTTTGCATGAACTCGCAGCGACATCCGCTTGTGCTCAAGTCCTCAAAGCCGCTTTCGAATCCTTCGATATATCTCTTGATTTCTGGAGTTAGATAAGCATCCGCGGTGGAAGAATTGCCTCGGGGGACAATCTTTATCGTCGGCGAAAGCTCAGAACTTAGAGAAATATGCGTGAAGCCAATCTCCTCCGCAATTTTGCCCACAGCTAGCTCGTGGTCGCGGAAGGTGTAGCTGTGCATCAAACAGATGGCAATTGAGCGGAAGCCCTTGTCGTAGACTTCCTGAAGAGATTTCCTCGTCGATTCAATATCTTTGATCGATCGTCAGCATAAAATGAATAACGGATTATGGGCCTTGTGACATACTTAGGGGCTGTAACATTCTAACGACTTCGCCCGTGCTGCCTTTGATTAAGGCGGGGTCTGATTCAATGTCGATAGTAACTGGAGTTTTCCTCTCCGTCCATGCTTCGAGGGTTACTCGTTCGTCAACCTCGACTACTTCACTATATAGTACATCAGGCTTATTGATACTTAGATCAAACAGCTTTGGTCTCGACTGATTGCCGATATGGAGTAAATTCTATAACCCAATTAGTACCACGGACTTAGCCAGGCTTCGGGGTTCGCGTCGTGCAATACGATACCTTCATTCCTCGAGTGACGACAAATGCAGTAGGCTCTCCTTTGCGTTCAAGCAGGGCGTTGGTCGCGACAGTTGTTCCCATTTTGATGGATTCTAAACCCTGTTAGAGAGAGTTACTCGGTTAACTAATGCTGGCGCAGGCTGAATCTTACCAACAACGCCCTGTAAGGGAATCTTTCGGCCCTTGGGATACGGCCTTCCTGTAGCCTTCTCCAGAACTCGCCTGATTGCCTCTACTGGAGCATCGCGATAGTTATTTGGATCTACCGACAGTAATTTGACGAGAATGTCATCTTGGCCCGGGACAGATGCCACGCACTAAACACATTGTCAGACACAGATCATGTCTGCTGCATGGGCTGCAGTTGACTTACATCTGTGAATGTGCCTCCGCGGTCAATGGCAATTCGAATTCCGCTTACAGGCGGCAGACCTATAGACCCCATGGTTGCAAAATTGTCGCTGCTGAGACAAGTTTCTGTCGGAGGGTGCGTGAACCGGGCTTGGTGCCGGCGGATAGATATATATATATATATATGTCTACAAGAAGGAGCGATTCGGTCAACCACCACGACGGATTCCCAGGTGATAATAACTTGAGATAAATGACAGCGATAACAACAATGATATTATTCACGTCCACTGTGTTTTCCCCGTGGACTATGAGCGCTACGCCGGGTTCACCGCGGAAGACAACGCCGGCATTTCTGGCTGCCCGCCGAAGACGCGATAAGGCTCGATTCCGGGAGGACAACGCAGCAGCCCGACGCGGATTGGAGCTCCCGGTAAAGCCTCCCGAGGCATTAAGCCAGCCCTACACAGAACGATACGAGTATTCACTTAATTACTTAGATAGTCAACGGTTACCTGTTTACCTAATATTGAAATTCATTGACATTAATTGCTACCCTGATATCTGCTTCTTACTAAACACAGTTCCGGACAGCGTCATCAAGAGCCTTGGCGAAGTAAGCTACGTTGCTCTCGTTTAGCCCAGCGATTGAAATGCGGGAGGTGCTGGCCATGTAGACATGATGTTTTTCTTCCCAGCTGCGTTAGTAACACGATCATGAGTATGAGAGTATATGCAGAGACTTAAACTCACCTTCAAGATACACAACCTGCGCTTCACTTATCCCCGTATAACCAAACATGCCTGTCTGGCGAATGAGATGTGTCCAGCTGCCCGGCGTCTGGAGCTTGAGGAGCTCGTCATAGAGCTTTTGTCTCATTGCCTTTATGCGACTTGACATAGTCACCAAGTCCTTTGACCACTGTTCCTTGAGCGCAGGGGTGCCGAGAACGGTGGCAGCCAGCTTTGCGCCGTAGGCCGGCGGGTTTGAGATTGTGGCTCGCTGCACATTAGCCAGAATGGAAGACATCGTGATGGCAGTCTCAGGCGTGGCGGTCGCAAAAACCGTCAATCCGACTCGTTCTCCGTAAAGGCCCATGTTCTTTGCAAAGGAGAGACAGACGCATGCCTCAAGACCCAAGTCTTCAGTAAAATATCGAATTGCCCATGCATCCTCATCCACAGACCCAGAGTTGAAACCGAGGTAGGCCGAGTCAAATATTGGGAAAACACCATTTGTTTTAATGATAGATGCAATCTTCTTCCACTGATCGTGTGACGGGTCGCATCCAGTTGGATTGTGCGCACAGGCATGCAAGACCACAGCAGACTTGGAATCTGCTTCTTGCAGTGTGTTGATATAGCCGTCGAAGTCGAAAGAGCCGTCTTTATAATATGGCAGCTTCTTTACCTCGAATCCCAACCGACTGAAGAGCAAATCATGATTGGACCACGTTGGCTCCGTGATATACACAGTGGTGATGCCTGAATTGGCCTGCTTTAAGGCCAATCCTGCAAGCAGCAATGCCCCCGTCCCTGACAGTGACTGGCAAGATGCGATCTAAGGGAAACAAGTCAATTTTCTGTTTACTGTCTCAAGCCTTGACGTACCCACCCTCTTCTCACTCAACGCCTTGCTCCCTTCAAATGCTACTTTCACTGCCTCATCCCGAAACTGCTGCAATCCCGCAATGGGCAGGTATTCGTGAAAGCCCTCGCCGAGCTGTACTTTGGCCTCGCGAACAGAAGGAAGAACCCAGGGGTTGCCTTTTTCATCGCGATATGTACCTTGGCCAAGGTTGACTTTGTTTGGGTCCGGGTCCGCCACATATCTCTTTGTCACTTCGAAAATGGCATCTGGAGGAATGTATTCAGCCCTCGCAAACGCGGACATTGGTGGTATAGAACCCATGGCTTGCAATTCTTTTTGTTCAACCGGTTTTTCGTCAATGTTTCGCATACAAGATTTCCTGAGAAGTATGACAATTGCTTGTACTTAGTACTTAGTAATGCAAGGCTTCGAGTCGCAGATAAGACATCCAAAAATTCGGGTAATTTCGGCAACTCCTGAAGATGCCGAATAACCCTAACCGCCACCTCCACCACCACCTCCACCGTCAACCCTAACAATTAAATCATAAATCAAGTACTTGGCCACTAATTTTTGATTTCAAGACTTCTCAAAAATCCTTTGACCGCTAATAAACATAGCCATGGCACCCCCTGTCCCTCCCCGCGGTGTGTACGCCCCCGTTGTGGCTTTTTTCCACGAGGACGAGACTCTAGATCTCGAAGCGCTCAAGGCTCATGTTACACGTCTTGCCAAGTCTGGAGTGGCCGGACTGGTGATTCAAGGCTCCAACGGCGAAGCTCCTCACTTGCTGCATTCAGAGCGGCAGGCGGTCATCGCGACAGCTCTGGAAACGCTTAAACAATACGGAAAGCCTGGGAGCGTTATCATCGCTGGCTGCGGAGCTCAGAGCACTCGAGAAACCCTCCAGCTTTGTCGGGAAGCCCAGGAAGCTGGTGCACACTACGCTCTCGTGTTGAGCCCGAGTTACTGGGGTGAGTTCAATTCTTTGGATTTATTGAGCCCGCCATACTGACTTGTTGGGTATAGTCGGAGCAATGCAGCAGCCGACCATTAAGAAATTCTTCAATGATGTCGCAGCTGAGTCGCCCATACCAGTTCTGATCTATAATTTCCCGGGGGTCACGTCTGGAATTGATATTGACTCGGACATGATTGCGGATCTTGCAGCTACCAACCCGGGAAAGATTGTGGGATGCAAACTCACCTGCGGAAATCTTGGAAAGCTACACCGTGTAGCCCATGATAAAAGAATCGTGGGACCATTTGCAGCCTTTGCTGGAAAATCAGACTTTTTCCTGCATGGGTTGGTCGGAGGATCCAATGGCGTTATCGCAGCCGCTGCCAATCTAGTGCCCAAGGTTCACGTGAAGCTATTGGAACTCTATGATCAAGGCAAACTTGCAGAGGCCCAGGAGCTTCAAACTTATCTTAGCGAGGCCGACTGGGTTTTGGTGAGGTTAGGTGTTTCCGGTCTGAAAGGCGCTCTCGATAAATACTACGGTTATGGTGGTGGCAGGAGTAGGCGGCCGCTAGGGTCTGTACAGGCCAGCGCATTTGACGGCGAGAAGGGTGATGTTCTTAAGCGTATTGTGGAATATGAAAATTCCCTGTGAGGTTCTTCAATGATCTGATAGTATAATACCATCATTAAAGTTTTGTCGGAACAGTGAATGTATCATGATGTTTTTGTATGAAAAGGGTGTCCTAAAAGTGATGTGATGAATGTCAGTGATGAGAGTAATTGCTCCGAACACGTAACATCGTGAATAAGATAGACTATACACATAAACACATACAATGCCGTGAGGACAATTTCTTCCGCCTTATAATAAGCCTTGTACTTCTCTGCTAGACCAGAGCGCCAATTCTGTCGGTGAATTTCCGAAATCTATCCTCAGCAGCAGCTTCTTTGGCATATTTGTCAGCTTTAGTGTTCCACTCTCTCTTGATACGCCAGAACTGAACAGCCATCCCATTGCCGTACCAATACTCTATTTCTCCCAGCAGACACTTCCCAAGGTTGTGGTACTTGACTGATGCTCCCACACTCGTCTTCCAGCCGTTCCGTAGCGACACATGAATCCAGGCTGTTATACCCTCAGCGACATATTCCGAATCAGTGGCAATGACTAGGCTTCTGCATCCTTTTCCAGGCCAGTATCTGATTCTCAAAGCTGCAATAACTGCGCGGGGTTCTGCACGATCGTTTGCCTGAGGATGCTCTTCGCCGGTTGGTCCCTCGGTTTCGAGAGGAAACCGTGTCGAGCCACAGACTAGGGGGTTTGACCAAGGATGGTCTCAAAACAAATGAGCAACCGGCTCTTGGTTTCGATCCACCTTTGTCCAAACATGCACCATCGGCGTAGATTAGAATTGGGTCAGTTCATTGAATGAACCGTGGTATTTCCCCACGCCCGGTAAAAAGGGGACTGCGGCGTATTATTTGCATTGGGAGGAGGAAACTTTGCTGGAATGACTCGTCCCGTGCCGACCCTGCGAGCCATAAGCACTGTGTAGCTATAAGGGTAGAGGTCGTCTTCTTCATGCTTGTGCAAGTGGCTAGTCGGAGGCCCAACGGTGTAGTCTAGATGGAAAGCCATGTTAGATTAGCGCCACGAGACAGGAGGCGAGGGTCGAGTTGAAGATTTCGAGACATAGCTCACAACTAGTGACAGTCAGGAGATCGAAGAAGTTTCTCTTGTCTTACAGTGTTAAGGTTATGAAGGAGTGTCAGTCGTGGAAGTCTTGTTGGGGTTCAAGGCGCATGGTAAAGAAGGTAGGAGCTACACGGGGAAGGAGCCTCTACACCACCTGTCAGCGTCACCTAACTACGTGAGGTATCTCGACAAAGCAAGAAAATTCCTGGCTCTTACTCGGATTGAACACGAGTTGGTCTCTGAAGCTAAGATAATGATTGATTGCTCAAACATCATTCGAATCACAGGAGATGGAGAAGAAGAAGACTGTATAAGACAGTTTGCCTACACTTTGCTCTACGCGTAGAAAACCACCCAACAACCATAACCTGTAAGTCTGCCTTCGTCGACTCTATTTTCCGCCATTGCCACTGGGTGGTGTGTATGTAGACTGGCCGTTGCCGCTGTTGTAGTACGTGCTACCGTTGGAGTTGCTGTAATAGTACGAGCCATTCCTAATCACGCTCCCGTTAGTTGCTAAACCATCTTATCGACAAGCGTAAACTCGGCAATGAACGGATAGAGTTATACCCACGAGTTAGAATAGTGGTACGAGTTGGAGTTGGCTGCACCGCTTCCATAGTCGCGAGCACAATAGTGGTTGCCCTGGCAGAGCATTCAAGGTCAGCAAGGAATGCCGTGTCGTGGGACCTATGGGCTATCTATTTACCTGGCTGTTCGTGCCGGAGCTCTTGTAAGTGTGGCTGTCAGGCATATTGAGAGTTTTGGTTGTTCGCCGTGGTGACTGAGATGGATCTGGGATGTGTCTGAGATGTGTAGTTGTGGTGAGGGGAACGGAAAGGAGACGCGGGTGGGATAGAATGGAGAGAGAGAAAGAGACTAAGAGCAGAAGCTGTCTCACTCGTTGCTTTGTTTAGGCGTACGTGCATAAAGAGACGTCATTCTGATTGGTTGATAAGTTCGAGCGCAAAGCCGCGTGTACTACCTAAGCCAATCGGAAGCGAGCCGAGCGTATACTTTCTGAAGGCCGTATTTCATTGGTGCAATGTGAAGAGATAGGACGCCTGGGGGTATGTACCTTGGACATAGGAATGGAAGAGATCATACAATGCTTTGATTCCCCAACGAGAAACCTCCTTTTTCCTGAGACGAGCTTGGATCCATTCATGAGTCAGTGGGTGTGATGCGGTCCTTGTTAGTTTTATAAACATTCCATTCTGCTTCGACAGTTCTAACGCCATGAGCTCAAAAGTAGGGAAAGATCTTAAAAGCTGTTGTCTAGGATTGATACAGACTGGCTTTTCCCGCTTGCCAAAAGAAAAAGATGTCGACCACAAGCTTCTTCCTCACCAAGGATCAATTGAAGAGCATATTCGTTTATCAAAACTCAGCCAAGAAGTGATGCTGCGGTTGATTGAAGACAAGCGCATTCAAGGTGCTGCGACTCCCGCTCTTGTTCATCCGGATTTCCACATGAGGAATATATTTGTGTCAGCGGAGGAACCAACTTCTATTACCGGTTTCATTGACTGGCAATCGACAAACATTGAGCCTGCATTTATTTATGCAAACGAGACACCTGATTTTGCTGCACTTCCCAATGAGCTGGAGGAAGATGCATCTGAGGAAGGACAAAGCGGAGTTTGTACACGTGAATCACGAGAATGGAAGGACGCATTAATCTGTCATCAGACATACGACGTGTGCATGAAGGGACTCACTCCGAAATTGCGTCCGGCAAGATTGCTTGACCCAACTTTATTTCGACTCTTCCACTACTACCATACAACATGGAGAGATAGTGCAGCAGCAGTACGCCAAGAGCTTTTTGAGCTTTCTAATCACTGGAAAGAAGTTGAGCTACAAGGGTTTTGTCCATTCTCCCCAACGAAGGAAGAATTGACAAGACATGCCCAAGATTATGAAGATTTTGAGACTGTTCAAAAGCTCAAACTATGGCTCAAAAACTCTCTGCATACAAACTCGGATGGGTGGATCCCAAACGATACATGGGAGTGGCGAGAGATGCACACCGCGCAGCCTACGATGAATGGATACAGACAGCTAAGGAATCTGAGTCTCGTGGCGAAAGTATGACAGTAGCAAAAGCGGATAAATTGTGGCCATTCGATGCTAGATAAAAGGCATCGCATCAAGAATTCTACGCGGATACTATCCTAACCACTTGGACCATCTACTCAAATCATGTTTTGGAGGTCTGCTGGTTGCTACAAACGTCGCTTTCCCTTTTGCTGAGACTTGGATGGCTCATCCGTTGTATATCCAACGTTTTGCTCCTGGGGTAGATGCTTGCCAGATAACAGACACCTCCGGTTTACTCCGGTAGTAGGGGCTGTTGACTGTAAAGACTCGGTGTCAAAATATCCATCACTTGGTTGCATTTCTCTTACATCTCAGGAGTCGCAGTGCTAAAAAGAATTTCAGCCTCTCCTACGTTCCTTGGTTAGCTTTCCTGTTAGCTTGCATAGAGCTAGTCTAGGGTTTACCTCCAACCACCGAAACACGTCGGGCATCATTGAATAGTCTCTATATTTTTGTCATATTTTTGTCGGTTCGAGATATTCTGTGACTGTCGATATAAGTTTTCATTGGACTTTGACAATGTAAAGGCTTGTGGTCTGGTCAATCACAGCCTGCCACGTTGTCGGGGTAAGGGCAGAGATGGCTAATGTTTATCTCGACACGCAAGTTATGATATCAAAACCTGGCTTGCCATTTTTTTTTTGTTTTTCCCCCCATTTTTCCCAAATTGTGATGCTTGATAAAAAGAACGAACTGCCATGTGAAAGCAATATTCAATCGGACAATTATCAACTGCAAGTAGAGCGGTGTGTGATATCACATCCCGAAATACGAGTTGGTTTCATGTTTCTCATATCAGATCTTGCAAGCATCCACCTGAGGGCTTAGAATTGAAACCGAACCGTCAACAGCAGTGGGACTCAATTAATTAGTGCTGGAATTACCGGAGACCACGACAAGGATTTGTGCAGCGTTCAGTAACTAGGATAAATGACGGGAGGCATCATTTGAAACACACTAGTGAAGAACTATGCGCCCTCACCAGATTAAACGAGGTATGAATAGCTAGGTCTATGATCTGGTGGCGTTTTTAGAAACCGCCGATATTCCTAATCATTTCACTTAACGAATAGCCTGAGTCTGGCGCCAAAATGTGACGTCAAACCGAAACGATGCCAAATTAAATTCTAGTTTAGCTTTGATCGATCTAGAACTTGTCATAAAGCCTCGTTCGTATACTATACAGTAGTCAACTTTTGGATTAAGCATAAAACAAGCATAGTTAAGCGAAGTACTCGGATTAGTACACAGAGCCAAGTAGTTAGTGAGGATATTCGCTTAATCATGAACTTGTTGAAATCGGTGAATAGTTCTCATTTGTGCATTATACGAAGTGCGCGTTTCAAAAAGCCCCTAAATGAAGCCACAACTGACAACAGGGCCTGCCTTTTTGAGGGAACTGCTTGAAGACTGCCCAGAATAACTATATAATCTCTAGTTGCCAGCTCACATTTCAATCAAACAAGATATCAAATAACCAACTTCTGTCATTCATTTCACCGAGAAAAGTAGCTACTGGTGCAGGTACACCATCGATATATCGATTCAGAAAATGTTCCGTCTCGCCCCAATCCTTAGTCTGTTGGCTGTGCCAGCAGCTGCCCAGCATGGCTACTATTTCGTTCTTGGCACTGGTATGCCTGTGACTATTGAGCGACTCGACCCTCTTCTGAGCGACGGGAAGACGCCATCCCAGCATGTCCATAGTGTTGTAGGGGGCAATGGCTTTGCAGCCACAATGGACTATGCGCAAACCCAGACATCCAATTGCTCTACTGTGCAGCCCATTGCAGATAAATCCAACTATGTGCGTGCTTTTCTAACAGGAAGTAAACGGGATCTTTGGGCTGACTGTTACTGATCTGAGTACTATCAGTGGATGCCAATCCTCTATTTCCAGGACCCCAACAATGGATCTTTCATCCGCGTCCCTGAGCAACCGTATCATAAGATTTACTGTATGCTGTGCTGTCTATCTCTCTCAAATCGTTGACTTTGCTGAATAATAGCTCTATTAGACAAGTACGGCACTTCCTCGAACACATATGATACAAGCATTCAGGAATTTCCCCAGGAATTCCGTATGATTGGTGGTGATGCGACACTGCGTGCTGAGAACGACACCCTCATGGGTCCATATGGAAGTGGCTTGGAATGGTTTTGCCATGGCAATGGAACAACGGAGTTCCCTGACATCTCAGCTGTGGGCTTCCCGACAGGATTTACAGCTTGTCCAAATGGATTTGCTGCGTCCATTACGTTGCCATCATGTTGGAATGGGGATGACTTCAACCCTTCAAATCCTTCTGCTCACATGGCATACCCGACTGCCGACGGTATTGACGGCTGTCCTGAAACACACCGAGTTGCCCGCTTCCCACAGATATTTGTTGAGTACTGGCTCAACATCGATACATTTGACGGTCTGTACACGGCCGACGACAGTCCATTTGTCTTGACTATGGGAGACGCGACTGGCTATGGATTTCATGTTGATTTCATCAATGGTTGGGAATCTGGTGCCTTGAATGCCACCATGCCAACTTGCACACCTGGCAATACTGGCAACCCGCCATTATCAGACCCGACCTGTTTTGGAAACCACGGAGGCATCTACACGGACGATGAAATCGCGGACTGTTTGCTGCAACCAACCACAACTGAGGCGACCGGTTGGACGTATCCTGAGATTGACAACCCCCAGGGTGGTGCTTTGACGCACGGAGGAGTTCTTTCAGCACTTCCTGGCTGTCAGACCATCACCAAGGGGCCAGACAGAGCGGTGTTGACGACTTGCAACGAGACGTCTCCTACTACTGAGGGAGAGGTTGTACAGACAGACGAGGTGGGAGTGTGCAATTTCGACTAAATCACGAATAACTGCTACCATTATTCACTACATAATTTCATAATCATGTACAAACAAGATTGCTATTTCTTCAATGGATCAACTAAAGTAATACGTTATATAGCTGGCGTCACCCATCTCTTTAGGGTTTTTCAGCTGAAACTAGGCCGGGCTCCGCGGACTCGCCGGGATAGTACTCCTTCTCAGTCTTCCGTACGAATGAAGTATATGTTGGAGGCTTAGAGGAAGAGGCTTTTTTGGAACAGCCGAAGACATTCGTTGAACGACTGGGGAGCCAGGCTCGTCACTGATTGTTCACGGCTTCCGAGGTTGCCGGCTTGTATTGCCAGGTGAGAGCTGCGTTCGATGATAAATACTGATGTGTTTGATTGGTTGGACAACGTCTTGTATCTTTCGTATGAAGAAAAAAAGACGGAAGAAAAGCAATATGCGAGTATCTTCGTTTTAGGGTTACACTGGGTTAGCCCTAACCTAGATTGATTCCGGTCGGTCGCACTCCGGACTGCTCCCCTCAACACATCATAACTGCAATGAACTTTGTTGCTCCTGCATCGCTCGCAAAGTAGCTTTGTTCTGCACGTATCCCCGGCGTAACCCGCCTTCGCCGGACGGCATACTGAAGTAGAAACCGCTACCAGCTGCTTTTGAGAAAGTGCCAAGAGCGTATGTCATTTGTGAAATGACAATTCTTTGAGAGCGTGTAGTTGTTTGTTGATAGGGACAGACCATCACCTGGTAAAGATCTATTGATACTCAACTACTCTGTACGAAAGATATATCTGTATAGTGGCTAGCTCCAGCATCCACCATAGGAAACCGCTTGTGGTCGATAGATATGTTGATATTTTCATGAAAGTAACTGTGCCATCATCTTTTCTTTTTCCGGAAGAGAAACAGCACGAGAGATGTGCTCGGAGTTACGGATAGAAGAGCACCGACATGGATTTCAGTCTCTCAAGATAAGGAAAAAGAAGTCTACTCCTCTTATCTTGACTCTTAATTAACCTCGCCCCGCAAATTGCGCTTGTGTTTTGCGTTCGTCTTCTTTCTTCGACCAAACCACGCCGAAACTCTTCAACATGACTAAAGTGACCGGGCATAAATGAACACATCGGCAATGTAGAAAAGCCAATAAGAGAACGACTCTATCACTCATGGGGGGGAAGTCGTCGAGTAGGTCTAGTTTTGAAGCCGATCCTTCGACGGCCAAGAAGCGCAGCATTGGTTATCTGAGATAGTATCGGAATAGTAACCGAGATAAGAGAGTATCCTCATACACCGGGATATGCCGCGCTGCTCCAAACTGTATGAGGAGAGAGGGGCAACAGCACTCCTCAAACGCAGTATTCATTCTCTTTTATTTTTTATTTTATTTTATTTTTTTTTTTTTTTGAGATAGCTACCTTGAACCCCTCCCCTACTGCTGATTGTTGAGGTTTTTGAGCCTAGAAGGGCGACATCGGGCCCTCTACCTTGAGACAATCAAACGACGGACACGACTACGTCCCATATAGCTCCAAATGGCAGAGCATCGCCTTCTTAAACGACCATACCGATCGAAGCAGAACCGACCCTGCGATCTTTGCCGCTCTAGAAAGGTGCATTGTCACATTGAAGGTGCCCTTCCATGCTCGCTCTGTGCTAAGTATGATATGAACTGCACTTTCATTATGGGTCCGGTGAAGAAGCACCGCCGGTCCACAAGCCTTGACGCTCCAGCAGCACTCAACTTGGAAGACGAGGAGTCCCCCGGCCGAGGCAACGCCGATATCATTAGTCTGGCCATAGACGGCAACTTACCGTTACAATCTGTGATGGATCCTCAAAGGAGTCATAATTTGCAAAGATCTCCAGATCGCCCTTTTTTCGCCGGACAAACTATACTTGACGGTCATTTGGAATCGAATCATATGTTTGACTTCGGAATGTTTCAGTTTAGTACGCCTTCGTTCAGTGGTGCAATAAACGCGCAAGACTCGAGCATATTGTTATACGAAACACCTCGCCGTGACGAAGAGGTCGATACGCGTGATAACACGGTGGTTGATCTACACCTTGCAAGATCCCCCGACAGCAGAGCTTCCTCCAATGTCAATTCTATTGACCACAAGCATGGCGTCCATGGGGTATATTTTGGACTATCCGGAGATACGGATCCTTACCTTCTTAGACATCTACCGTACGATGAGAGGGGCGAATTCAAAATGTTCAAACTTGTCTATCGTCGACTAGGAAACGGTATTAATCACAATACAAGGTCCTCGATATTAAGGCAGTCCTCGACTATCAGTGCTCCGCATCAAGAGCCACATTTTGCTCGGTGCAACTTTGCGGAAAGTCCAGCGCCGGCCTACTTCATGATAGCTGCGGATGAGTTGGGCGACTGTGGCAAAGAAGATACCGCTGTGCGCAAAGATGTGACCCCGGAAACTGTTAGAATGGAACTAGATCGTCTCATTCTACCAGAAGATGGAAGACGGTTATTCGGCCTGTTAGTAGATTTCGCTCTAGCTCATCTGTCATGCACGAATCTAACAAAGAAGAGTAGATTTTACAAATATGTTTTTCCAGCTTTCCCAGTCATTTCTCGATCCCAGCTGAACATTGGATCCTTCCCTTCGCATTCCTTGCCCTCAACAGCAGTTATATCAAAGGTCCCCACCCACCTATTAGCTGCGATATATGCCACCGCGCTTCCATTCTGGCATTACGACGATCATCTCTGTGTCATGAAAGCTTACAAGAGGCCATCCGCAAATCAAATATGGAGAATAGTATACGAGGAGATACTTCGTGACATCCACACACCTCGCTTGTCTGTCCTACAAGCATGTTTATTATACCTGCAGAAACAACGTGCGCCCCAAGATAGTGCTGCAGCGGATACTCCTTTTACCTGGTCCTTTCTCGCATGGACTGTTGGCCTTGCGACCTCTTTAGGCTTGCACGTTGATTGTACTAGTTGGGATATACCAGCATGGGAAAAGCGTCTTAGAAGAAGGCTGTGGTGGGCTGTTTATTCCGAGGAGAAGTTCAGGAGTTTGCTTATTGGTCAACCTACAATCATCAGGAGGGATCAATGGGATGTCAGCGATCTAAAAGATGAAGACTTTTGCTTGGATACATCTCCAGAAGAAGCTTCAAATACGGAATCACTACCTGAGCAAGGAAAAGTTGTAGCCGATGCCGGGCTGCATTCTAGATACCTCGCAGCACTAGCCCAGATTGTCGACGACTTATATCAATCTCTTTTGTGTGTACAGTACGAGTTGCTTCTGTTCTACAAGGCGGATTGACTAACACTGTGTTCTTGATCTCAGCACTTTACAAGCAACCCGACTCATGTCTTCAGACTTTCTTCTTTGTTCAAAAACAGTTAAAAATTTACGGATGCGGCTCGGGGCCTGGCATTCGTCACTCCCAAGCAGTCTTCGAGTGCAAAGCCCTTCCAACCCAAATCTAGACTCAAATGTTTCCCTCAATTTGGCTTATATAACATTAGAAATCCTCCTTCACCGCGCTCTTCTGCGAGAGGTACGCCAGCCTGAATACCATCGAAACGGCACCCAGACTGTCAATCTACCCGACCACATTCTGCCAACCACTGATGAGCAGTTGTCGGCTATTGAAAGAGCATTTGTCGAAGCTATGAACTCTGCAAAACTGGCTATTGAGTTTACTGGTGACATGACCTCCCGTGACTTCTCTGGGTTTTGGCACTCATGTACGTTTCCATCTATGTCATCTATCTTATGCTAAAGTATAACTATTATCGAAGATCTTACTAATTACACTATAGGGTCACGAATCTGCTTTTCGACTATATCGAACTTCGTCATGCTACTTATGGTAAAAGCCCCCTCGCGTGAATATGCAACTACTGCAAGATCTGTAGCGGATAAATGGCGAGAGACTCTTAGGTTTCAAAGTAGAAGCTGCGAACAGATGAACATGGGCATGTTAAGACTGGACGCTATCTATTGGACTGGCATTGACAACCTGTTTCCACATGAGTAGTAGTCAACATTTTCGAAGTAAAAATACATTTTGCAACAATCACTTTTTGGATCTTTTGTTTCTCAGGGGGTCTCTGAAATTCTCGAAGTGACCATTTATTATAGTTGTTCTTTCTTCGCTCTTAGTTGATCATAACGCAGTATAGCACCCAGCAGTACTTGAGTCCCGTTTGCGCAGTCCTCTGGACTACAGTACTCCGCTGGGTTGTGACTTATCCCATCTTTACATGGGACGAATATCCTACAGAACCATGGTTAGGGAAATAAGTTGCTATTCACAAACTTGTCAACTTACATTGCTGTTGGAGCGCGTATCGACACATTAACACTGGCGGAATGTTAACTTTAAGTTCTCCACGGAGTAAAAATCTCTTTCCCCGTACCTATCGTGTCCAGCACCAGATGTCATCCTTAGTACCTGATCGTCAGATCTCGCATCAAGTATGTTATTTGCACTCTCCTCCACACATGCTATACAGTCTGCATGGAATTTGACCGAGGGAGAGTCGGCATCTGTTACCCACTCCACGCTACATCCTTTACCTCTCGTACCAAGCGCGTTAACACCACCGATATCTTCACCAGCTGCAATCTTGGCGAAGTCGCTTTTCAGTGAGTCTTCAAGTGCCCTGAGCTTTTGGTCTTCTTTAGAACTCATGTCGAGTGAAAACCGAACCACCCCCGGTACTGTATTCGTTGATCCTGGTTCCAGGGTCAAGATTCCCGTCGACGCTAGGCAACCTAACTCTGTGGCCTTGTTGTGGCTATGCAGTATCAACTTCGCCGCTGTTAGCAAAGCATCAGATCGGCTTTGGAAATCTGTCGTCCCGGTATGGCAATCTCTTCCCGTCACGGTGATGGTATACCATCTATATGCCTGAACACCCTCCACCACGCCAATTCTAGCCTTCGAACTCTCAAGGATTTGACCTTGTTCAATATGAAGCTCGAAATGAGCGCCTATTGGGTTTGTTTTGTGACTTGCCCTCACAGATCCGTGGTATCCGATTCGTTCTAGTTCACTTTTTTGGGTTGCTGTGCCGCCGCTGACTTCACCGAGACTATGTGCTCTTTCAAGGGGAATAAGGCCCGCCCATACTCCTGAAGCGACCATAAGTTGTGGAAAACGGGCTCCCTCTTCGTTCGTCCAGTTGATTACTCTGTTATTCAACACGTGAGTGCCTACAACTTCTTTTGTCGTTACGTGAAGGACAACGGGAGGATCTGGAAGCCCTACCCTGTGCTGAATTCCGTCTCGATATCGTGATCATTCATAGTCTTCAGGGCCTCTATACCGGCATGTATTCCGAGAATTCCTGCTTAGTTAGCTTCAATTTCAAAAGTGGTTATGTTACAAACAGAAACTCTCTTACCATCATATCGTCCACCCGTTGGCTTATTTTTTGCCTGTTAACAGCTTTCCTTATGCATTCAGAGACTCCCCTGCTCACCTGGGTATCTAGATGACTTCCTAAATATAATTATCAGTATCTTCTCTATGTGAGAACAAGGCTATTTGTTTGCATACCGGCATAGGTAGGGGGGCCAGGCTTTCTCCCAGGTCTTACGGCAAAAATATTCCCTGAGTTCAGTTAGGACTTCTCCTAGCAGCAAAAAAAAGAAAAAAAAATTAAAAAAAAAAAGAGAAGAAACGAATGAGGAGAGAGTCAAAGTATGCTTGTTAGCCACACACCCATTTCATCCACGCTGACATGGCATCCCAGGCCTTTGGTTGTCTCGACAAACCAGTCGCGAACTTGTTTGTCTGCGTCTGACAATGCAAGACGAGACATTCCAACGTCTGTTTCACCTCTGATATAGATTAGCAGGTGGAGTTAGACTACTACTTGGCCTTTCCAGTCACCTACTTCCCCCATCTCTGGCCCTGTCCCCATTGACAAGTCTCATGAAGAGTATTCCATAGCCTTTCCGGATTGATTTTAACAGTCGCGAGCTCATCAACCGTTAGTTGCGTACTTAACTTTACACCTCTTCTTGCAGTGGTAGATAACAGTCTGGAATATTGATGTGCTCGCAACGAATTGATCACTGCTGAACCGAATCGAAAGAAGAATAGTTTCTGGAGTGCGACATGGGCCATTGGGGAATATCAAGGCGGATCTGGCTTAGCAAAAAGAACTACTACAAGCTGTTAATGATAGCAATATCAAGCCAGTGTTCAAGTTTTACACTCTCCTTTTCATTACTCTGTTATAAGGCCATCTATACCCAAGCATATGCATAGAGATTAGCCTAAGCATGCAGTCTTATTGCCCACTAGCGTCTTTTGACGCCCATGGTTTGCTTATCGCCCGCCGTCGCCCGTTGCCAATTGCCCGTTATCTCCCTGGCGGGCTGGACATTTCATTTAGTCTGAAAAGCGAGAGCTTAAAGATAATAGCTGTGAATCATATGTGCGCTGCGCTTACTTCATCGTATTGCTTTTCTGATGCACCCTGTTTAACACAGAATTGCCGTATGTAAGCCACCAGGGTTGTTTAGGACTTTCAAATGTGCCATATACATCAACACCACTTCCAGAGAACAGCAATGCGAGTTCAGAGTTTTGTTATTTTTCTTTTATTTCTATTTGTTCATGGTCGCTATGCTCCGGGACCTGCCATTTTCCCATTAAACCTGTCTGCCGCCGATGAGAGTATTGGGGAATTACAGACTACGTTGGACGATGCCGTGAACTCCTTGCTGCTTAGCAGTAGCAAAGGTGGTATCAGATTGTCAGACGAGGGGGTATCTTCGTGGGCAGTGCAGCTTACATCTTCAGAAGAGACGCTCTGGAGCTCATTCCATACTCCCAACGCGCTGTTAAAAGACGATGATATGAAGCAAACGAAAGTCGATGGGGATACAACCTTTCGCATTGCCAGTATATCAAAAACCATCACAGTATATGCTTTGCTTCGCGAAAATTCTATTAACCTTGATGATCCTGTGACTCTTTACATACCGGAGTTGATACAGGGAGTGCAAGAGCCGTGGCTTGTCCATTGGGATCAGGTAACGTTAAGGTCACTGGCATCTTTCCTTAGTGGAATGCCTCGTGATAGTGAGTCACATTAGCCTCAATATTGACTTAATACTCAGAAACTAAACCGTTACTCTTAGCTGGTGGTCCTTGTTTTGTATGGCGAGAACTGTCTGAACTGGGGTATAATCTAGGTGGCGATAGTGTAGAATCACCACTGGACACGGCTTCCTCAATCAAAGTCCTAGAGAACAAATCTTGTACCGCCTTAGGTAACTATGATTAAATCCAAAATTTTGTCATAGCCACATAATTTAACTCTGCATAAGATGTCATTGACAGGGCTCGGGTTGCTCCACGCGTCTTTGCTGTTAATGACCGACCTACGTACTCCAACGCCGCGTTCTCTCTTTTGGGAATTGTCCTGGAGCGAGCCACTGGACTTTCATTTGAGGAAGCCGTCAGGAAGTCAATTCTAGATCCGTTAGAATTGAGCAACACTACGACGCAAACACCGCCTAAAAGCAAGGGAATCATTCCCCCGATTTCGAATCACTGGGACACACTCCTCGGAGCTGCTGATGCGTAAGTAATTTCTAATATTTGTTTTTGATGTTTTATTTGCTTAGTATTATTTAAGAACTGCCGGGTTCTATAGTACACCTAACGACATGTCCAAATATTTGCGCTCTATCCTGAACGCCGAGTTGCTTCCCAGAAACACCATAAATGCGTGGCTAAAGCCTCACTCGTGGACCAATTCCGGCACGTCTACAGCCTATGGTTTGGGATGGGAGTTTCTTCGGACAACGCGTCTTACTTACGATGGACGACCTCTTGAAATCATATCGAAGGCCGGGGCTCTGCACGGTTATCACTCATGGGTAATGCTACTGCCTGAATTAGGTCTTGGTCTATCAGTCATGGTAGCTGGAACAGTCAACACAATGGAGGCCATAAGGGAGACCGTCGTTACAGCCTTGATACCTCCCATTGAACTGATTGCGAGGAAGCGGGCCATAGCTCGGTATGCAGGTGTGTACCGGGTTGACAACGTGAAAAACGAGTCGCACATACGCATCTCTGTTGATGAAAATGGCCCCGGGATCTATATTGCAGAATGGGTGTATAATAACAGAGACATTTTATCTCTCTACGGCGCCGTGGAAGGAATGCCAACCCAGAGAGCATCATGGACCGCAAAACTCATACCTGCGAATCTTCCAGGGACGGGCAGTAATCTTGAGATGTGGAGAGTGATATGTTTAAGTAAATATGAGACGGATGGAAAGGACAATTTATTTGGGGATTTCCACTTGACAGATATAGACGATATCAACTACGGACAGCACGGACTAGGGGACATTCGAATCGTACTTGATGAGAACTCGCATGCGTCCAAGATTGACATTCCAGCACTAGGAATGAAGCTGCGAAGAATCACTTATGAGCCAAATAGAACAGAGGAACCGTCAAATCTGGCAGGCTTCTATCCATCGTTTGAACTCTGAGTTCTAAAGCACCATGGGTTATTTAGTTGATGTTATCGGCCTAGAGATATCAACAATTCATACATACACATATATAAACCTTAGAAACATAATTAGCCATGGAAATAATGAAAATGCTGGATCTGCTACTTGAAATCTTTGTAGATGCTACCACAATCTCCGAATTAGGCTATCAAATGGGGCTAGTGAGCGGGCGACACGGGCGTCGGGGGCATTAGTCGATAGATAACCTTTTCCTTATCAGTTGCAAGTGTAACTATACCAGAGCATATCACGAATCTACCAGTAATTAATGTGCAAATCCGAGATAAGTCCCTCGTATAAGTCCGTGAGTGCGCCCAACTTTGCTTTTGAGCATCACATTCTCTAAATTACTTCATTCCGATACCACGCACGATGACTGGCGTCTTTCGTCGACGTATAACTTCAGCCAAGGATCGTCTTGAGGAGAAGACTCGAGGCAAATCGAAGCTGTCGGGATGGGTTCTTCCTCGGCAGACAACCAGTTTCGCAGACGAAGGCTCCTGGACAAACATTGATGCCGACGTTACGCCTGTGGAGCGAAGGACATGGTCAACTTTTACTGTCATGGGCTTTTGGTTCAGTGACGCTCTCAATGCCCAGGGTTGGGAAGGACCAAGTTCTATCATCCAGCTCGGTCTAACATGGAGAGAAGCATTTTATCTGAGTAAGACATTGTAAAATGCCTGGCAGTTGTAAAAACCCAACTCTAATCAATGTACAGCCGTCCTAGGAGCCATAGTGGACACAGTTCCGTTAGTTCTCAACGGTGCAATTGGGGCTCACTATCACATTCCTTTCCCCGTGGTAACTCGATCATCCTTTGGTTATTATTTCTCTCGATTTGCCATCGTCGTCCGACTCATTACTGCACTCTTTTGGAATGGTGAGATCGGGATTTCTATTCAAAAAAAAAAAAATTGTAGCACAGACTAAGTCTTATATCACTAGCTATACAAACATGGACTGGAAGCCAGGCAATGCAGCAGGTAAGGCTCGTGCTTCTTTGTTCATCCGTGGGCCAAAGCTATAACGTAACAATTTTCAATTAGGTGATTCGTGCTATTTGGCCATCGTTCCTTAATATTCCAAACCACTTTCCCGAGAGCTCTGGTATAACTACCTCGTTGATGGTCTCACACTTAGTGTTCTGGTGTGTTCAGACCGCAGTGGTGCTCACGCCACCACACAAGCTCAAGTGGTTCTTCTTATTCAAGGTCATTGTGGTCTTGACTGCGAGTACAGCCACAGTCATTGCCATGACCTACAAAGCCCATGGAGTTGGTGACATATGGAATCAACAGTATTCCGTTTCTGGGTCGGCAAGAAGCTGGCTAATAATGAGTCAATTCTCGGCTCAGTGCGGTGGCTGGCAAGTGGTTCTCCCACAGAATCCAAAATCATTTTCTATAAACATGTGATCCTAACAGTTTTCAAAAGGGCCACAATGGCGACCAACATCCCAGACTTCACTAGATATATGAGAAACAAAAGAGGCGTCTACTGGCAAGCCCTCATGCTCCCGGCGATCAACCTTCTCTTGTCGGTGTTTGGTACAATCAGCACTAGTTGCGCCAAGGTCGTATATGGAACCTATATCTGGGATCCTCTTGAGTTGGTCTCCTATTGGGAAGGTCCATCCGGAAGATGCGGCGCGTTCTTCGTTGGGCTGTGCTGGGTCGTCGCCCAGATTGGTACCAACCTCTCAGCAAGTATTATTTCCGCCTCTAATGACCTTACGAACTTATTTCCAAAATATATCAACATCCGTCGAGGGGCTATATTGGTTTCTTTGATTTCTGGATGGATCATGGTTCCGTGGAAGATCGTATACTCGGCGGAATCTCTGATTACGTTTATATCAGCGCTTGCGATATTCCTCGCTCCGATTGCCTCTATTTTGGCCACTGACTACTGGATAGTTAAAAAACGCAACTTTGACGTTCCAGGGCTGTACCGCAGACATGGTCGGTATGAATACAATTACGGCATTAATTGGCGGGCCGCCATCGCATTTCTCGTGGCCGTTACCCCGACGCTTCCAGGGCTGGCCAATTCAGTGAACAGCAATGTCAAGATCAGCGATGGCCTCCAACACATGTACGACTGCAATTATCTTTACAGCTTTCTGAGCGGTGCCTTCGTGTACGTCACCCTTAGCAAGGTTTTCCCTGCCCCTGAGACCCTTCTTGCATCTCCGATATACGAAGATCTTGCGATCCTAGAGTCTGTGAAGTACGTCGGTCAAGCCGCTCACAGCCATATGGATAAATTAGACGCAGAGGTGACTGAAAAGAGGGAGGAAGAGTGACCTCTGTGGGAGGTGTACCTTTTCCAGTGCAATATCCGCGTTTGGCAAGCGAAGCCACAACGGCCTCCATAGTCAGGAAGTTATGACCATGATAAGAAAGCAAGAATATTTTTTTCATCATTTCATAGGGCTGATGCGAAGCACTTTTCTCATACATAAATGCAAAACTATCGAGACACGTTTCCACAGGTGACCACAGCCGCAAATGATAACATCGTTCTCCGCAAATTAGGGGAGGAATGATTTCTCTTAATTCGGAGCTAATGATGTATCACTATGTACAGATTGGAACGAATAGCTATCAATGATGCCTTAGAACTGTAACCCTGTATACCTCGAATTAGCCACCTAGGCTTTGGCAGGTCGTGAACACGTCGATAAGCTCTATTTTGGATCAGTGTATTTTTAGCTCATTGTTGATGAGAATTTCCTCCTTCAGCTGAACTAAAACTTACTAATCAAAGTTTAACTTCAGGTAGTAAAGAAGAAGAGGAAGAATTTGCAGTGAAGACAAATCGAGGCAACTGCGCAGGGTAGCTTCGGAAATTGGATTGCTTTTCTTTTCGTTCTTGACTCGCAACTACGTGCTTGTCTGACGATTGACAGTCTTACTCATGTGACATAGAGTGTCTTCTCACGCGGCAACATGAACTTCGAAAATCCTGTTCATCTTGTTGCGGCCACTGCGAAGATAAGGGCCGAATATCTCAAAGTTGCCCGTACTGTATCAATTTCCGTGCAGCAAGCGACAATCAACAGAAATGATCCCGTAAAAGGCCCTGTTTGGGTCAGCAAGTACACTGTCCCTAAACCGACGAACGATACCTCGCGAGATATGCTCGTGTCCTCCATTGACGAGACAAACGAGAAGAACGTCCCTTACCACCGTCCAGATTCGACGGCTCTCTCTTTCGAGTGGACCGGCTTCCGCAGCAATGTCAACAACCATACTCCTGAGCCACCCCTACGTGAGGAGGAGAAGTTCAAGCTTATACATCTACGGTGGCAGTTTTATGTATGGAATCCCAGACCGCTCACTTCCCTGATTGTGACTGATCAATGATAGGTTAAATACCTCGTCCAACTACCGAAGGACAGTAAGTTGTTAGCTGAATTCACTGGTTCAAAGGTACTGATGGTGCATCAGCGTCTGGCCCCGCAGAATGCATTCCCGGCTGCTTTGCTGGGTGTGTTCCAGTCCTATCTCGCTCTTCCGACACCGCCCCCCCGGGGATCCCTACATAAGCCTATTCCGGCATCATCTATTATCGTGGCAGGAGATAGCTTAGGCGCTTGTTTGGCTCTTGGTTTAATACAGATTATACGTCGACTCATACCAAAAATGCGACGGTAATTATCCACGGTCAGAATATTGTGCCGACCATGCCAGCTGGCGTTACTCTGGCTAGTGCGGTAGCGGATTTGACGAATGCATTTCCTTGCTTCGAGCGCAATTCTTTCTGTGATATTTTTCCTGTTCCTATCGAGAAACTTCCCTATCTTCAGAAAATTTCCTACATGCGCCGCGTGGCCGACAAACCCGTCCCGTGACAACGTCTACTGCGAAGCAGGCATGCTGGCCCATCCGATAGCCAGTCCGGCTGCATCGGAAGACTGGACAGGGACATGTCCGATATGGATCGCATCGGGCCAAGAGCAGAGCATTGACGCCTGCAAGCTTGTTTTACAAACAGCGCACGCACAAGGCCTGTCTGTAACATTGCAAGAATATTAAGCTATGCCACACTCATTTTACCTTTTCTTCCGAGAGGCGCCGCAGACACACAAGCTTTTTCAGGATTGGGCGAAAGCAATCATGAGTTTTGCCAGGGGGAAACGACCGATCTCAAGCGCGTCGTGCACCGGCGCAAAAGGGCTGGTCGCTGAGCCATTAGACGTGGAGAGATTAGTGCCGCACACTGTAGCCGAGGCAAAGAATTTCATGTGGAAAAAGACGTTTGAATATGAAGTCCCGGTATGTCACGTAAAGAAACAATCGACGCTGTAGACAATGCACGAGAGGGAGAGAACCAGATTTTTCGCACGGGAGTAAGAGCTGTTATTATTAGATCACGATACATTCTTATTCAAGCCTAGTGCGCTTGCCAAGACCGGGGTAATGCGCCACTTAATTCAGCGTGCATTGTGCTAGTCTCAAAGAGCAGTAGCCTGTATCGTATATTAATCGCTCCTGGTAGACTGGCGCATTAATCTAAGGAATAATCCCAAGCCTGTTCCTTCACGATAATTCTCCTCTAAGAATACCAATCTTCAAGGCATCATTCAAGATCATTTTTCTTCTGGAGAATCCGGAGGGAAGATCTGTCCCATAGGCCACCGCAATGAATCGCGTCCTTTGTCATCCAAAATATCCCAGACAGCTTGAAAAACCGGCCTCGGCCATGGAGCAAGACACCAATGGCGCCGAAGATAATGAAGAAGAACACAGTAGTGCGCTAATATGATTAACGCAAGGGGTTGCCGTTCCTGCAAGCATTTTAGGAACAGTGGCGACAATTGGATAGCCCACTTGCCGCAGACCGTCATAGAGCTTACCCCGCCATGAAGAGTAGCAATCATGTTTTCCAAGCTTTGGATGGCTTGCTGATGAACCGTATGGCTTTCTGTTCCATTTTGAATCAAGTCATTCAAGACGTGTAAATGGGTAAACGTAGCTTCCGCGTCGGGTGGCAGGGGTTCAGAGGCGTCTTCCATTTGCAGAAGCGGCGCAAATTCGCTGTCAAAAAGTGTAGGTGCAACGCAAGCGATAACTTGATTGACACCACGGACAAGCATGAGCACCTGCAAGAGATCTTGTATGGGATCGGTCATATTCAACCTCTCGCAAGACCCAAACCCGTAAATAGCAACAATGCCAGCAAAGGAGAAAAGAGCCTTAGCATTCAAAGCATTGACTTCCTGTAGTGCTAGTCGAAAGAGGCTTAATGCTTGGGTCTGATAAAAGGCGGCAGCATTCAGATACATTGATCGTTGCTCGGCAGGCTTGGATCGTGCGAGATCCAGGGCAGATAAGGATAGAATGCCCCATAATAGAAACTTGTGCGCGAAAGCCTCTTGAGGAACTAGCTGTCGCCAGATCCATGCCGTGGTCTCGTTGCGGGCGAATATTTTGTGAGTCGAATTGCACCAGTGCATCATCAGCTCCAGATCGAGCACAGTCTCCGCTACAGGCGAGACTGATCGGATACTCCGCGACGCTGTAATCCTCTCCAGCATGGCGAAAATGTCATCGTTATGATTTTTTGGCGATGCTGGATGAGAGCGCTTGGGAGGCGCATTTTCTTCTTTCCAGACCAAAGCGGCCACTGCCTCGTAACGGCATGATTTATGGCGTTTGACACAGTTAAGACATGCCGGGCGAGTTTCATCGCACTACAAAAACATTAGTGATCTTAGTTACCGTCAAGGCTTCCGACGTCGTACCTTAACACGTCTTTGCTTGCAATTCGAACACCCATGACGTGACTTGGAGTGACTGCGTCGGGTCATGGGGGGCATGGTACAGCGGCGCTAGTGCGCAGAACATTCGCCCTGATATTGATCGAAGAGTCCATTCGCTCGCATGAGTTCAGCCCCTTGTGTATGAGATACTAACAATTACGTCGTGAACCAGGCAGAAAAACGCGTGCCAAGAGGAGAGTCACGTGCACAAACCCACACTTGAATTTCGTGCAATTATTGGGCGATCGTTCACTGGTATGCACCAGGCCCAAAGCGGTTAAGAATACGAATTACGAGGAGAACCCTCAAACGCCTCCCAGCAACATCGCAATTGACGCGGCAATTTTCAGTGGATTTTCAGAGCCTGCGACTATATAAACATGTCGTATTTTCCTAGTCGACGTGTAGTTCTTGTCAAAGTTATTACTTTGAAAGCCCCTGGCTTGCTTCTGTTGTCCTTCTCTTTTCCCTACACCTCACACCGACATAAAATCCCTCCTTAGCATCATGGAGTGGGTACTCTACTACTATACTCCATCCACTGCTGCTGCAGTCATATTTGTTGTCCTGTTTGGCCTCAGCACTGTGTACCATTTCTACCAGTTGCTTAGTACGAAGACTTGGTTTATGATTCCCTTTTTGATTGGCGGCATTCGTGAGTGTTTCTATCAGCTCCCGGATTGTATGTGGCACTTTTGATTGACGATTCCGTGTTCTCTACTTTAGTTGAGACTGTCGGTTACATTGGTCGTTTACTCTCAGCTCTCCAAGCACCGAATTACTCGACGGGTGCATATGCCATGCAAAGTTCCCTCACCCTGATCGCGCCAGCCTTTTTCGCTGCTAGCATATACATGGAGTTCGGTCGAATAATCACAATGCTGCACGCAGAGAATAACTCAATAGTTCGGACGCGATGGTTGACCAGGATCTTCGTCGCCGGGGACGTTTTGTCGTTTTTGATGCAGGCCTCCGGTATGCTAAGACTAGATTCTCCCTCGACTAATTCACCGCAAACCAGCTTTTTCTTGCTAATTCTCAGCATAGGCGCTGGCCTCATGGTCTCGGATTCCACCAACCCGTCAAGTGGAGAGCACATCATCATTGGCGGTCTTTTCGTCCAAATCATCTTTTTTGGCTTCTTCATGATCACCACCTCAATCTTCCAGCTGCGCATCGATAGAAAACCTACCGCCATCTCGATCGAGTTGTCATCCACATGGCATAAGCATATGTTTGCTTTGTATGCGACTAGCACCCTCATCCTGATACGGTCGGTGGTGCGGGTAGTGGAATACCTTGAAGGATATGACGGGTTTTTGATGACACATGAGGTTTTCATTTATGTCTTTGATGCCTTGTTGATGTGGACTACCATGATTATCATGCACATCATCCATCCAAGCCAGATCAATTGTTTGATTGGCCGTGGCGAAATGTTCTTTCAGAAGGGTTTTCAGGTACAAAAGGTTGGTTTTACCTCAACATTGGAGTTGCAAAACTCTGCGTAACGGAGTTTCATGATTCATGATTCATGGTTCTTTTCTTTTTCGTTCGGCTTTCTTTCTCTGTTTGTCGTCTTGTTATATTTCCAATTAATTGTATATGTGTGTGTTCGCGATTGGGTTTGTGATTATCCATATCTGTATATGCTGCTCGAATTGTTTCATGACCGTTTAATGTCTCTCATCAATGAACAAAAATTTGCTTTCTCTCTTTTTCTCCAATTTGCAATCCGTATCTACCATCTTAAATGAACATCTTTCATGATGCCACGTTCTCCGTTCCTAAAGCTTTGGAAGGGAAGCCCATTTCCGTCAAATGCAAAATTAGATATTTGTCGTCGCGCAACTGAAAACCAATTGATTACGCATAACCTTGCTTACTTGATGATACTTATTTATGAGCCGTAACAGGTGAAATTGATTCGTGTCCACATTTGCTTCGGTGGGTCTACAGTAGGTCCAAGCAGACGTTTGGCTTGTTCCGTATTCGTATGCCGCTGCCTTTTTAGACTTGGGCCTCTGGATATGTAGATCTAGGCAGCTTTGTTCCCAGGTTTTAGCCTGGAACTAAGACACGCTTGGCGTCGTCTATTTATTTTCTACAACAAAAATAGAAGAAATCTGCATCAACGAAAGGCGGTGCGACATCTTGTAGATGAAAAATGCATGTCGCCCCAGTTAACGTTCTACATTGGCAACGTTGAAGAAGCTAGTGACTAATGAATATTCATCAGTGAAGTGAAAATAAGAATTACATGTGGCTTGGTAGACCACAAGCTGGGTGTGGATTTGTATACCTAGTTATATACCTAGCTACCTTCCAAGGTTATATATAGGTATTGGCGGGTGTCTACATTACCTTACCTAACTTACTAGCCACCTCGTCCTTTTCCTTTTCGCTTTATTTCTTCTTTCTATTATTCTCACTACTCTATTATATTAGATATCTCCCACCAGATTACCACAAACATCCTATATCGAGAGGACATCAATCATTGCCTAGGTATTCCGCCACATCAGAACCAACCCTAGCCTTACAAGGTCTCTCTCCCTTCAAACAACGAATCGATAATCGACATGTCCAGTGGCTACAAGCTTTACGACTATGACCCATCGGAGGCAGCTGCTATTTGCTTTGCAATCGCTTTTGCAGTCGCTACCCTTTTCCACCTTTATCGCATGATCCGAACACGCACATGGTATTTTACGTCGTTTGTCATCGGTGGACTGTGTAAGTGAATATATATATCTAGCCAGAGGTAGTCTACTGACGATACACGTGAATATCTTAGTTGAGGTTGTTGGGTACGCGGCAAGAGCTTATAATGCAACGCAAACGCCAAACTGGGGCGTAGGGCCATATGTAATGCAAAGCTTGTTGCTCTTGCTGGCCCCCGCTCTTCTCTCGGCTTCAATCTATATGATTCTCGGACGCATTATTCGACTTGTCAACGGAGGCTCTCGCTCCTTGATACGCCCGTCATGGCTTACAAAAATCTTCGTGACGGGCGATGTCTTGTCATTTTTTATTCAAAGCGGAGGTGAGATATAATTGCCATATACCTTGACATTGCAATTAAGCAAACATGACCGAGGATGAGAACCTAATCAACGTCTACAGGAGGCGGAATGCTTGCACAGGCGAAGTCCCAAAACACCATCAATATGGGAAATCATATCATCGTTCTTGGTCTCATTGTTCAGCTGTTATTCTTCGGTTTCTTCATGATTGTTTCCATGATATTCCATCGCCGAATCACCGCATCACCCACAGATCTGTCACTAACGATTGACGCACCATGGTCACGATATATGGGGGTCTTGTATACGGCGAGTGTGCTGATTATGGTTCGCTCAGTTTATCGAGTTGTCGAATATGTACAAGGTACAACCGGTACTCTGCAAGAGCATGAAGCTTATCTGTATGTCTTTGACGCTACATTGATGTTTCTGTGCTGTTTTATCTTTCACTTGTTTCACCCAAGCCAGATCATTGCCGGAGGGAAGGCATACAAGAAGATGCAGGCCGACTTGGAAATGCTTCAGGATCCACGACAGAATCAACCGTACCAACGAGATTATTGAGCATTGGTTGGAACGATTTTGAAAATCTCTCTCTCTATGTTTCATTTGTTCGTCTAACATCTCCGCGTGCATGCAATTCCTATGGCGTTCATTAGAAAGCTCATTTGTTCTTTGATATTAGTGTTCATACAGTATTTCCACTTGGATAATTTCCTTTGTCTGATAAAATCGTGGCCTATAGAAAGTGAGTCTGAGTTTCTGCAAAATACTGGATTGAGCGCCAGGGCAACCATCACTTTCGTAGCAATAATCTATCCATTTTTATGCGTATCCAACTCTACAAATAGGGGTTCCTGGGAGCTTGCTTGTCTCAGCAGCCGTATTCGTATCTATTGCCTCTTTAGGTTTGATGTATTTTCTAACAATAACCTAATCCTAACAGGAATCGAATACGAGTACGGTGCTGACTTTGCGGCTTAACAGCGCAACAAAACTAACTAGATCCAGGAAGCAGGAAATAAATGGGAAAAAGACGCGACACTACGTGCGGCCTTTTATTTCTTTTCCGTTACTGTACGTCTGCAAATTCAGTCTCGCGTTAGGAGGAGACAAACAAGTACTAAATTAGAAAAGCCATTCCATCCATGGATACTGATAAGAAGCATCTGCGGGCGGCACGATACAGTATCTGCCTTTATCAAGATGCTCAAACATTTCATTGGCAGATAGCCCGACATTTAACCTTTTGAGGCATATTGATCAATCCGAGCCGTTATCAGGAGTGGATCGCATGCCTAGCAGCAACTCAGTCCTATACCCCTCACAGCCTTCCTGCTGCTCATGGATAGTTTCAACCCAATGCCGCCAACAGCGAAGAAGATTCCCTTCTACGGACGGAGGCGAACGCCTCGTACTACCACCGGCTGCCTAACTTGCCGACAGAGACGGTTGAAATGTGACGGTATGTAAGACACAAGCTCGACTCCGGTCTATAATACGGTGCCTGTCTCATTGCTGCAGAAACAAAGCCCGTGTGCACAAGGTGCACGCACTTAGATCTCGACTGTACCTATCGTGTTCAAATAAGATGGCCGACCGAAGGCGCAAAGCTCGGCAACAATCGCATCAGAGGAAGTCGACGGAAAAATGAATCCTCGTCTCCGAATAGAGTACAACCAGTTTGCAGCGGTTCGGGATCACCACCACCTTCGATACCGGATAAAGCTCTAAATTTTCTAAGCGATGAGCTTAGAAGAGATATTCATGGCTCGGACATTTCTTCTCCCTCACTTACTCGAACGCCTACATTGAGTGCACGTGACTGTCGGCGTGATGAAGAAAAAGAGATCCTTGGCCTTAAAATCATACCAGATTCTTCACGCAAAGGTAGATACTCAGTGCCGCATTTGCCAGACGAGCGTACCTTCTTCGTGAGGTCTTTGGATTATTCTCTTCCACGGATGAGCAATGAAGACAGACTACTCTTTGACTTCTGTGAGTCGAAGCTCAACTTTGCTGCCCTGCAATCATGCTGACATAAAACCAAAGACGCATGCAAGATGTGTCCTAGATGCATGGTGAGAAACGGCAACAACAACAACTACCGACAAGTTGTTTTACCACTTGTGTATCAGTCCCATCTACTTCTAAAAACAGTTTTGGCAGTTGCTGCAAACCGCTTGAAACTCCACAATGGTGGCTTTCAGACCGTGGCCTTGCGGTATCAGAATTTGGCCTTGAAGGGTTTACAACAATCAATTATCACAAAGAACCGGACTTGGTTCTCGAGAATTGAAATTCTGAGTGTAATTCTTATGTTATGCTTCTTTGAGATTTACGATCCCAGTCCAGGTCCGACGGACCAGAATGGTCTCCGAGTCCGACCTTGGGTAACTCATTCACAGGGAATCCGTCATCTTTTGGAGGAAGATACATTTGCTGATTCGCAAGACACCCAATACGAACAAGCAATACTTTCATTTCATAGCCAATACTTTGTCTCACGAAGCATCCTAACGTATACTACTATGTTGCCTCACGAGGACCACGAAGGCATACTTCAAAGTGCTTTCTATTGGCTGAAGATGGCGGATAGGCCCAAAAATGAGATTAATCCTTTCGCAGGATGTTCCAATGAGCTTTTAATGTTAATATTGGGCATTACCTACCAACTACGGTGTCGAAAATTCCTCGTCGATCCTCACTCAGACTTCTACAAAGGGTGGGCAAACAGAACTAGAAGGCAGCTACTGTGTATCGAACAGTACTCTCCTAAAGACGCCACATCCGACATATTTGGCAATCTCTCCAATCATAATTGGAATAATACGTGCTCTGGAGCCTCGGTTGATCAGACTGCAGAATGTTTCCGGCTTGCAGCACTCATTCTCCTAGAAAATATACCGGATGGTCAAAGCCAAAGTCGAGCGTCGGAGTATATTTCCCAGCTCTTCCAACTTCTCCAATCGGGGATATATATTCCTCCGTCAGGAAAGCTCGGTTCATCAAGCTATTTCTGGCCTTGCTTCATTGCGGGTTGCCACATGAGGTGTCCTCAACAGCAAGCATCCATGCTCGGGCATCTCACGAGGTTGACGTCTGATCGCCCGTGCATGCAATCCAGTAATATAGTGGCCCAGCAAATCCAAAATCTTCTGGTTCATATATGGGCCATTATGAAAGATTATAACCTGACAAGCGTTTTAATAGATGACGGAAGTGTGACTGCGAGTTTTGTCTGGGAAAACGTTAATCTGCTGGGTAAATGTGCTTTTGAGTGGGTGTGATGGACTTGTTTTAACTTGATAGTCAACTGATCTTCGTTATGTGCCTAAGGACTAGTCAAGTCCATATAAACTCCATGACAGGTTGTTTCGGTGAAAGTAGTAGTCCTATCTTGCCTCTTGCTTACATGTATATGACTAGCGTTGGATGCTAATCCATTGGCTATAACGTTCTGATTCTTCTAGTCGTGAAAATTGTTGTAGAAAGCAAGTAGCAGTGTCGATTATAATCGAATGTAGGGCGTCCGATAGTAGCAAACTAATCTCTGCTTTTCCATACTAAGGATATTCAAATCTCTACATTATATCTATACACACATTCTTCGTATCTTTCCACGGCACGGTTATACCTTGAAACGAGGGATTTATATATCCATGGTATGGCTATACATTGGATGTTAGAACTCATCCCTACTTCGGTGTAAATTCCGGTGTACCCCTAGGGTCTTGCCGTATCTGTGAGCCCGTGGCCGAACCTTAGGGCACCATCCGCATAGTCTGTTAGCAAAGGGCAATAAGATTACATGAGTTCAATTCTAAAGCTGTTGTGCACCCTCTATTCAATGCTTCAAAAGACTAAAAGCTCATGTCAGGTAAAGTTGGACCTTCTATACATATTTGCTGCACAAAGTACTGTAGAACAGTTGTGCGTAGGAAAAGATACAATCCGCTTCCTTGCACGATCGTACCTACTAGTAGTTATCTGGTTCGTCGACCGTAGTCCTCCTAGGGACATGGAAATCGGCCAATCAGAGGCTCCATTGGCATTCTTATCTCGCTCGATATATGCCTAAAACGGTTAGCTCTCTCACTCCAAAACCCTAAGGCTCGATTTGCTTCATGCAGGCATGGCAATGATAGATTATTCCAGAGGACCTATCATACTTTAAGTACTTCCCATACGTTGTTTTGGTTTGAGCCAGCTATATACTAAATGAAGTTAGTCCCATGTGGAGAGTTGTTCGTACGGACTGCGGGAAAAGTACATATCTCGCTTAGAAACTACCCATCAATGGTGCGAGTTAGACTCCTTTTATGAAAAGGATATCCGTTACTTGACTTTTGACTCAATCCTATACAAGCAGTAATCTAGAGCGAGAAGATTTTCTGTTAAGGTGGTTCAAGAAAGTCGGTTATATTGTAATCACCCCCTCCATCATTTATGACGGAAGCGCAGGCAGCCAGATGCTAATCGTGAGCCAGATTGCTATATCATTGCGCACCTCTTATCGCAGTCGAGAAATTTATTCCAATACGCAATATGACAACACATACAGCACCCAAGAAGCGGATCATAATCGTCGGAGCTGGTGCTTTTGGGCTCTCTACTGCCCTATATTTGCAAAGATATCATAAGCAACATGTCGACGTTCTGCTTTTAGATTCACAGCCATTCCCATCGGTGGATTCAGCCTCCGGAAACGATACTTCTCGTGCAATCCGTCCGGACTACACAGATTCTTTTTATTCAAACCTTGCAAAAGATGCTATGCACGCCTGGAGCACAGACCCGGTCTTTTCAAGTCATTATAAACAAAGTGGTCGCCTGGCTGCTGCTGCGCCAGGAGTACCCTTTCTTCAGAGATGCCGAGAGACCCTAAAGACAGTCGGCCTAGAAGTTGAAGAGTTCGGCGAAATGGATAAGGCGCAGAATTTGAAAAAGAAGTTTCCCATGCTGGGTGACGTGGAGAAACTCAAGGGATGGGACTTCTACTATAATCCAGTTAGTGCTACTACACTTTTGAAACCGAAATAAATTTGTTGACCAAGGTGATGCTAGCATGCCGGATGGGCGAATCCTAAAGAAGCTGTTATATCGGCCATGAAAGAATATCAAGCGCTTGGGGGAAAGTTCATTGGCGACTCTAAACGCGGGAAGGTAGTTGACAACCTTATTGTGGATGGCGATGACAATCAATTGGCTGCTGCGATAACAGGGCGAATTGTTGGAGTGAAAACAGCAGATGGGAGAGCGCATCACGCCGAACATGTCATATATGCCATTGGCTCATTTTCGACGTCTCAGAAAACACTGCTTCCTGGTCTGGAGACCCAAATTCACCCAACAGGCTTTGCCATTGCGCACTGGAAATTGGATGATCCGGATGAATTGAAGGCATGGCTGCACCATCCGGTCGTGGATATGTACCATTTCGGTTATTTTTTCCCTCCTGACCCGTCTACTCATCTCATGAAACTAGGTCTCGGGATTATGGGTTTCACTCACGACCATGAAACAGATGATGGCGACACGGGTGTTGGTATTGCGAGAGCGAATTCAGCCTTGGCTGGTTCTTCTCATGAAGGCCGTATTCCACCCATTGCTGAAGAGGGAATCCGGTGGATTTTGAGCCACTGGGCCCCAAGCCTAGCGCAAAAAAAGTTTTTCGACATGAAGATGTGCTGGGATGCAATGACGCCAGATGGAGGTTGGCTGATCGACAACCACCCCCAGGTCCAAGGACTTAGCGTTGCAACTGGCGGATCGGGTCATGGATTCAAGTTCTTGCCCGTGGTGGGCCAATTCATTTGTGAGGCACTGAACCTTGTCCAAACGGAGGCTGTTGGTTCCGTCACGCCTAGGAGCACTGATCATAGAAAAAGGCAGATGAGAGAAAAGTGGAAATGGGGGCGGAAAGGGAACTTGAATGTCAAGGACCGACGAGTAGCTCTCCAAGGACGTCCAATCCTGAATGTTGTGGAACACTTGGAATCCGACAGGTGTCATGATATCGATTCTATTATCCGGTCAAGGCTCTAAGGTATCAATTACAGACCGGAAAGCTTAGGGTTATTTGTACGTTGGCATGACATTTTATTATCTAATTGTGAAGAATAAAGATCCTGTTTTGCAGTTCTACTACGCGTGCAACCTTTTCATATCAGGAACTTCATAACCATATAGTTATGCACTGAGCTGATTAGTTTACTATTTCTGTATGATCTCGATATTTTTCTCGCATTATAGAACTTCATTAATATGACGAATATCGAGGTTAGTAGAAAAGATACTCAGGGAGGTAAATAGACATCCATGGATCACAGTTTAAGTGAAACATGATTATAGATTGGCACAAATCTATACCTACCTTCACTAGGATGATACAAAGAATTTTAAAAGGTTTGGTAGATCATTACTAAGATAGGTGAATTATCGAAATGAAATTCATATTGTTTTTGCCAGCTACATACTATTGAGAGTTTGCTTCAATTAGTAAATGTAAGCTAGGGTCAACACATATAGGGAGCCGATAGATAATGGCATTCCAATCTAGTCCAGTATATTCGTAGCGGTATAGACGTCTGACATATTTATAGCGAGTATCTGAAAAGTGGACTTTCATCACCCATTTCCGTCAGCTCTTCAGATGTATACTTCGCTAGGATGTCTTCCGCGGGCATAGCCGCCCGTTTGTTGTTAATATTCTTAAGAATGAAATAATAGATAGCCGGCCAAATAACCCCAAAAGCTGCCAACATTGCAAGGCAAAGGCCAAACCCAATTGGGTAAGTAGGGGCTTCGTTCGATAGGAAAATATTCGATCCCAATATCTATAATAGCGATGATCAGCACATGGTCACCCAACCCCAATGTGATTGTTGAATGAAGAGACTTACTCCGCCTAGTTGAGAGATAGAGATCATCAGACCTATACCAGCAGCACGCTTTGTGTGGCCCGCCATATTCAGCGCTACCCAGGCCATCACGGCTGGCGAGATCGGGTATAGACCACCAGCCATTAGAAGAATGCCAAAATAGGTCACACCCGGAACGTGTGGGTATCGGACACTAGCAATTATGATGACAAACCCAATAACAGCCATAGCGTTTGGTAAAATGATAGAAAGTGTTCGTTGCCGATACCGATCAGCCGCCCAGCCAGAGAAAATTGTGACCAGACATGCAAATACATAAGGAGGTGCAGTCATGGCTTGTGCCTTGACATTAGAGTAACCCAAGTTCTCGACGATGGTTGGAAGCACAAAGCTGATTCCATAAACAACGGTGGCGACTGTAAATTCAATTAATGCCACAGCATAGGTGTGGACGGACCGGAATGCCTTTTTCACATCTTCCCAGGAAAACTCTTCTTTCTCTTTGACTCCAGTCTCACCTCCTGCAGAGTATTTGTGCCTCAACAAGAGAAATTCCTTCTCTTCTTCTGTCAACCACCCCTTGACTCGCGCAGGATCTGGAGAAATCCAGAAAAAAGATGCGAGACCGACAACGACAGCAAGCAGGCCTTCAATAACATATATCCAACGCCAACCTCGGTAGCCCCAGGTGCCATCCAAGTAGCCAAGGCCATATGCAAGAAGACCGGAAAACGCGCCAGCAATCGAAGCCGCAGAGTAAAACACCGTCATTCTTGTGTGAAGCTCCTTTGGAGAGTACCAAGATGTTAGAATGAATGAGCAGCCAGGAAAAATACCTGCTTCGATAAGGCCAAGAAGAACCCGAAACGCCGTCCAGCCGCCGTAACTGCTTTGGAGTCCCCCGCAAACAATGATTATTCCGCATCCAATCAAAAGTGTTGGCAGCCAGAACCGTGGACCGACGCGATTGAGCATGATGTTAGAAGGACTGGAATATGGTTAGATGGTTTCACGAGCACAGGAAGCAGGTAGGCATACACTCCACCAAATGCGTAAGTAACAAAGAATACTGAAAGTGCCGTATTCCATTGTTGACTAGACATATGTAAGTCTTGGAGAGCACCAAACAGCTTTGCATTTCCTGCAGAATTTTCTCATGAGTCTCTTTGAATTTAGTATTTGCATTCCGCACATTGTACCTGAGTTTGATCGATCGATATATGCCAAGAGGTATACAATAACCAGCTGAGGCAAAACATGGTAGCTATACGGATTAGCATATAGGCCAGAGAGTGGTCGGGCTTGGTTTGACGAACTCAATCTTGCGTACAAGCTTGTTTAGACGTTCGTCCGAGAAGGTTCCGCTCAGCCAGCAATAGTACTCGTACTCTGTGGATGTCACATCTGCTACGGAACCCTCAACCTCGGCGTCTTTACTCGTGGTAGATGGCTTGATGGGCTCCATTATGGAAGGTCCTGGATGGTCGAAATATGCATAAAAACAATTTCTGCTCTGGACGAATATGAGCAGCAATAGTACAGTTCTGCATGTAGGGTATGACATACGCTTTATATATCCCCTACAACACAGCAGTATGTACCGACAAGGGGTCTTTCGAATGTTATCTCCGCTCTAACTGGCATCCTTATCTTGCGAAATATCTAGGTGGCGCTAACAAGCGTAGAGGAGCAAGCAATTAGACCGAGAGGATGAGATAATATGTCAAGGCATTGAAAGACACAGGTCGTCTATCTCTTTGCATTATCTTGGTCCACGCTGAGGGGAGTGTGAAGGGTAAGGGGGGGGAAGGGTCGAAGCAGGCGACATAAAGTAAAGAAGCGCTTGCCCCTTTCTGACAGTTTGCAGGCGAGATAGGGCTGCCCTAAACTGCTTTAGGCGACTGAGAGGCGAGATAAGATAGGAGATAAGAACCTCGAGGTATGTCGATGCCCGAGGCTGCCAGTTAATTAAAGATACGCATTTTGCCGAAAAAGATGGTGATACAAGTCTAATTGGGCGTGTGTATGAAGCTTGATTAGAACTAGGTTTTTGCCAAGTTTCTAGCATGATAGCACGTCGTATCATACTACCGGTCCGGAGTGAGTACTTAGGAGCTCGATTTTAGTATGAGGAAATTGTAAATGAAGGAAGCAAGTAACAATGCTATTCAGTCTCATCGTCGACTAAGGTATTATATCTTAGCCAGTAACGGTGCCTGGCAAGTGGGTGCTTCAGGATGAAAATAAAAATCGTCCACCATGCCACATACTTCGCGTGCCAAACCCCAGCTGAAGATGTAGCCTCCCCCGGAGGGGCCGTATGCATGCACCACCTTTTGCCCATTAAGAATTTCTTTCTCGACGCGCATGCCACCATCTCTTTGCGGTCGAATGCCTACAATGTCCCTGACTATCTTGTAATCTTTGGCAGAGGGGGATGGGAAATCCCTCGGGATATTGTCATGGATTCTTCTGAATATCTAGATTTCAATAAGCATCAATCTCGTTATTGCTCCCATGACACTGGGCGAAGTACTCACATCTGAGCGGAGTTCATCATCGACATTGGTAACTGTGCTACCAAACTGCTTTATGCCACCGAGGATTGTTGTACCATCCGGACGGCCGAGAGCATACGTATAGTCCTTGCCGCGGCGAATCCAAATCTTGTTGAATTTTGATTTCACTAGAACTGTCTGACCTCTGACCTCCTGAACCTTATCATCCACAACGTCAGTCAGATAACGTGGCCCTATGCCGGTGGCATTGATCAAGATATCATGGCCCATCCCTTGCAGTTCGGCGAGCGAATTGACCGTCCGACGTTGAAATTTAACACCCGACGCCTCTAGGCGATTTTTAAGCCAGCACAAGAAGACCGGCGGTATCAGAATGATGGATTTGTACGACATCCCGAATGATGCGTCAGCAGGTAGTTCGTCTTTTGACATCACTCGAAAATCGGGCAATTTGTTCCGATACCACACTTTTTCAAGATTCGAGGAGTCAATAAGGTCTTGCATCTCTACCTGTCGTACACTAGACTCAGGATGGCTGAGTGCCAGCTTCCACCAGACCCAGAAGGCATCGAGCTGCATTTTTTGTTCTCTTTCGTTGGAATTGTCCATTCCCATGAACACAGCACCAGCCCACGGGCTTGCCCATTCCGTAGATTCAGGGTCGCCGGGGATATTTCGGGCAACAATAGTGACATCGTAGTTTTTGGGCAATTGGCTGGCGATGGCCATACCGGTGATGCTGCATTTGATAAGTAAGCTCATGACTGTTACAATGACGGTATGTTTCCAACGTACCCAGCACCAAGAATCGTTACTTTCGCCATTCACGCAATAATTAACAGCCACAGTGCTACTCACGAGGGTTGTGTTTGTAAATATCTTCCTCGGGTCTGGTGGTTTAACTTGCAGGCACGATCGTACTATTTATTTAACAGGTCTCTAAAATTGCGCTCCCAGAAGCGTATTCCTGCCGGTAGACCATGACCCCGCTTGATATTAATGAAAACGGTCGACAGAACTCGAAGCTACATTTTGATGAGTTGCCAGCGCCTTGTTATCTCGTCTACAAATTACCGGAAGCAGTCTAGAGAAACGCTATCGTCAGGACCAGTCTATTCCTATTTTGACAACGTTGAAATCTTTGATTACGGCCCTCTTATCAAAAGTCTAGGCGATAATGCTGGAACACCTTGCTGCGGGCTACTCATTGTAAGTGCTTATCGGGGTCGTAAAAAAAAAATAGAAATTCTTATGTATAGGTTGCCATTATTAGTAGAACGCCCAGTGACAAGTGTTCTCCGATGCCCCTCGGGTGCGGCCTCGTCGGGAAAAAAGAGCCCGCGAGCACCACGGAGGAAGGGCAGGCATACAAAGACAGGCCTCAATGCACACAGCGCTTTAATTGGTAGAATGAAATTTTCTTTTCCGTTTTTACGAACAAAAGGATTGAGGAACAGGTCGGAGAACGGGCTTTCTCGATTGCAGCATATGGTGAAGTAAATTATTGGTTAGATTTCAAGGCTGTATTGAGAAATTAACTGACTCGCAGGTATGAACTAGCAAGCAGACCTACCAGTAATTTGCACTACAGTAAGCGAGAGGGGACATTACCGGCACTTATGTTTCTTAACGCAGTAAGAAATCGAGATTACTCCTTTGAATGTGATCTTCAAGAGAAAGTCGATGTCAACATATGTTACGGTTAACTAACAAATGTGCTGCGCATATAAAACTCATGAATGTAAATTTGGGTTTGAACGCCATACAACAGTTCTTCTTTCAATACGCAACATACTACATATCCCTCATTTCCCTACCTAGAGTTAGTCGGCTTCGGAAAACTCGCTAATGGCATGTTCGTTTCACATTGTCGATATTCATATGGATTGATAGATGATTCGTTGATGCTTTCATAAATCCCCTCGCTGTTCATAGATGCTTGTGATTGTTTGAATGGTAGACGGAGAAAGAATGACCCTGAGAAGTGTCTCTTCCATATAGACAGACCGAGAGTAATGGCGACAATAATAGTGGCAATCGCAACGTATATGATCACTATGCTCGTTTTTACAGAAGACCAAGCTAACCCTATGGCTCCGATAACAATGGCAAACAGAAGAATGACTCGTCCAAGATGCAAATGTATCGACCCATATCTTGTCGCTGTTTGGTTTCGTTTGTATTGAACGTGATGCCAGAAGCCCAAGAACCATTGTAGAAGTGCCAAAAGAACACATATCAAGCCTAAAACTTGATGTGCTGAATTGTAGCTGCTGGATCGGTTGTACATTGTGCTCAACCAGAGACCAATTATGCCACCAATTATGACGACGACAGTCGCAAGACTTTGGTTGACCCAGTGCCATCGTACGCTCGCCGGAATAATACGCAAAAGTACGGCTCCACCAGGCATAAGGATAATAAATGCAACAGAGAGCACGACTGCGTGTATAACAGTTTGCCAATTGCTATCTTGCGTTTGATTGCCATCTGCTGATGCTCCATTGCTGATCGTGTCGGATGAGAATGATGCCGATAATACGCTCGTACCGTCCGTTCCTCCAGTTGCTTGAGTCATGTTCATTGTGAATTTGCCTGTGGGAAGAAAAGATTAATGATTAATGCTGTTCAAATATTGATATGGGCAATTACAAGGTTGCTTACCATAAACCGAGTGGCGTTCAAGATTGGCAGAGAGTGAGTTGCTCTTTATCTTGACGATACTCCCAGAGCGAGGACCCAGTCCATAGATAAATGGTTGATTTGTGCTATTTAAGTCTACAGACTCAGAATTCCACTTCCAACAGTTTGAGCAGCGGGCATTGACGATTATGGTATCATTCGATATCATTGTGCCGGGAAGAGTTTTGACGTCAAGGGTAGATGAATAACTTGGTTCTCTTTCTCCATCGCTCAGTCTCGGGCTAAGGGTAATCCCTGAAGAGGACTCAAGTCAGATAGAAATTATGGAGTGGATGGATGTATTCTGATTCAAAATAAGTGAAGCGTACCATTACCTGTCGAATTCAAATAGGAAATGAACATGAGGGAGTCTTTCATCTCCGAGCCGGTTCCCACAGCAATCCAGGAGTACTCAGCTGGGCCTGAAAGGTGAAAGTAGACGTCATTGGAGTTTGAAGCAATGTTTAGCGCAAAGATAAACTTCCCAGATCCTCCCTGAAGGGAGGTAGCGAAAACCGATATGGCAGCATCGTTGTTGTCGCTTACACTTTGCCCCAGGGCAAAATTCCATAGATTTAGACACAGTATCCCGAGGAAACTCCCGGGTATTTTGAATATCATGTTGTTAAATGTCTCGGAGAAAACTAGCATTGAATCAAAATTATTCATAAGGGTTTGATAGGGAACCTAGAAGCCATTATATCTTGAATAAAGTACAACAGTTATGCATATGTTACTTATGCATATTTCCCAGGGTTAAGTACATGCTATGCTGTATGAAAATGGTCGGCTTCTAAGCCTCATTGAAAGCTCTAGACCACGCATCGCTGCAGTGCTCGACCCCCTCCCCGCCCCCAGAGAAGGGGCCCGTTCACAGAACATAGCCAGGATAATGGGTCCAAGTAGGCATTTGCTATTAAGACCATCAATATTTTCAATGCAAACGTGGTTTCAACTTAGTGGAAATGATGTTGCCTGAGCATAATGCAAAATGATACGAGTAATTGCTTGATTCCCATTCGTTGAATGATCGAGTCCCAGATGTCGATATCGGTGCTTGCCACTGCTTGACCATGGAAGAATACGTTCGTGAAGTAGTTAGTTAAAGGAAGAGAATTACTAAGCACCTGTAATTCACTAATCGACAATGCTTTTCTATATGTAAGTATATTTATATTTCTTCCTGTTGTCCCAGTGTAGTTCTTCATAGATAAGATCTTATTCCAGTCCATGCCTCCTAGAAGAGAAGGAAAACAAGAAATATATGTTGTTTTCACCTCTGCATCTTCATCGAATCTTTGGTCATTAAAACAAACCCATGATAGTTCAAAAACGTCGATAAATAGCTACCCAAGTCCCAGGTAGTGTTACTGAAGCTTCGCCCGAATTGGCCTTCTTGGGTATAGGGACCGCTTATGGATAAAGAATCACCCATTACATCTCTAAGTTATTAACCGATGTGCCAGATTGTGTCTGTGTTGTCTGAGCTACTACGGAGCGGCAGGTCTCCTTTACTGACATTCAGAACCATACGGTCAAGCCAATTAGGAACAAAAACACAAGATAACCGTAGAATGAGACACAGAAAAGAGTTGTTACAAGAGTCAATGCCCCTTTCAGCCTAAGGCTGTACGCCGTACAGACACCGCGAAGTATTGATCCCGGAAAAGCCTCTTGAAGGCTGCCTAGGTACCTACACCGACAGAGACCACTCTACGAGGGTCCACGCCAGGTGCATAGCCAGATACGATAAGAGTGTTCGTGTTAACATCCCTAGTTGCAACAGCTTAGGCGTGATACAAGATGCAATGTTTCACACATGAGTATACGAGAATTGCCACCGATTCATTTACTGCGAAAGCTGCCGATATCCAAAAACTTTGCTATAAACAGCCCAATAATGTCTGATGAATTGCACGCCTTGCCAGTGCTTCCCACGGAAAACTTAGAAAACGACACATAAGTCTAGCCATAAACAGGCACAACTCCCGCTAGGTCAAAGCACAGGATCATCCTTCGGGGTGGCTTTTCATTGTAGGCTTAGGTAGGGGCGGCGTTCGGAAGAACATGAGCAAAATTCAAGACAGTTTATTATACATCCAATGAGTAGATTCCAGTGACATGCCGGCAATAACTCCAAGCAACGGCCCCTAGTACGGTGGCGCAATGAAGTAGCCTAGCTGCCGACAGCTATGGTGGGTTGACTGTAAGGTACTAGGGCGCAAAATGAGTTGCTAATTTTGATAATACGAGTCTATACACCGTAAACGATGAGAGAGATCTGTAACCCTTCCCCAGGCAACTTGGGTTGCAGCAAGAGTTGGAACTCCCTCATCCAGCAGTACGAACGAATCCAGTTAAGAAACTCGTATACCAGCGCGCTAGTGCCCTAAGAGGCTTAGCGTCTTTGGGAGCCGGTAGTAGGTACAAATATCCGACCGGCATCCCGACGGTATCGACGAAGAAATGTTTACATTATACACTTATACGCTATCAAAGCCAAAAATCTGCCATAAGGGATGGGACTTTTGTTACTTGAAGCCAGATCTAGCTTACAATTTGTTCAATAAGATGATATTATCTAGAATTATACGGTTGATATCAAAGCTGAATATCGGCAAAGCAGACGACGGAATATTGCCACATTACTAGACCTTTGTTGAATAGCGGCTCCATCAGAATATCGTTGCTTCAAAGTTAAAAGGGTCTTGTATCAGTGCACTCCAGTCAACAGGGTCCAAAAATCCAGACAAATCAGCAAGTCCGTTGCTGTTACCATCATTTAAAGGAGCTAACTGATCTTCCGTGTTCCTATAGTCTTTGGGGTCACGTTGCTGTTGTCCCAGGTCCTGCAGATGACGAGACTCCTGTGTTTCCTGCTCTTCCTGCTCCAGCAGATAACCATCCAGAACGACGGCATCCTGTTGCTTTCGCATCTGCGATAGACGAACCAACCTCTTAACAGTCTCGAATGCCTGGTAGGACTTGGGGGTTCCGAAATGCTTAGCAGTCTTTTTCAAGATTGCCATTGATTCTCGAATATGCAGCAATGAATCAGGCGTATCAATCGCCAGAAGGACACAAGTAAACTGAAAAGGCACGTTGTTGACATGCCACCAAGGGCAATTGTCGTCGATGCATTGGCGAGATGCCTCAAGGCCTCGGCGCCCAAGACTAATTACTCGATCGATCACTGTCTTATTGGCACTCAAGCCAAGAAGTTGAAGGCGTCGGTAGATAGTGAACGCCAAGACGCTCTGCGAAAGGACTAACGCACTATTTTCAAAGTTATAATGCTGTAACTGTTCCAAGCATTTCTCCAAATCGTCAGCTGACATGTCTTTGCTTGGGTCTAAATTATCGGAAATTTGAAACAAAGATATCAAGACAGAAGTGCAATCGCCATCTAGGCCCTCCGACTTAGGTACGCGACAGGACTCTCCTTGAAGGATGACTCTTGTCCTCCCATATTCGAAAGAAATCCAGGTATTTAGTATTTTTGCAATCCAGAAGACCCGTCTCTTGATCTCGGTTTCTTTCTGGTCTGCGTCAGTCGATGGAGGAGACGCAGTATCAGCGTAAACCAGTGAAATAACACCAGTCGCAGATTCCTGGTGTATGCCAATAGCTTCAATTATATGAAGCGCAGTACAACTTGCCATCCAGGAGGCGTGCGGGGAGCTACTGCATCGTAGGTACAACGTACGCAGGAGCCAGCCTGCGGCATCATCCAGCGTTGGGTTCACCAGAGTACCAGATGACTCAAGGATCTCTTTGGAGCATTCAACAAGCTGACGCTCCTGCTCCCAGCTTGCTTGAGACGAAAACATGGAACCCAATGCCGCCACGCCGCACAGCACGCTATCAAACTCATTTGTGGCATTGGGGTCTTCCCACCGCCGTTGGGCGATGGCATACACCGATTGTAAGTCTAGAAACCCATAGATGGGTTGGATCTTCTCTTCGTAGATACGATACAATTCTTGCCAAGCATTATGGGATAAAATCCAAGTAATACTCTTTTCCGAGCGCCGCGAACAATGGCGGATACCCAAATTCCAGCCGGGACATTCCCTCCTTTGGGCGTTAATCTGAGAGTTTAACCTCAAGCCGAGAGTACGTGGGAAGACCACGCCGGAATTTGCTTCCATATTTCGCTCACGCGAGGCCGACTGAGTCTGCTTATCATTGTCACTGGCACGGTTAAAAGGAATGCCGTCATGGCAAGTCTTGGGCGGCAGTTCCTGCTGGGACGTGCTTTCGAGGTTGATATTTTGGTGTTGAGACTGATTTTGTCGTAATAACACTGCCGCAGCCTTCTTGGGCCGAGAGGGCTGGTCGTAATAGCATTGATAGTCGTATCTCGTGCAGGACGCGCAGGGATTTCCTCCGTCACACTTCCGCTTCCGAAGCTTACATGCTGTGCAGGCGAGTCTAGTCCGGCGGCGGCGAGGGGTTCTCGCTATAGATGTGGGCAGCAGTTGTTCCATGATGGCCTTTGATTGATCGTGGGGTTTGATGGGAAAGGCAGAGAGGATGACGGAGTTATATCCTTCCGTCATCCGCACGCTTCCGCTCTTTCCGCTTTTCCTTTTATGGACTAGCTAGTTGATTATCAGATTAAGGTTATCAAACAACGCATTATATGTCATCTATCTTCTACTGCGAATATTCTATAGATAGTAGATAATAGTGCATGATTACTCTACCTTTCAGAATGCAGTCGGATCCTCTCCTGCATTGCTACCTATAAACGAGCAGTCGGCCTTTTTCCGTGAAGCGGTTAGCCGGACTCGGCTGACTGAAGTCTTAATCAGGGCTTCCAAGTTAGATTCACCCGAATGGTACCTATCTTCCGGATGTCTGTTCCAAACCGCCTGGAACATGTTCACTAGACAACATCCTGAAGCTGGCATTGCCGATTATGATTTGGTTGTATCCTGGGAGGCAGCCCCAGGAATTGTTGAAAGATGCGGAAACAAAGACAACCGCCTCGACTGATTCTTATGTCGCATGATCGGACCACACAAAGCTCGAAAGAGATTTGGGTTACTACTAATCTTCCCTCTTAAATTCGTCGATAGCCACATTATGGGACGATTATATTAGCCAGTTATTCCTTCTGTAGCTATGTATACCGAGTATCTGACTGTTTATATTACATGTGTTGATATGCTTGAAGTCTCAACACTACATCTAAAAACCTCAAGTGCTGTGGCTATACCCGGTTATCAAGATAGACTTTTGCGCTTATACAGATAATACTACACGTCTTGTACATGGAAATACTCATCTAGACTTCCTTATTGGTACGTAAGGATGATCGACATAAATTCCGGGAAATTTTCTAATTCTAATATGCTAAATAACACTCTACGTGATGGAACGCTTATATCTGCAAACTGGAGCGGTGTCTTCAAATCGTACTCGGATAGCAGTCAGCAGCATCCGCCGTCTTGGACATGGCGAGCTCAAAACTAATAAGCATGCCATGAGTAGACTCCCGCTTTGACAATGGTAGATTTGGAGCCATCTGAATAGTAATCCATGCCACTGGAGGATGAACCAGATTATCTTCTAGAAGGATCTTCCATGGGTGCCAAGGGGTAAGCATGCCCCAAACCGCAAAATTTCTGACAACGGTAAAAATCCGATGATATTCTGTTTGTGTAGATTTTAACCACTTTCGTTGGCCTAAAAAATGTGAACTAGGTTGACCATTAAATCCATTCATCTCAACCACTTCTGAAGAGTGTTGTGTCGTCTCTCTCTGAATGATCTTTACAGTATCAGGTTGAAATTTGATATTCATCGATCACTATCTGATGCTATTTATAGCTTCTTCAAGTTTTGTCTTTGAAATATTGAAATAACAACATAAGATCCCTGGGGAGGGTACGAAATTAACCTCCTGAGTTGGATTGCTAACAGGCCAGTCATCTCCACTGCAAAGCTGACTGTTATGTGCCACACAGAGTTCTCTAACACAGGGAAATATGCAATATGTCATCCATGTAGAAAAGGAGTTGAAAAGCAATAAGGCTATAGCGATCATTCTAATTATTAGGGTAGTATACATGCACGGGTCCAACGCCCTCGTCGAATAAACACTTCCGCTGCCATTGATTGGAACTCCCGTTCTGTAACCAAAGCAAATACTGTACATTCCCATCTAAGCCGCAGTCCTACTTCGCCTGCGAAAGATAGCCCCATACCTGTAGAAGACATATGGAACGGGCGTCATTATTAACGAGATGCACCCGAGCAATGTCAACGACCAATGGACACCAAGGTTCTCGTACATTGGAATGGAGACAACGACCATCGCTCCCGAGGCAATATACCTGAAAAATGTTGCACTGACCAAGGCACTAGCGGCGTACTGCTCGTAGGTATCAATAAGATATTGATAGCTGGAAATGAATACGCCTTGCACGGCAAAGCCGAATGCTACCGATGAGACAAGGCTCGACCAATAAGAAATCGATGGATAGCTGGTCCAGCCCATCCAAAAGAGTGAAATTGGAAGCCACGGTGCACCATACATGGCATACCATAGTCTTTCTTCTGGTTCAGGGAGGCCTTTCTCGGTTTCGGCAGCCCTTACAAGAGCCCTTTTGTATTTGAAGTACACGTGAGGGATAATGGCAAACGCAATCAAGAAGCCAACATTCATTCCGATAAAAGCAAGGCCAACTGAGCCTTGTGAAAATCCGTAAGTTTTCCCATAGATGAAATCGTATCCAGTCAGAAAGCCAAAGAGCACAATGTATACTACAACAAGGTACATTGTAAAAAGCGCAACCATAAGTTCGCCGAAAAAGAGTTGAAAAGGGCGGTAGCAGTTGCGTGCTAGCCTTGTCGCAAGTGACGCTGTGCGGAGTTCAATTTCTGCCTTGAATCGAGGATCGCCAGTAATAGAACGAAGATGGGATGCTTTCCATTTAAGCAGAATAGGTGCATATGTCTCCGGCACGAAAAGAAAGATTGCGCCTGTAATCAAACCAGCCAGAATAAGAGAAGTCCACTCCGACCATCGCCAGCTGATGGCAGTACTTTGGCCAATGAAAGCGCCCACCATTGGGGCTAAGAATGGACCGAGAAAAGACAATGAGCAGCACACGGGGAAAGCATATGTGCGATCCAGTAGGTCAAAGATATCGGACATGCTCCCACCAAAGGTTGTGAGGGGAGTGCATCCAAACAGCCCAGCAAGAAAACGAAAAGCCAGCTGGCTCCCAATATTGGGAGACAGCCCCGAGGCCATCAAAAAGATCATTAACATGGAAAGAGTCACAATATAGACGGGATTTCGGCCAACCGTTTCAGAGAATGGCGCAGCAACTAACGATCCAAAGGCAAAGGCAATGAGGTAGAGCCCGGTGGCTAACGACTCCGTTATCTCACTCACTGCGAACTCGGCTTCAGCCTGCTTCATTACCGCCGAATCTATTGATGAAGCCCAGCTGACGAGAAAGCCGGTCATACCAACAATTCCCAGTGTTTTCCATTTGTAAAGTAATTTCCAGTTTTTCGGGTTGAGCTCATCGTTCGTGCCATCAAAGCCAACGAGGAAAATCTCACCGGATTCCCCAGCTTCAGGAAGAGAGTTAGAACACACCACCTCAACGCCGGGTATGAATGCTGTCTGCCCATTGCGCATCTTTACTAGGCTTGTCTTCGGCATTCCATTGTGCAGAGCGCTGTCTCGCTTCGTTGAGTCATTCTCTGGTGCTGATTTACCGTTAACAACTTCTTCCGGTCCATAGATTTGTATGTTTTTCTCCAGATCCCTCCTCAGGCGTCGGTATTGAAGAATTGAAATCATTTGGGCAGGCTGGGAGCTGAAATTCACTGAGCAATCAAAGATAGCAATTCCTAAGATTGGCAATACTTGCAAGTGATATGAAATGTTGACTTGACTGGTTGCTTGTCACTTGGCTTTTAAAGCTATGCTGCCATCCGCTCAATCCGCACATATTCCGCACGATATCCATCCAGTATCCGCACATATTCCGCTCCAATGAAGTTCAAGGAGTATACACCGGAAATAGATGAACGCGATTCCCCTGAAGAATGAATTTTACCCGACTTATCATGGACAGTTCTCATTGGTTTCCTGCTCCCTTGAGCCATCTATAAAGTCATTGGAAGGTAATGTACCTAAGGTACCATCCCACTTTCCTTGAGTATACAACGGTTACATATTTATATCTAATTTTTAGTGGCTTCGCTCTTATAATCTACGTACTTGAATTTCAATATAACTTCTTCAACCCCAGAGTCTGAAAAAAAAAAAATCAACTTTATTGCAGCTGAGAGTTTATATGACATTTAATAATCAATTGCATTTATAGTTAAGCCAACATATGATGACGTGGCATCTTTCAGCTGGCAGAATGGATCCACAGTAAGCCCTCAGAGCTTCATACTGTAAGAGTATAAATATCCCGTATATGATCGTCTTTGATATTTCAAAATCAAAGTTCGTGGACACTTGCAGTCTGTATAAGTATTCTCCTTATAATTTGCGAGGTGCAAAACATTCAAGATGTCTGGCCTTTACAATCAGACAGTCCCGGTCTTCATCCACTACCTGAGGAATCTTTCGCATTTGCTCAAAAAAGGAGCCCAGTTCTGCGAAGAAAAAGAGGGGGTAACAGCTGCGTCGATGCTGTCATTCCGTTTGATTGAAGACATGAGAGGGTAGGCTACCTACAACATATCAAGATACTGCACGCTCTATTAACCACATGGAATATGCAGTCTTCCATTCCAAGTCCAGAGTTGTTCCAACACAGCCAAATTCACCATCCAGCGAATTGGAAATCACGAGGTACCGACGCTGGAGGACAATGAGTCGACCTTCGAGGAGCTGCAAGCGCGCATCGAGCGGACGATTCAGATCCTAGAGATGGCCAAGCCTGAGGCCATGGACGCGCTAGCGGACAAAGAGGTCATCATGGAAACGAAGATGGGCAATTTCCGTTTCGCGACAGGCCAGGAATATGTCTCCAACTATGCAATTCCCAATTTCCACTTCCACTTGACAACGGCCTATTGTATTATGCGACATCTGGGGGTTCCTTTGGGAGCAATGGATTATTTGAAAGATGTATTTCACAAAGTTTAAGCCATCCAAAATATGGGGCTCTATTCAGGCACACATAACAGTTTAATGTGAGGCGTCAATTCTGGAGTTCTAAGAGGGGAAAAAAAAAAGAAAAAAAAAGAAGCAATATCACTTGGTATGGGGAAACATATATTTTGGTCCCTTAGAACATACCTAGAACGGTTTCTCTAGCTACATACAGTGTCGAGACACGTCTAATAACGCTGGAACGCTCGAAGAAATATATCCAATGACTATTGAAGCCATGAACTTCAGTACAAAATAGTGATAATAGCAGATTAACCAAGGATAATACCTTCCAAATCTGCACAGGGCCCGTCACTTTAAATACGATATTGCTTTCTGTATCGTGCAAGTCATGCTCTTTATCAAATAGGAGACATAAGCGAACTCTTGAGGCCCCCCACTCCTAGTACAACGAAGTAAAACATTAGTTAACTACCCATTAACTAGTTGGTCAACTAGAATTTAACCTTTACTATAGATGCATTATACCAAAAAAAGAAGAAATTAATTTAATACAATGAAAGAAGAAAAGAAGAAAAGGGAAGAAAAAGACATATCAATACAACCTTTCCTAATTAGGCTGTCTGTCACATACCACATGACATCATGCTACAAGCACAACCCCTTGTACACTCAGGCCCAACAACCAGTAACATATTAAGAATGTCCAATTTTGGGTGGGTATTGATAAGAAGCCTTTTTGAACTTTTATGTAAGTATAACCTTATTGGGGATCTTGGCTACAACTCTGTAACCTTCCTATTCGAGTAAGCGCACAGTAGCACATCACCTAATTAATTGAAAGACAGAGAAGCATCCCCAAGCTGTCAAACTGAGTAGCTTTGTGGTTCAGATTTCAAGTGAATAATCAATAACGCCACTCATAAGTTAAATATTCAACTTCTCAACGCAATATGGCCACTTCAACGGCTGTGGAGAGGGATCCTAACCGCGTCTACTACAGAGCTGGTGGCTTTGAACAGTCGCGACCTATTCTCCGTGGACCGGATGCAAAGAAAACATTTGAGTTTATACCTACTGTCGACATGGTTAATATCTCATCACCGGACTTGGAACTTCGGAAAATGCTTGCTGCTGAGGTCGGACAAGCCATGAGAGAAGTTGGGTTTTTCTATGCTACCAATCCGCCAGTTGATACCAAACTTATGGGTATGCTCTCCTCAAAACTCATGTTATATTAAAAAAACCAACTCTAGGATTATTAGATGACATTCTGGAACTATCCAAGAAGTTTTTTGCACTACCATTTGAAACCAAGGCATGTACGATAACGACTTGGTCTTTTTTCGCTACACGAGCTAAAGAAAAGCAGAACAAGTACCACATGAACCAAAGCCCATCATTCAAGGGTTATATGCCATCAAAGACCATTGAGAAGTATGCACCTGATCGAGATACCTTTCTAGTTGGATCCGACTTCACAGATCCAGGGCAACATTTCATCAAAGTCGCACCACCGGGCTCTGTATCACAGAATCAATGGCCGGATGAGGAGCTCCCAGAATTTAGGAGTATATTCTATCAGTATTGTGAGCTACCACGAACAATTCTATTCTCTAACTTGCTGTTACTAACTATGTATAGTTCGCCAATGCTTTACATTTGCGAAGCAACTTATTCATATTTTTGCGCTCTCGCTTGGACTAGAGGAGGGGGCTTTTGATGAGACTTTCAAAGAGCCATTGACTGATGCGTTATTTCAGCACTACTTTGCAGACCCTGACAGAAAGGAAGCTCAAGAATTATTTTTCCCACATGCAGATTTCAGTGGTATGGTTCAACGAGATAACCACAATGAGACCCTTGTTAACAGATGTGCAGGTTTAACACTTCTCTTGAATCAAAGTGAGCACTAAATGACCCTTAAATTATTTCAATATCTAACGGCAGCAAAGAGGATGTACCCGGACTCGAGGTATTGAACGCAAATGGTATATGGGTCCCTGCGCCGCCTATCGAGCATGCTTTCGTAGTAAATACGGGAGCTTATTTTGAGTTGCTCTCCAACTCGCAATTTCTCTCTACAGTTCATCGAGTTCACACCAAGGTAAATTCTCTGCATAACTTCATGCTTGGCTTTCTGTCAATATTGATACGGTTTTACCTCCGCAGCTGAGTGTCGAAAGATTCTCCCTTGCCACATTTATCTCTCCAGACCCGTCAGTCTTCATTTCTACTCACCCAGCCCTGCTGAAGGAAGGCGAAGAATCGAAATATACCTCACATCACATTGGAAAGCGGTATATCACTGGTCTAGTCCATAATTCACCGAATCATCCGTGGTGCAAAAAGCTGAAGGCTTCTGGCATAAAGGAGGAGGATTATAAGTGGGAGCTTCTTATGCAACCATTTCCTGATGACCTAGCCTAGCCTGGGAATATCAAATTCGCAGAGGGATGGCCCACTCAGCTGCTTCCAAATAAATTGGTTTACAACACAATAATTTGTGGAAATTATATGAATGAGCCACGCAATTACCTGAAATAAAGTTAGCATACCACTAACTAGAACCTAGATAGTAGCAATTAATGATAAAACTGATATCTAGTGCAACGTCCATGACTTGTTACATGGCGAAGCCGAAGTATATTCGTCTAGGTCATAGGAGGGTGACCGCAATCAGGGAAATCGCGATTTGACCGGGAGTTCTCCTACTTGGGATTCATTGATACCTATACGTCAGCTTAACTGACTATTGATTTATATATTATTGCAAGGCTTACTCTATTCCACATGTTCGCACGATGACGTTTACGATCGAATTGGTTCAACTACCTTTGAACGTATTGTCGCTATCTAGCCTGTAAATTTTTACACATTGATATGACTTTCTATCTCCTTCAAAGTACTGCCCAATGGCATTTAATCAGCATATTTGAGTAGCCGAATTCCAAGTTGGCGTAACTTGTACTTCTCGATCTTCCCACTTGAAGTGAGTGGCATTCTTTCTTGCCAAAAAACGAACCGTGGAACCAACATCTTGGGCAATCTATCCTGAACCCAAAGCTGAATATCTCTTTGACTAAGAGTCGTATGTTTCAACTCTCGATTCTCTTCCTTTTCCAAGTTTTCAACCGTATGAATGCCAGTTTTGACGATGACAAAAGCAGCAATGATCTCTCCATACTTTCCGTCCGGCAATCCCACCACGCTCGCATTGGAAACCATCGGATGCTGGATAAGGACATTTTCAATCTCGTGGGGATAAATATTCTCACCCCCACGAATAATGATGTCTTTTATCCTTCCCGTTATTTGTATGTACCCGTCAGGCCGAAATAAAGCCTCGTCTCCGGTTCGCAGCCATATCTGTTTCAGTCCATCCTCTTTCTCTTGAACAATGAAAGATTCTGACGTCCTTTTCTCGTCTTTCCAATAACCTTTCATGACCGCATAACCAGATATCAAAAGCTCACCCTTTTCGCCTCTCTTTAACGTTCTAGTCGGATCGTCACGAGCAACGATCCTTGCAGAGGTGTGAGGTAGCATTCTGCCGACTGTGTTGAGTTTTGCTTCTAGAGTATCGGTGGATGCCGTCTGACAGATTATAGGAGAGCTTTCAGTCAGACCGTAACAATTAGTTAGGTTGGAGAGATTGAGCTTTTCATGTAGGGCCAGTCGCAAAGATGCCGGGATAGGACTTCCTCCTATAACTCCTGTGCGTAGATGTTTAATTTCGTCGGGATTAATGGAATACTTTTCAATTAGCTCCAGCTCTGCTAGAAACATTGTTGGCACCCCATGAAGGACAGTTGGCTGGTCGTCCTTAATTGACCTGACTACTGCTCCAACATTGAATGCCTCAGATGGCAAGACTATACATGCCCCTGCTAATATAGTAAGCTATGGCCCAAAATTTGTTCTTTGAGAGAGGAGACTGCACCGTAAGCCATAGTGGTTATAATTCCAAGAACTAGTCCGAAGCAGTGATACAACGGAGGCGGACAACACACTATATCAGACTCTGTTAATTCCATTCCTAAGCCAACTAATACCCCGTTGTTCAACACGTTTCGGTGAGTCAAACAAGCGGCTTTCGGAGTCGAAGTTGTTCCAGAAGTGAATTGTATTGATGCAATATCACAATGCTTCAACTGGTCCTGTACTGGCAACTTTCTGCCTTGATTCGATGATAGGAGCATTTCATACTCAGCTGTGGCTTTGAACTCCGACTTATGGGCTTCGTTAGTAGAGTTGTCAACCAGCAATGAAACAAAACCACTTCGCTCAATTCCTTGTAGCACTGCCGACAGAAGGGGTGCCGCTGATTTCGGCTGCTTGTAAGGCAACATGATCTCTGTACTCAAAACAAAACATTTGGCTGACACATGGTCCAACGCCGAAATAACTTGAGCTGGAGTATATGCTGGATTTAGCGGAGTCACAATGGCGCCTATTTTAAAACACCCGTATGATATCTAAAATGCTTGGTTAACGGAGGATGGTAGAAGAAAGCATGAGTCTTACCACCGCATTTGCGATACTGTTTCCTAAGCTGATTGCGACTCGGTCTCCCTGTGCAATACCGAGATCCAGAAGCCCTAATGCTAACGCATCACTCTGTTGATCCAACTCCCTATAGGAAAGGTGGGCAAAAGCATCCTTGATTGCAGTTCTGTCCTGAAAGCTGGAAACAGTCTCAGCAAACTTTTGACCAATGGTCTGTTCTAGAAGCGCTGGCTATCTACGTTCAGCATAAGGTTGAACAGCTGACATTGGGGGATACCTACCTCTTTTGGGCCCGAGAGATAAGCCAGTTCCTCCTTACAGGAAAGCATTGTGCTTTTCTTCACGTCTAGGGACAAAGGATATGCCGTGATGCAAGTTTGGTTAGTTGTCCTACTTTTGATTGATAGAATCGAGCGAAAGAATGCAGATGGAGGATGCATGAGTGGAGTACTACCAGCCCATGCCCATGAAATTCCACCGTCCCTTGTCGATCTATGGTTGGCAGTCACATACCTGTAAGCATAAGCCGTAATCCTGGGCGCCAAGACCAAGTCCGCCTAGTTTTCGTACAAATTTGGGTTCTGCGTAATTTTGTGGGATTTTTTGATACTGCCTGTTACATGCTAGTCGAAAGCGCTAGTAGTAATAAATAGTACCTCTGCAATACAAAAATTATCTGCTTTCTTCATGCTTTCCGATACCAAGCAAAGTCAAGCCTACGTCTTTCAAGATGTTGTCTAGAACCAAACCACTCTGGATTTCGAAGCTGAAACAGAATTCTCTCCAAATGAAGAGAAGATATCTCCATGAATAGTATGAGACACTTCGACCCCTGCCCTAACTTACTAATATCGAATCTAGACGCTGACCTCGAGAGCTTTCTAGTTTGGTAATCGCAAATGGTTCAAAGGAGCTACCTAGCTTAGGATTAAAAGCAACTTTTGCTGGGAGAACATCGTCAAACGAGATCAGTAATCCGAAGACAATTTTTGCCTGCCAAGCAGACAGTATTAAAAACGTGAGAGAGGCCATAGAGCAGAATGTACATCTAATATGAGATATTGCAAGACTCTATGAGGCGAACTAGGTCCTAATGCAGCTCTATAGGGAACCTGGGATATGTCATCAGTGACGATTCTTCCGCTCGAAACGGTTCACACAAGCCATCTCGAACCGTCTCTAAAATCTGCTAAATAATATTTACGAAAAGCAATCATGCATGCTTATCTTATGGGCCATGCACGTGGAATGTTGGGATATGTGTGCTAAGAAATATCAAGAATTCGGATGCCAACTACTGCGGTTGTTCACTAAATATATGTTAATTACGGGCATATAATTAAGCTTCTGTTACACCCCCAAAATCTTCCACTAGACGGCTACTTAAATATGCCGCCATGTCATTTATGAGTTTGTCTTCACAGCTTCCCTTCTGCCATGCAAGTGTGATTGTCAATGGGCCGCCTGGGGTACTGATACAACTGACTGCTACAACTGGTCCCGAAACAGAGCCACATTGCGAGACCACCATCTTTTCCAATCTTAGAAGAGACTTTTCTTGAAGTTCTAGTGTCTCGAACATCTTTTGACTGCCCACATTCGAAACTTCGTACGTTAATGCCCGCTTCTTCCCAATTTGCGCTTTTGCCTGAGCATACCAATCGATGTCACCAAACAGGGCGGCCCAAATGTTGTTCTTCGGAGCGCGCTTCAACTCGGCACTCATATCATGGTAAAACTTCTGGGCTACTTGGATGATCGATCTTGCGTCTTCTGCCGGGCTCTCTGGGCCAAGGCGGATGGTTGTAACTAGATGCTCTGGGAAATCATGCACCAAAGCAGACACGTGGTTGCAGATTTCGTCGTCGGAAACTTTCGAGAATTGTCTCATAGAATAAGGCGTGACTGCCCTGAATCCACATCCAGGGGTAACGGTTCGTGCGAGATATAAGACAACCAACCCATGGAGAAGACCAGTCAGACTAATCTGTTTGCTCTTGCAGAAGCCCAGGACTGTCTTTAATTTTGATGAAGGTATGGTAATCAGGCGAAGACCCGATTCATACTCAGCCGGGGAGGGCAGAAACACATTTGTCCCCGACCAGAGATTTGTAGTGTCGTAACTGATGTGATGCATGTCTTCCTCATCTTTAGCGAGTAGGTCGACCACATCTTCCAGAAGGACTGGGCATCGTAAGTCCCTGGGGACGGTGTATGGCCAGATAACTTCTTCATTATTTTCGTTGTTAAAGAAGTGGAATAACGTTCGATGAAAATTCACGTGACTTATGCCATCTGCAATGGCATGGTTGGCTAGAAATGCGATACTGACTTTCTGAATTGGTGGAACTTTTTGCGCTCCTGAACCCCATTGGGATCCATGCTTAAGGATGACTACTCTCCATGCTGGTTTTTGATGGCCATCCGTAATAATCTTTGCATGCCAGTCTTCGAGCATAGCTTCAATTGCCCGGTCATCATCTTCCTCACTCGGATCCTGAATATCCTGCCCACGGAAATCTACGACATCTTCGTAGTAAATTGCTGGTAATCTGAGGAAGACTGCTTCTCTTTCCTGTGTTTGGTCCACAATTCCGTAGCAAAGTGAAGGATGGTACTGGACAGTTTGATACAAGGCTCGCGAAAATCGCTCAGTGAACCAGGAATCGGCGTTTGAGAGTCCATCCGTTGAATATGCACATACGGCAAGAGCATTTCCTAATCTGTAGAAACCTGACACATTCCGGGCTGAATAAAGTCGCCCCAGCACGCCTATGAATACGAATAGTAAGAGATAATTGATTCAGAGCGTCGGCGGTTCAAAATCAAGGACTTAATGAGATACGAACCTAGATTTACAATATCTTCGTGCTGCATGGCTCCAATAAAATGTTGGCTATTTTGAAATGCGTAACGGGTATCGTCCCTTAGTGGCAGCTCTGTGCTAGATAAGTAAGTGTACATCTAGCTGTTCGGCTGGCTAATCGTCTTCAGCCAATAGGTACGTATTGGTATTACCAAGTTCTTGTATTTTTTCTTTTCTATTAACAAAAACCTGACTTGTTAGTTACGTATTATATATCCCAAACCAAGAAATCGTTTATAAACTCTAAATGCGCACGTTGAAAGCAAGTCACGGTGGGCCCACGAGTAATAAATAATGTTGCAATGGGCTGCCGTACTACCCCTATTTGGACTGGCTATTTTTATTTAAGGTTTAGTGGGGTTACATACCGGACGGCAGATGCCGCTCCACCGCACTAACTCCACCGTGAGCCCCACTATGGTCCATAGAAAATGACGCGCGACAAACTTGCGCCGCCACTCGGCTAGGCATGACCGTCACTGTCAGTTTCTAACTCAGCTTCCTAAAAGAAACACGCCTGGGAGCCCAGTGATAACATACTGCCACGAGTGGGCCGCGTCTGATACGCAAATCGAATGGCGGTTTTGCGAGATTCCTCATTCTTGAATTTTCTTACCACGTAGATTTATTTGGCTCCTACCTACCAAATTTGGATACGCAGATCTGGTGTTATATCCCACATTCTTCTTATAGTGAGACATCAAGCCATCGCAATTAGTTGGTGATAGTAAATCCTAGTTGTCATGTGTATTACCAGAGGCCAATTGCGAGGGTGAGATTATTATGTATGACCGATGTTGTGTATACTTTCAACACCACAGAACTCAGGAAATTGCGTTTACAAAAGCAAGGGTTTATGTACCAGGATATGCCGTATCCCCTTGGCTGCGGACTTGCTTACTTTAGTGTCTGTCAGATAGCCTAGATCTGTCACTCAGACTTTTCTATCCCGTTAGTTACCAAGGCACTAAACGTAAACACGTTCCCACCAACCAAGGCGATGGCCGTCTCGCCAATCAACTGACTGGCAGGTGCCAAGGCCCTAATGTGAACAAGTGCATACCACATAGCCAAGGGAATATAAAACCTTAGGCCCAGTATATCCACAGACGACTCTACTGTCCTACACAAAGTACGCAGCATATCATTTGAATGATTATCCTCACAGGACTTGCGGTGTAGGATTGTGGAACAGCATGAAGCAGTGAAACTCAATCAGATCCTGATGCTTGAGAGCCAAGAACAAGAGATAAGGCTTCTCCACATTTGTAACGATATCGTTGTCTCTGCGCTCAAACTTAAGTTGGAAACCTCCTGTCCTCTGCAGTCTCAAGCCCGTCACGTGTTTTTTGTGATACACATCTCACGAGTTAGAGATCGTATATGCCGTTTCAAAAATGGTATACTTCTTATTTTGGATAAAACTAGCCAGTACGGTCGGCATATCAATATGCCTTTGGTTTGCTTTAAGGCTCCTCCGAGAGCGACGTCGATTCGCTGGCCTGGTGAGTTGGTATCAGATTCCGCCTCAAAAATCAGCACTGATCTTTTCAGCCTGGGCCTCCCCATCATTGGCTATATGGCCATTTACCGATTGTGAAAAGAATCAAAGCTCGACTGCCCGCTGATGCTCATATAAATCTTCTCCATGCAGCTATTGCACGAGAGTACGATTTGCATACTATTTATTACCTTGACTTATGGCCTACATACGACCCCATGGTAATAGTTCTGGATCCTGCGCTCGCAGCACAAGCCACGCAGCTGAAGAACTTACCAAAACATCCTATGTACCGTCTGATGGAGTACACGGTGGGAACGCAAAGCATCATCACGACAACAGGGGAGCAATGGAAGTTCTGGAGGAAGGTTTTCGATCCGGGATTCTCAAGTTCACATCTTGCAACTCTTACACCAATGGTGGTGGGACGAGTGAAAGTATTCATTGAGAAGCTAGAGGAACACGCCAAGGCCGGAGAGGTATTCGAGTTGCTACCTCTCACTAAAAGTCTGACAATTGATGTGATAGGCCGTGTCACCATGGCTTCCGATTTCAACACGCAGAAACAATCTCATGAGATAGTGGAAGCATTTCTGGCGATGCCAAAATACATTCCTCCTATCAATTTAGACTTGGTTAGGCTCCTTAGCCCGTCGCGGATCTGGAATGCAAGGCATTATCAGAAAAAGCTGGATAGACTAATTGGAGAAGTTGTGAGCCAACGATTTCAGGAAAGGAGAGCGGGCAAAGTTGCACTTGGAGAAAGGTCACTAGTACATCTTGCCTTGGACACTTACGAGCAGGCTCGGGAATTGAAAGCGGAAACTCTTGCCACAGACACAAGCTTCATGCGCAACATCGTCCATAATATTCGCGGATTTTTCTTCGCAGGCCACGCAACGACTGCTGCGTCGCTATGCTATTTATATTATCTTCTCAACAAGCACCCGGATGTCTTATACCAGCTTCGCACAGAACATGAAGTGTTCCTTGGAGCTAATCCTGACGACGCAGAAGAAAGGATTCTCGAAGAACCCCATATATTAAAAAGGATGCCATACACAACGGCTGTGATTAAGGAATCGCTAAGATTATTCGTCGGAGCTGGGACGATACGAAACGGAGTCCCAGGCCTCAACTTAGTTGATCCAAAGACACAGATTGAATACCCGACCTATCGTGACGGGCCATTCCCCATTCTAGTGAGAGCATTTCCCATTCATCGCGACCCCACGAATTTTTCAGATCCCGATCTCTTCTTGCCACAGCGTTTTCTTGGTCAAGAGGCGGGTGAGATGAAGAAGGATGCATATAGACCTTTTGAGAAAGTAAGTATTCCGACTTTTGCGTACGAAAAATCAATAACATTTGTTTTAGGGTTCCAGGGACTGCCCAGGTCAAGAACTCTCCATGATGGAAATGAGAGTTACGTTGGCTCTTACCATCCGCAAGTTCAACTTCGACGCGGCATATCCGGAGGATGCCCCGGAAGTGATGGGGGATCACGCATACAACGTGATGTTTTCTAGTGCCGGTCCAGCTCGCGGCTTGCCGGTAACAATAAGTAAGCTAGTGTAGAGAGAAGCAATGATGCTGCCTCCATGCAACACACAATTGTTGAAATAAACTGCTTGTTACGTCCCCTCCACGGCAAGTAGACTATGTGGCGCCGGAATTTTGCAGGCAATCAGTAGATGGAGAAAATATTAAATGAAGAAATGAATGTAGATACTGGGGGCTTCGCCCTCTAAGATAAAGTTAACCTCAGCAACTACGGCATCAGGGTTCCCAGCACTGAGCATATTTTCATGTTCTTAGGTACAGCACCGAAACGGCTCAAGTAGTATCTATGTGAAGCAGACCGAGTGACCATTTGTCAACTACCAGGTCTCTTATCTGACTCAGTCTTACGGAAGGGGATTTACAATCGCCAGGAGTAAACCATCGATTTAATTAGTGACATATGTGTTGATACTCGACCAATTTGTGAAAGTGGGGCCCTGTGCTGTCGAGGTAAGGAGACAATTTTGGAGAGAGTTCGTCTTCGTGTTATCGATCCGATGACGCTAGCCGGAGATTTCGAAGCCCTTGAACAAAAGAGGTAGGTTACATTGCAGCGTTATCAATCAAGCAAACATTATAGAATTTCCTGTCTCCATCGCGTTACGGGACGCATATATTTCCATCTATTTTTGCTGTGGAATTCTCCACTAGAGGAACAAGATAAGAGGGGAACAGAGACCATTTGAAAAGAAACAGTGAAAAAAAAATATTACATCAATATGTCATACATGGTTCAAAACGTTACTAGGAGGGCGTTCTCAGCGGTGTCGTCCGCCAAGGGGAAGACTTCAGAATGGCTGGTGATGCTTGCCGATAAGCCTGGTGTCGTAAGTGCCCCTCTAGTTTTTATATCTGAAAAGGTCGAAGCTGATAATCAGGCGACAAATAGCTCGAGCGTCGCATTAGAATCCGTCCGACACACTCCAAGAACTTCGTGAAACTGCATCAATCAGGCATCGTGTCTTGGGCAGGTATGGCGTGCGACTGGCCCGACTCAGCCTCCACCATCAACTAATCATCGGTTACAGGGCCCGTCTTCAAGGAACATGTTAAGGAGGGGCTTGTTCGGCCGTTCATCGGCTCGATGATGGTGGTTAATGCCCCTAGTCGTGAGATGGTCCGAGAGATACTAGAGCAGGACGTTTTTGTAAAGGAGGGTATTTGGGACTGGGAACACGTGCAGATACTGCCTTTCGAGACGCTTCTACGCCGCCCGACCAATGTGGAGGGCGGACCAGGCCAATAATCATGATATCTGGAGCGGTGAGAGCGGATACTGTGGAAATAAAAATATTAAGGCCAAGTCGTTCTTGGCAAACAATTCCAATGCAACGGCGTTTAACTTGGCAGCTGGGCACTTGGGTTACCACCGTACACACTCCGTAGTAATCGAATGAACAAATTAAGTAACTAGTTACTTGATATGCATCTAACTTAGATTAACGAATCAGATCCACGCAATCTGTCAAAAAGCCCACGACTCTCAGCACTGCGGGAAGCGCCCCTTCTACGCGCTAGTTCAGGAACTGCCGAGCTGCCGAACTGCCAAGTTGTCAAGTCTTGGTGACCCTATGGAGCCGCTGGCTTGGTTCCTGTTGATGGTATATACTCAACAACTTGAGGCCTTTTTTATTTTCCCCTAGGAGCGGTGGAAACATGAGAGGGAAGACAGCACATGCCTATTTTGTGCTAGTGAGTTATCTCCAGGGCTGAATCAATTAGGCTTTCGGCCAAGAAACAGTGGAGCCAGCCAAGACTATTCATAGAATCTCCGTACTCCACAGTGAGTGCCAGTGGGGTTCTAGTACGCTAAGCTACTTATGGCAACTCTCGAGGTTCTAGTTGCCGGACCCACGATGTATTACCAAAAGTCTAGAATGCCGGTCTCGCATACAACGCGAAACATAACTGGTCCTCTGGGTATGAATATGACTTTGTACCACCCAACTCCTTCATGACTTACATGTTCCGAACGCACAACGAAGCAAATCTCACGTCCTCAACCTCTAGCTATGGCCCAGAGCTCGTCTTCGGACCTGGAATACTGGATATTACGCCTGCAGGATAAAGAATCATGCCTCTTCCCGCCTTTGCTTGGTGGGGTAACAGGCGCAAACAAAAGCCAGTACATAAACCTCACTGTGCCTAGCCTGTCGTCAATACAGGGCTTTTGCAAGACTCAAGAACTGCGCTTGTCGACTATATTTCAAACAGCTTGGGCCCTCGTGCTTCGCAGCTATATGGGAACAAACAACATTTGTTTTGGATTCCAAACCAATTCAATACGCTTGTTACCATGCAATTTTACTCTGGCCAGGGAGACCAGCCTCAAACATGCCCTCGAGTTAGTCGAAGCTGGACTCGCACGTGACTTAAGTCACATTGAATACTCTCTTGAGGAGCTCGAGCATGCCTTGGGCCTACAGAAGACGGGACTTTTCAACACGATTATCACATATCAAGATAGCCCACTCAGACATTCGCCGGCAGGGGTTAACAGGGTCAATGGCCAGGTCAATGGGAGTCGAGCAGCAATTACTAATGGATACGGAGACGCAACTGCCCCAAGTTCACGATACCCTATTGAGATTCGGGTCAACGTGTCCACGGATTCGATATCAGTGCAGTTAAAATATCAACAGTCGGCGCTATCCGATGCATCAGCTATGGACGTGGCGAGCGCGCTGGAAATGGCGTTAGGATGCGTTTTAGATAGTGCAGCCAAGCCAGTAGGAGAGCAGAGCCTCTTCAGTCCCAAGCACCAGCGACAAGTAGATGAGTGGAATCAAGGACGGCCGGAAAGCATCAACATGACCATTCATGAAGCTATCTCGGATCGAGCACAAACTCAGCCCGTTGCACCTGCCATCAATGCTTGGGATGAGAAATGGACATATCAAGAAATTGATGAGCTTTCCTCGGCTCTGGCACTCCATCTGGTTAATATCGGCGTAAAGACTGGAATGAAGGTTCCTCTTCTATTCGAACGGTCGGGTTGGTGGGTCATAGCTCTGTTAGCTATATCCAAAGCCGGGGCGGCATTCGTACGTATAGTCTGCATTCATATATTTGTTTGAATCATACACTGTTTGTTGCGAACGCATCTTCAATGACGACGAAACAAACATTTTGTGCGATGGACTTTCTCATGTCTACTGAAATCAGTGCCAACATAAGGCTCTTGATATTGAATGGATAGTGCTGATTTACATTCAGGTGCCAGTTGACCCTACACAGCCTGTGTTTCGCCTCAAGGAAATCGTGGAAGACATCGAACCAAAGTTCTTATTATCATCAGCCCAATATGCCGAATTGTTGGCGGATGTGGTAGAAACTTGTGTTGTCGTCTCCCAAAGTTCCATGAAGAAGATCTCCTCATCACCGGGTCCAATCCTCTCGCTCCCAAAAGTGTCTGCGGATGCTCATGCGTATGTCTTGTTTACGTCTGGCTCGACGGGTAGGCCTAAAGGTGCCGTGGTACGGCACGGTGGCTGTCTTGCGGGGTTATCATGCTTGATTAAGGATATATCAATCGGGCCAGGGACAATGGCGCTCCAGGCTAGTTCATATGCATGGACCATATGCATTATTGAAACTATAGGTGCCCTATGGTGCGGAGCGTGCCTTTGTATACCAAGTGACCACACTAAGCTAAATGACTTCGCTGGTATCTTCAATGATATGGGTATAACTTGGGCAATATTATCGCCTTCGATCATTAAGTCTGTTCAGCCGGAAGTTGCACCGTCACTTAGAAACCTCGTATTATGTGGAGAGCCAGTATCGAAAGAGGTGATCTCCAAATGGGCCTCTAGACGCACGAAAGTTTGGGTCTTTTGGGGCTCCACCGAGAGTGTGGCCATTTGCAGACCAGACCACTTCACGGCAGACTCCGATGTACAAAATCTTGGACCGTGTAAGGGAGTGTGCCGGGTGGTTGATATCAACAACCCCGATCTCCAAGTCCCAATTGGTGCTGTCGGAGAAATAGTTATCCATAGCCCATGGATAGCAGAAGGTTACCTGCGAGATCCTGAAAGGACCGCACGGACGTTTCTCGATCGCCCAGACTGGTTAAATGGAATCCCCTCTGCCTATGGATCACGGTGGTATAGAGTTGGGGATTTGGTGCGCCAAAATTCTGATGGGACTTTGATGCTTGCAGGACGAAAAGATAATATGATCAAAATACGAGGTCAAAGGATTGATATGTCAGAGATCGAGCGAAATCTAGCATCGGATGATGGCATTAGAAACTCATTGCCGGTCCTTCCAAAAGTTGGAATATGCAAGCATCGCCTAGTCTCTGTCATCGCATTGCACCAATTTTCTCCAACGAACAATGAGACGACAAGTGATATCAATATACTAAGAGGCTCTGAATTGCAGGCTGCAGCGTCTTGGGTATCAAACTTTCGTGAGCGGTTGGCTGAGCGGCTTCCATCCTATGCAATTCCAACTATCTGGGTCATGGTGAAATCGATTCCGCTTACGATTACTGGCAAAATTGACAGGCTGTCCGTGAAACAATTTGTTGAAAGGATGGACGTCGATACATACGAAGAAGTTTCAATGCTTGGCGTCAAGAGAGAACCGCCGGTTACAGCGATGGAGAAGCGCCTCCAAAGTATCTGGAGTAGCGTTTTGGGACTTCCACTTGATAAAATTGGCCGAAATCAAACGTTTATTAGTCTTGGTGGAGACTCGACCTTGGCCATGATACTAGTCGCAAAATGCAGAAGTAGCAATCTCAATGTACGGGTCGAGGATATCATGAAATTGGGAACGATTTCCGAAATAGCGCAGCATGCCATTCCAGCTACGCATATGACAGACGAAGAGGCCACTGCAACGGAAAATTATGACCAATTACGCAACTTTATAAAAGATCAGTTACACCAAGTGGGCGTAACGGACTTGGCAGAAGTCGAAGACGCGTATCCATGCTCACCGATGCAGCAGGGTATGATTTTGAGCAAGGCCAGATTGACAGGAGACTATAATACATCAACCATCCATGAAATAGTTCCCCGGGTTCCCGGATCTTCCCTGAGCTCTGCGAGTCTTAGACAAGCATGGCAGCGCGTTGTGGATCGACATTCCAGTCTTCGTACCTTTTTTGTGGAAAGTGTTTCTCAGAGCGGGTCCTTTGATCAGGTGGTATTGAGGAAATATGATATACAGGAGACTACGACTATTCTAGAGACTGTAGCTTCTGACTCGAAAGAAGACGTGGTTAAAACCTTCAAGACTTCTCGTCCAGGCCCCTATAGAAAGACTCGGCCACCACACAACTTTACTATCCTCCCGACGACCTCGGGCAGATTATTCTTCAGACTCAATGTTGAGCATACAGTGGTGGACGGAACATCAATCGCCGTGATTGTTCGGGATTTGAACCTGGCATATAACAACAACCTCCCTATGGAACCCCCCGCTCTATATTCATCCTACATTGCTTCCCTACAGCGAGTAGTGCCTGGCGTTGACAGCCGGTATTGGAAGGGATACCTGGATGGAATGAACCCATGCCTGCTACCAAATCTGACTTATAGTCTGTCCAGGACGCCCCCCAAAGCAGAAACGCAGTCACTGGTGGTAGACATTAAGGATCCCCATCATCTACTTAAATTTTGTCAAAGTCAAGACATTACGCTGTCAGCATTGTTCAGGGCCATATGGGGATTGGTACTCCAAAAATACACCGGGTCTGATGATGTTTGTTTTGGCTACATCACATCTGGCCGTGACATTCCCGTTGATGGTATTGACGAACTCGTAGGAACGTTGATTAATATGCTTGTCTGCCGAATGAAGTTTGAGAACTCTCTTCCATTCAGAAGCATGATTGCAACATCCCAGGCCGACTATCTCGCTAGTTTATATCACCAACATGCCTCACTCGCACAGATTCACCACGAACTTGGCCTCTACGGCCAGCGACTGTTTAATACTTCCATGACGGTTCTGAAAGAGCCACCTCGGAGCTGGGAAGATGGTTCTTCTTATACTATTAGAAAAATTCATCAGTTCTCACCGGACGAGGTAAATTGCATGCCTGAAGATCGAAATTCAAATCGCTAACACTTACTTTCAAGTACGATCTTAGTGTGCAGGCGTGGGTTTCAGATGCCAGTGTGAGGATGGAGCTATGGTATCGGACCGAATGCATATGCAATGAACAAGCCATGAATATTGCGTCCACCTTCACTAAAGCCCTTGAAACGATAACCGACAACCCAGATCAACGCATCGGTCAGCTTGATCTTTTCAGTGACCAACATAGACAACAGGTACGGGACTGGAACTCGAAGATCCCAGAAACAATACAAATGTGCCTACACGACATGGTTACCGCGCAATCCAAACGACGCCCTGGCGCAGTAGCAGTAACATCATGGGACCGCGATTTGACGTGGAGCGAGCTCGAAACATATGCTGATCAAATAGCATTTCATCTAGTATCTCTGGGTGTCGGACCTGAGATACATGTAATGATATGCTTCGAAAAGTCGGCTCTGGCAATTGTGGCCATGCTAGGTGTACTTAAGGCTGGCGGCGTTGTGGTGTCAATTGACTCGTCTCATCCCATTCAGCGGCTACAACATATTATCAAAGACACCAGACCTCTGTGTTGCCTTGTCTCCCCCTTCAACGCTGATTTATTTAAAAACGATGGCCTTATAGGTCTTGTTCCTCACATTGTCTTGGTTCAAGAATCGCTCTTTCTTTCAGCATCATTATCGAGGGCTGCATCTAGTAAGGCATGCCCAGAAGTTCGTCCAGAGAACGCAGCTTTCGTTCTATTTACAAGTGGGAGCACTGGAACTCCTAAAGGGATTGTACATGAGCACCGTGCTATTGCCTCATCCTTGGAGCATCATGGAAAAGCCATGGACATTGGTGTCGAGTCACGAACAATGCAGTTTTCTGCATTTGTGTTTGATGTCAGCATAACTGAAATTTTCATGTCACTCACTCGCGGTGGCGTTCTCTGTATTCCATCTGAGGATGAGAGGATGAACAACCTGGAGCTAGCCTTCACACGCATGAAGGCCAACTGGGCCCACCTTACTCCCACTGTGGCTTCTCTCCTGGACTCAGAGAGGGTCCCCAGCTTAAAACATCTCGTGCTAGCCGGTGAGACGTTGAAGAAAGCCAATTTAACTGAGTGGGCTCCGAGATTGGAATTAGTCAATCTCTACGGACCTGCAGAGTGCGCTCTTGCTTCTACCCTTCGAGTAGGCTGCGAAAAAGATGATCGGCCGGACAATATTGGACAAGCGGTTGGATTGTTAGTGTGGATTGTCGATCCTTCAAATACTGACCACTTGGTTCCAGTTGGAGCAGTAGGTGAAATTCTTCTCGAGGGACCGAATCTTGCACGAGAATACCTCAAGGACAAAGAAAGGACAGTGGAATCTTTTATTGAGAATCCGGCTTGGCTCAGCGAAGAAAAAGCTGTCCCAGCCCGTCGGTTTTATAGAAGTGGTGACTTAGCTAGGTACAACAGCGATGGTTCGATACAGATCTTAGGACGTATTGATACTCAGGTGAAGCTGCATGGCCAACGAGTGGAGTTAGGCGAGATTGAATATCAAGTAAAGCTGAATCTTTCATCTCATGGATTGGTGAACATGGCTGTCGTTCACGCACATTCTGCCGGACATCCCGGTGGAGGCCTCCTGGCCGTATTCTTGGAGTTTGAAGCGAAGACTACTGGTGTGGACGAGGATCAACTAATGCTAGCAATTTCCCCGAAGTTGAGGAAATTGCTAGTAAAATTGAACATTTGTTTGGAAGATACTCTTCCATCATACATGGTCCCGTCTATGTACATCCCCTTAAACAAGATGCCGCTCTTGACTTCCGGCAAGATTGATAGGGGCAAACTCACAGGAATCGTGATAAAGCTTCCTACCGAACAAGTGAAACTATACTCCTTATCTGAATTTCAAGATGAAAAAGCGAAGCCTCGTACGAGAATGGAGAGGATACTTCACAAGCTGTGGTCCCAGACCCTAGGTGTTGATGGCGCATCCATAGGCATCAACGACAGCTTCTTTCGACTCGGAGGGGACTCTGTCGTTGCAATGCAATTGTCGGCCGCAGGAAGGATAGCGGGCATCACCATCACTGTGGCAAGCATCTTCCAACACCCTAAATTTTGTGATATGGCAGCGGTAGCGAAGCCATTGAACGAAACGACTTACCAAGACCTCAAGAGACGGTATGGTATAGAGGGAGATGTTGTCCAGAAATTCGTCCCATGTACACCATTACAAGAAGGTCTCATGTTGTTATCAAATAAGCAACCAGGAACATATGTGGCCCAGCACATATTTCATTTACGGCCCGATACGAATACGAACTATCTATGTAAGGCTTGGGGAATTGTCCACAATGCTTATGATATTCTCCGGACGCGAATTATCCCTGTTGAAAATACAATTGGTTCGGTCCAGGTCGTTCTGAATGAGAATATTATGTGGCAGAGGTCCACTGATTTAGATCAGTATCTAAAGGACGACAGGCTGGCGCCAGTGAGCTATGGACAGCCATTGACAAGATATGCTCTTGTTGAAGAAGCGGACTCCGGTAATCGGTACTTTGTTTGGACAGCTCATCACTCCGTCTTTGATAATTGGTCACTATCCTTATTGTTTTCCGAGCTTGCCGACGTGTATACCAAATTGGTCTCCGGAAATGCCAATATAACCCCTCCGCAATCCATGCCCTTCCATGATTTTGCTAATCAGGTATTCAACGACAATATTGCTGATGCAGAAGTCTTTTGGAATGCGCAATTTGAAGAGTCTGTCTTCTCATCATTCCCCAAACTTCCAACAGGACATCAAGCGTTGGCAGACACATCATTAGACTACTCTCTAGCGTTATCAGGCGCAGTGTTCGAAAATAAACAACTCCTTGCCACAATCGTTCAAGTTGCCTGGGCTATACTTCTAGCACAGTATTCTGATTCCCCAAACAATGTCGTTTTTGGCATGACGTTAGATGGACGAGTTGATTCTGAAACTAGCAATGTTATGGGTCCCACTATTGCTACCGTGCCTTTCAGTATGTCTCTGGACTATCAGCTTACAATTGAAGAACTTTTAAAGAGGGTCCAGCAACAAACAAGTGACGTGCAGAGGTTTCAGCATTTCGGAGTTCAGAATATCAAAAAAGTCAGTCAAAATGCGGAAAGAGCTTGTGATTTTCAGAGCTTGCTAGCAGTCCAAGGCTCGACATCAGATTATGCCGTAAAATTGAACCTCTTCGCTGATACTGTGGTCCGAGCTGCACCTTCAACTTATTTGCTTCTTCTTGACTGCCGATTAACACATACAGGTGTTGATATGATTGCACAGTATGACAAGAGGATTACCCCTGAATTGCAAATGAAGAGAATACTCCAGCAGTTTGGGCATGTCATCAGAGAGTTACTTGCTGGATATGGATTGAATAAACGCCTCGCTGATATCGAACTTTGCAGCCCCCAAGATACGAAAGATATCTTGGCGTGGAATCAAAATATTCCTGCAATCTTAGACATGTGTGTTCACGAAGTTATTGCCAATCACAGCATTGCAAATCCGGACGCTATGGCAGTTTGCTCGTGGGATGAAAGCCTGACGTATAGGAAACTCAACCAACTTTCAACAACCCTAGCGCACCAGTTAGTGTCCCAGTTTCACATTGGGCCGGAATCATTGGTGCCACTACTCTTTACACAATCTGCATGGACGGTAGTGGCAATGCTGGCAGTGTTAAAAGCAGGCGGAGGCTATGTTCCAATGGACCCATCCTACCCTTCCTCTCGGCTTCAAGAAATTGTCAACGCAACGCAGGCTTCTCTCATCCTCTGTTCACCACAACACAATGAGTTGAGCCAATCATTAGCTACCAGCTCACTGGTCGTCAGTGGAGAAACTATAAACAGGTTTAGCCTATATGAGGGAGTGGTATGTCGCAATGTTCATTCCAGGAACGTTGCATATGTTATTTTCACGTACGTATATTCCATTTGATCTGTCCATTACCCATTACCCATTGCCAAAAGAAGTTTTAGTTTGGGGATTTTTGTCGAACGAAACAGACTTCATGCCCTCTACTCTTCCCTTATAGCCCAATTGCATGTCAACGCGGTCCGCTGATTTTCTCTAGCTCTGGGTCTACTGGAACACCAAAAGGCGTTGTCATGGAACATGGCAGTTTCTGTACCGCAGCTACACACCATGGAAAACGCCTTAATTTGAATTCTCAGTCCCGGGTCATTCACTTCTCATCCTACGCTTTCGAGGCATGTATATTGGAGATCCTAACAACCCTATTCAATGGTGGCTGCATTTGTGTAGCGCCGGAGTCCGAACGCCTCGGAGACATTACCAAAACTATGAGAGAGTTTCACGTCAATTGGGCATTCTTTACGCCTTCGTTCATTCGCACAATTCATCCTGACCAGGTCCCAAGCTTAAAGACTCTTGTCCTAGGCGGAGAAGCGCTTGGAGCAGATAACATCGACGTCTGGGTTGACCGCGTTTTCCTTGTGAATGGCTACGGGCCATCCGAGACTTGTGTGTTTTCCGTAATTAACGAGCAATTGCGACGAGGCATTGCTCCAGACTTGATTGGCTCGCCGATCGGAGGCGCGTGCTGGATTGTTGACCCCGAAAATCATCACAAATTGGTTCCTGTGGGTTGCGTCGGGGAGCTCTTGATCGAAGGTCCTACGGTGGCTCGTGGGTATTTGAACGATCCTGGACGGTCACAAGCAGTATTTGTGGACAGGTCCAAGTGGCTGGCCGGCAATTCTTCGAACGTGGATTATAAACAAGAAAGTCGGTTAGGCACAACTAGTCGGATGTATAAAACTGGCGATCTTGTCTGCTATAAAACATCGCCAGGTGCAGATGGTTCGATAAGGATTGTTGGAAGAAAAGACGCCCAAGTCAAAATTCGCGGGCAGCGAACAGAAATAGGTGATATTGAATATCACTTGACATCAAAATTGAGCGGCATCAAGCAGATATCTGTTGAATATGTTGCCGTTGGTGGTCACCAGAATCGACAGTTGGCAGCATTCTTTCCTCTTAATTCTGAAACTCTGTTATCAGGGCCAGGAATGGAAACTTCTTTGCCAGTCTCAATGCCAGACGACCTCAAACGAGTAGTTATGGCTGCTAAGGCTGCGCTTTCAGATACATTACCTATGTACATGATTCCAACACTCTACATTACACTTTCAAGAATGCCTCTGCTATCTTCTGGGAAAATGGACAGACGAAAGCTACGGGACATAGCGTCCAGACTGTCAGGCGTCGATATATCGCATTACTCCTTGGCAGACAAGGTAAAACGTAAACCGATCACTGAAAACGAGATGCAAATGGCCGACCTGTGGAGGCACGTGTTAGGCTTGACTAATGATGAAGCTATTGGGCTTGACGACAGCTTTTTTGGTCTCGGCGGTGACTCAATTAGTGCGATGAAACTGACTGCTCTCGCCCGGGAGAACAAAACTACCATAAATGTCGCGCAAATATTCCAAAATCCGCGCCTAGAGGACATGGCACAGGTCAGGGAAGATCTCGATGACAGTGACAATGACATGATAGAGCCGTTCTCACTCATTCGTGGATCGGAAGGTGCCAATGAGGAGACGAATATACTTCAGAGTCTGCAGCAAATATACTGTGGAGATATCGAAGATGCATTTCCATGCGGCCCACTACAAGAAGGTCTCATGTTGCTTTCAATAAAGCATCCTGGATCTTACATGAGTCAGATTATTCTACGCTTACAACCTCATGTTGACATTGACCGCTTCAAAAGAGCCTGGCAATCAACTGCCGACAGAAATTCCGTTCTTCGAACTCGGATTACACATGTTGGATCACAATGCATTCAGTTCATCACAAGAGAGGAACTAGTCTGGCGACATCAGTCTGGTCTAGAGGAATTTCTCGCTCAAGACAAAAAGGAACTAATGGGACATGGATCTCCCTTAGTTCGATATGCTGTTGTTGATAATGAAGCGCATCAGCGTTATTTTATACTGACTGCACATCACTCTCTCTACGATGGCTGGTCTCTTATGCTCATTATGGAAGAACTTGATCGTCTATACAACGATAGCCCAGTCAGCAACATATGTGCCCCATACGCCGGTTTTATTAGACACTTGAACAACATTGATTCTGACTCTGCAAAGCAGTTTTGGAAATCTCAATTCGCAAACAAATCACTGGGGACGTTCCCTGACCCCAGAACAGTAACCCCGGCCAAAGTTGAAACACAACTATCACAACTAGCCCGTATAAGCAGACCGGCGGGATCGGAGATTACATTATCAACAGTCATTCGAGCTGCGTGGGCTCTTGTTACTGCTCGCTATGCGGAGACAAATGATGTGTTTTTTGGAGCCACTCTCATGGGTCGCAACGCTTCGCTACCAAATATCGAGAGAATGACCGGTCCAACCATTACTACGGTCCCAGTTTGCGTATCAATAAACAATCAAGAAACAGTCGGTACATTCCTTCGCCAGATTCAAGCTGACGCCACCGAGATGATGCCATATGAACACACTGGTTTGCAAAATATCAAGCGTCTGGGGCCGGAGGCCGAGACCGCATGCAGTTTCCAGAACCTCCTTGTCATACAACCAGAAGGATCAGAGCACATGTCAAGCAATCTTTGGGAGGATAATGCTTTATTCGCGAAAGGAGAAATGGTGGTACTTACCTACGCTTTGATCATTGAGTGCAGGCTATATAAAGACGAAGTGAGAATCACTACTCAGTATAGGGATCATATTATTCCAACGCGCCAGATGCAACGAATTATGGACCAATTTGAGGGAGTACTACAGCAGTTGAATAATGCTGCCCCTAATACCAGCTTGGGTAACATTGATATATGTAGCCAGAAGGACAAGGAAGAAGTACGAAGATGGAACGAGAGCTACATGGATCTGATGAAGTCGGATGCTTGTATTCATCATTTGATCGAGCGACAGGCTACTGAGCGACCAAATGCTCCAGCGATTGATTCGTGGGATACCAGCTTCACATATGAGGAGCTCGACAAGTTATCAACAGCACTGGCTAACCATCTGAGTGCTTTAGGTGTTGGTACTGGCACCTTTGTTCCACTGTGTTTCGACAAGTCTGCTTGGACGATAGTGGCCATCTTAGCAGTTCTAAAAGCAGGGGCCGCATATGTGCCTCTTGATCCCAAGCATCCAAAGGCTCGAAAGGATCATATCATCCAATATGTTTCAGCGAAGGTTATATTAACAGGGACAGAATATCGAAACATGTTTGACTCGTCATTGTGGTCTATTGTTGTTGTTGACCAAGAACTTGAGAGTCAACTGAGAGAACTACCAAAGGCCTACTACGGGCCCGGAAGCCCATCAAATGCAGCCTTCATTGTATTCAGTAAGTACTCTACATCATAAACATCGTTATAATCCTTTAATACTGATTATTCGCAGCGTCCGGCTCAACTGGTATGCCTAAAGGCATTGTGATGGAACATGGGCCATTTTGCAGCAGTTCTAGGGAACACAGCAAAGCTTTGCTTATCAACCAAAACTCTCGAGTAATGCAGTTTGCGGCATATACTTACGATGTGAGCATGGGCGAGATCCTCTCGACTTTGATCCACGGCGGTTGCGTCTGCGTGCCATCGGAGGAAGATCGACTTAGTAGATTGGCATTGTCAATCAATGCCTTGAAAGTCAATTGGATCTTCCTAACACCAACCGTGGCGGCTTTGCTGAATCCAGAAGATGTTCCTGGATTGAAGACAATGGTGCTAGGGGGAGAACATGCAACGGCAGAAAACTTCAAATCGTGGGCTTCACACCTGTATCTTATCAACTCCTACGGTCCTGCTGAATGCGCAATCTGGTGCGCATGTGCACCAGGCGTAAGCCCTACGTCCGATCCTTCAAATATTGGCAGGCAAGTTGGTGCTTCTCTCTGGGTGATAGAGCCAACCAACCCACACAGATTAGCTCCCATCGGTTGTGTTGGTGAGCTTGTAGTTATAGGACCAACCCTGGCGCGCGAATATCTTAACGATCCTGCGAAGACCGCAGCTGCGTTTCTAGAGAGTCCACAATGGGCGGATGGGGTTTATCCCACAGAACGGCGAATGTACAGGACAGGTGATCTCGCACGATATGGCACAAATGGAAATATACTCATTGTTGGCCGCCGCGATACACAAGTTAAGCTTCATGGGCAACGTGTTGAACTGGGTGAGATCGAGCACCAAGTCATGCAATGCGCCCCTCCAGGATGGTTCCCCATTGTTCAGATGCTCAATGTATCTGTGAGTGGAAAAGATGCTACTCTGACAGCTTTCATCCATATTCGCAAGGACTCTGCGCCTATCTCTAGCTCGGATGTGATGACACTATCCATTACGGACGCTGTGAAGACCGCTCTTAGTCAACTTCGGTCAGACTTAGAACAAGTGCTTCCATCCCACATGGTCCCATTAGCCTTTATTCCCGTTAGTCATATACCTCTAACGGCTGGAGGAAAAGTTGATCGTGGCGTGCTACGGAAATTTGGTGAGAGCTTAACCAAAGACCAGCTACGCCATTACTTCCTAGTCGACCAGACAGCATTACGTTTGCCATCAACTGAAATGGAAAAGAGACTCCATTCGCTATGGGTAAGAGTCCTTGGTGTAGATCCTGGATCTGTGGGAGCAGAGTCCAACTTTCTGCGAATTGGAGGAGATTCAGTGGCTGCCATGAGATTATCCGCCGCTGCACGAGAAGATGATATATCTCTGGCAGTCAGAGATATTTTCAGTTCACCAAGGCTAGAAGACATGAGCAAAGCCGCCGCACCTATTTCCTTAGTTGAAGCTCCTGGTGCATTGTATACTCCATTCTCGTCCCTAGGCATTCGGGATTTACCTCAATTCCTCGAAACTGTCGTCTATCCTCGGATTGCGAATGAACCCGACGAAATTGAAGACATACTTAGGGGAACCGATTACCAGCGCTGGGTTCTTGGATGTGGCCAATTGAAAACCCGGGGGTATAACAACTACCTCGCATTCCGTTTTAAAGGGGCCCTGGACCTGTCGCGACTTCGTACTGCCTGCAGTAAGATACTTGAGCGTCACGCTATTCTACGCACGGTTTTCATTGCCTACAAGCGTCAGCTTTTTCAGGTTGTCTTAAAGCACCTTTCGGTCGAGTTCATTGAACTAGAATGTAGCGACGAACCCGCCGATAGAAGATCGATCTTTACCAGTGACATGGCACTTCCAGTATCCCTCGCACAAACAAGCATTCAATTTATATTTGTGAAATACGGCCCTAATGATAACGAATTATTGATGCGTGTGTCACACGGCCTATACGATGGCATATCGTTACCAATTCTAGTCCAAGACCTGAAGGCGGCCTACTGTGGTGAAGACTTTAGCTCTAGTTTGCCTTACTCAGCATTCATTCATGGCTCTTCCCAAACAACAGATGCGTCCAATGCCGAGTCATTCTGGCGAGAAGAGCTCAAAGGTTCTGTGATGACGAACGTTCTTAATCATTCAAAGCCGCCATTTTCTAACTTGGTTAACAAGTCTCTCAAACGAACTGTCGCAGCTCCATCGATTTTGTCACAGGGTATTACCTTCGCTACAGCGGTAAAGGTTGCGTGGGCATTTGTTCTAGCACAGTTATCGGGTCGTTTAGATGTTGTCTTTGGACAAACCACTACGGGACGCAATGCTCCCATCCAAGGAATCGATAAAATCGTCGGGCCCTGCATGAATCTTATCCCTATCAGAGTCAAACTGGATCCTCAGCTATCGATATCAGAAATAATGCTACAAGTGCAGAACAAGCATTTGGACATTTCAGCCTACGAATTGTTAGGATTCCAGAATATTATTGAGAAATGTACCACTTGGCCAAATTGGACAAGAATGAGCTCAATCCTGCAGCACACCAACTTCAATGTTGGGATGGACGATATGGACTTGTGGGGGAATATCGAGATGCATCTAGGAAATTTCACGCCTGATCATGACGTATCGGACATATGGATCTGGACAGGTCCAGCCGGGGAAGAATTTTATGTCGACTTTACATACTCAAGCCGGTCCATATCCGAATCCATAGCACAAAGTATGTGCGATCTGCTCTGTGAGACACTCACCAAAATTTCAGAACATCCACATGAGCCTGCTTCCGTGTTGCTGTCTGACACGAAGCCACTATTACCTCTCCCACTTCCGGAGAGCCATGCTACACCTGCTGCGTCGGCCAACGGTATGAATCATCAAAACGATGAACGCATTGAGGTTCTTGTTCAATCTATCTGGTCGAAGGTATTTGGTGATGAAAATGACAGGTTGCCCAATGGAGTGACAATGCAGACCCCATTCTTTGAGATCAGAGGAGATTTACTTGCAGCCGCTCAAATCGCTATGGAGTATGAAGTGCAGGGCTTCCAAGTCACTCCTGAAGATATCATTGAGAATGCTAGCATGGCACTTCAAGTTGCCCTACTCTCGCTTCTGTGACTGTCTGGTCGATAGATGCCTGACGTATGTGGTATTCCATTGGTTGTTGATATATATTCTTGTCCGAGAGTCAGCACGTCACAGGCAATAAATACGACATCACCACAAAGTACCACGCATCATATGCCGTAAACCGAGATTTCGCTTTCATAAAGTAGAGCGCCGATGCATGATTAGCAGAGCTATGTAGAATCTAGCGAATAGTGTGTAAAATTCTTCGGCTCACTAGAAATTAGCGCACCATTGCGAATTATTCTAAGCGCTAATCCGCTTTGTCCGGGGGACGCGCGCTCTAATTGGACAGCTGCAGCCCATTTGTAAACTAGGCTGCAAAGCTCATATGTATAAAGGGGGAGAAGGTTCATGTTGATTCTCTCGCAAACGAACTTTGTTCCTATGTAAAAGGCTTTAAAGGAGTTAAAAGTGAAGTTGAGCCATTCCATCGTTGCTGAACCCAATAAAACTAACAAATTTCAGTAAGATTAGGCTTATCTATGATATTCTTCTGGAAGTCGATTTATTCTTAATTATATGGGGCGCGTTAACTTCGCAGAACTTTGCAGGCTACTTCGCAGTTAGGGCTGATTCTACAAACCATCAGTAAGAACTAAGCTGAAAATATGTAGCCCATCAGATGCGGCCACGCAGTCGCAGTTGTTGGAAAACTATGGGGTCTACGACCACTTCTCACACCACCGCTCACCTCGTATTTCCATACGTGAAATTGAAATACGAATCCCATCGGCTTGGATAGCTGTACTTAGCAGCTTGGCGTTGGTACCGACGTTACATGCACTAACCGGGATGAAGAAGGAGATCAAGCCATCTTCGACTTCAGCTGATAAGAGGCGTTGGTATTAGGTAGAGCTAGAGACATCGTTTGACGCTGGCTGTGGTGGACAAACCTCGGAACCGGACGAAGAAGCAGAACAAGAGGAAGATGCCCGGGAACAGCGATACTGCCGATGCTATCGAATCGTCTCCGCTCCTTCGTTCGTCTGACGATATACGCTCGCGCACCGACGAGGGAATACACGCGACTGCCGAGGCCAACGATGCCAAATGGACCGGCGGCGCCATCCGCACTGCCTGCTTGGCGGCGGCGGTTCTCGTCTTGTACGCTTTTGCCGATGTGCTAAGATACACATCCACTGTGCGGTTGATTGAAGTTGGCGTGTGTCGGGAACACCACCCCGAGATAGACCTGCATGAGGCTCCAGCAGCCGAAGATCCCTGCAAGTCGCCACCCGTGCAGCAAGAACTGGCGCGCCTCCGTGGATACTTGTCTGCTCTAGAAGCAATTGTCGGGCTGCTCCTGACTCTACCGTATGGCTTGCTCGTGGGTCGACTGGGCGAGCCTCTGCTTGCAGGTGTCAACATTGTTGGATACCTCCTTTCATGCGCATGGCTTATCATCGTGTGCTTCTACTATAATGCCTTTCCAATCTGGATCGTTGTGCTGTCGCCTCTCTGGAGGGTACTTGGAGGCGGTACTCCGTTTCTTGCGTCTGTTATATACTCGCTTGTGACGAAACATGTTCCAGCTGCAAACAGGTAAGCTCCTAGTTTTCTAATGATAAATCCGCACAGATGCTCACTCTTACAACTGTTTCTCGTTTAGGTCCCTTTGTTTCTTCCTTTTCATGGCTGCTCAACTCTGGACTGAGATTGTGGCGATCATGCTTGCAGCGACCCTGCTCGAGCACGAATACCTATTTACCTTGATGATGCTCAACTTTCCCCTTGGCCTGCTGTGTCTGATCACGATCTTCATGTTGCGCCTTGATAATAATCGAAGTGCGTCGGCGGATGTTGAAGATGAATTAGATAACGAGCCGGTTGATTTAGTCAGCTCTATTCGACGCAGTTTGCGTATACTTCCCCAGCTCTTGCATGACCGCTATATTGTCGTCTTATTATCTACTGTTCCTGTGGCCAAGCTCCTGAACCCTATCATGGAGCTCATGTTCCAATATATACCGAGGAAATTCGGTTTATCACTTGCATGGGTTTGCTATTCCCTATCTGCTCAGAGAAACTCAACTTTTGTCGAATGTTTCTAACATTCCTTCTAGACCAGTCGCTTGATTTCCATGCAGGCATTGGAGAGCATGATCTTCCTAGTCGCCCTGTTACCACTTGCTAAGCGCATTGCTCAAACACGGTTTCATCTAAGTCCCATCAAAGTTGATTTATCAATTGCCCAGTACGGTTTTCTGGTCATGATCGTAGGTTGTCTTATCATGGCGTTTGCGCAATCGCTTATAATTTTCATCCTTGGTAAGATCCGTTCTTTTCAACGCCATAAGACTGCCTTAGCATCGGAACTAATGACTTTCCAGGCTTTTTGATCTTCATAACCGGCCTTAGCACCCGCCCTGCTCTTCAGGCCGTTCTCGCAGACCTCGTCAGTCCCGAACATGTAGCCGTTCTCTACACTATGATGGCAGTTGGAGACGGTATCGGATCAGCAGCTGGCGCATTGATACTCAATCGTAGTCTCGCAGTTGCTATCGGATGGGATGACAAAATCTATCTCGGTCTCCCATTCCTGATTGCTGCTGTTTGTTTCATGCTTGGCTTCGTGGGATCTATATTTGCTAACCGAGCGTTGCGACCAAGGTTGAGTATCTGAACCTGCCTCTGTTACATACGTGATTCTTGCATTTGTCTCTTGAAACTTGGCGCATTACGTTCAATAGAGCTATAACCAAGCTACGAGCAGAGAAGAGTATCTATGCTTCTGCGAAATTTGCATGCTCTGAAACTCTCCGGCGGTCATATAGTTCTCTTCTGCTCCAGCAGCGGACACAAAACCCTTGATCGGCGAGAAAATTATCCGCCTGCTTGTCGTTATGGTTTACCACCCGCTGTGATCGTTCAGGAAAGTGGACTCGATGCCTGCAAGCAATCACTGATATTTACTATATATTCATAGGAGCTGCTGGAATTTCTCCTTTCAGCACAGCAAGTAGATTTCTAGACCAGATTAAATTAATAATTGCGTTACTAACCCTGGGACCTTAACGAAATCCACCAACACTATCGTGAAACAAGAGCGTGATAGTGCCGAAATCCGTATCAGTCGCGGTCTGCATGAAATGGAAAAATATTTCACGAGATACTGCGGGACAATGCGTGGGTTGTAGTTCATTTGCCTGTTCTGCGTGCGTTTTCATAGGAATCTTATATAACAGACTCCATGAAAACCTCCCTCCCATGGGTTTGAAAGCCTGCTCGCAGACTTCTCATGGTAGATCAAATAAGATTGCGTTGATGTACGCCGTTTATATCGTTCCGGCAGCAGCGAATACCATTGCCTAGAAGTTATAGGAACTAACAATGAGTTGGTTAGCCATTGTCTCTCTTTTTGTTTTTGAAATTGAATTGGATAATAATAAAACCGTGGCGGGATTATTTTGCTGCAAACAGCATGGGAGGGGGCGCAAAATAGACAACTTGAGCCGTTCTCCAGAAGTCTGAACTAGAAGTTATTTCACCTGTGAATCTTGTATCTAGGGCAATGTCTTTGTCGCATCTCATTACCTGGGGCTCGCACCCTTGCGGTGGAAATCCACCCTTTCACTTCGTCATCGGCCAATAATGTATCCTCAACGATCAGAAACTGTTCGGAACTTACAATGACCAAGTTTCGGATTGAAGCAAAACCAACTTTGGTATCCGCAATCCCCAGCTTTTAGGTTCTTAGCTTACCCCGGACTCCGGGGGTTAGTCAGGATAAATTGATGATTTACACAATGTAGTTAGATACCCAAGGTGCAGTTTATGGCCATGAGTAGATCATGCAATTTTTTGCGTGGTTTCCAGATTCCTCGCTCCTTATATTTCTCTTTTCATATTAAACATCTCCTCGCTGAGAGCTAATGGTGCGTCATGGAAGACATTTCTCGTCAAATCAAAGCTTCAACCCTGCATTGTGCCAGGCTACTGATAGATGATTTTGATAGGCACTAACGACTTGTTACGTACATGTAAAAACCGTGAATGTAAATCACCACAAGTGCTGCGCGCAATTCAAAGGCGGAATACTACGCGGAGATTCAAAATAGCTTCATACATTGTTTGCATAAGTACTTGGCTATTCTTGTTCTCTCATACTGCCTGAGCTTGTAGTAATTCAAACCATTTCTTTTTCAATCGTATGATACCTGGGTATATATTTGTTCGATCCCCCTGTATGCGGGCACGTCGCCGACTCCCCGCACTTTGTACTAGTACAACAAGGCTGTTCTCGAGGGGCGGTGCAGCAACAATCACAGTGCCATTGCGATATCCTGTCCGCTAGAATAGCTACTCGAGTCAAGTCCGACCCCGCTCAGTCGCTCACGCTGGTCCTCTCATTTTCACGTGGAATTGGGCTCAGTGCTCTCTTGGCCTGGCCTCGCGACCGCGAAGACAGACTTCACACTTGAAACTCGTCTGCATTCACAGGCACCATGTCAAGTCTCGAGGCAAATGCTATAGCCGAAGGCCATTTGTTTCTATAGCTGGCACTCCATATTTGGCCCCTCCTTCAAGGCCCGTACGTGTCCGAAGAGCAAACAAAGAAATAACTACAACCTTGGAAGTGGGCTGACTCATTCCAAAGACAGTAATATTACCCCAGAACGGAAATTTTGGCTTTGCTCTGGTCTCTGTCTTCGATCTTCCGAGCGATGCTAAGCCCAAGATCACGCTAGCTTGGGTGCTGAAGTGTGTGGAGGATATCACGATTGCGATGATGTCTTTGACGAGGCGTTTCTTCACACCGTGGTGTTCAACGGTAACGAGATAGGAGAAGTGGAATACGCTGATGAGGCTCGAGAGTATCTTCGCCAATTGGGTAACGAGGAGACACTATTTGTCTCGTCGCCGGAGTTGCTTCCGGGCCCTTACGCCCTGGTGGGAGGGGAGCTGAGAGATGTCTGGAAGCTGGTTGACGATACGAACGGGACATGCATGACGACGTTGGAGTCGCAGTCGGAGTATGTTGCTAATTATCTGCTTTCTCGCATCAGCAGTTCACTGACTTATCCCAATTATAGCCCTTCCAAGGCCGCGCAGTCTTTCCAATTAAGGAGCACTAACAATCAATTCCTCAGCTTCGCACTCCGGTCGCGTATCCAATCGAAAGCACTTTTCACTTCTCCTCTCGCAGGCTTGCGTATCATTATCAAAGACAATATCCATCTCAAAGGAGTCAAGACTTCTCTAGGTAATCGAGCATTTTACGACACGTATCCTGCTCGTCAGGAATGGGCGGAATGCATCCAAAAATAACTTACGCAGGGAGTTATCATGGCCGGAAAGGCAAAGATGAATTCCTTCGGAAATTGGGAGAAGCCCACTGAGTACATTGATTATCAGACACCATAGAATCCTCGTGCTGATCAATATTAATCGCCTGGAGAGTAGCAGCTCCGGAAGTGCATCGGCTATTACAGCATATGAATGTCTCGATATTGCTATTGGCACCGACAGTGAGTTGAACTGCTTTTTTTTGACGTACGTGGAAGCCTTGAACTTCATTAACACACATTGGTTTTAGCTTGGGGAAGTGTAACAAGACCTGCACTCTGGTGTGGGTGCTTTGGCCTTCGTCCTAGTCTAGGAAGTGTTTCAGTGCAAGGCGTGGAGCCTTACGTCCAGTGAGAGACTGAATATATAGCTAAGACTCGACTAACTAGGTTGTCTAGGTCGTGGGATATCCCAGGTATCCTGGCACGAGATTTGCAGCAATGTAAGGACTTTGCAAATGGATGGTTAATCAAGGACGTATTAGAGACCAATCCCAAGGTTTGTTGTCTACCCCCAACCAGTCCTTGCAGTGATTGATTGATTCTTTGCTCATTTTCCACACCTTCAGCCATTTTCTTCCATCATATGGCCTACGGACTTTTGGAGTATTGTCGAGCCTGAGCAGGTCGAAATAGCTCGAGACTTCATGAAAACTGCCGAGTCGACACTGGGGGTACAGTGTGAGCCAGTTTCATTCGAGGGACTTTGGGAAAAGTCGCCTCCAGCTCAATCCAAGGGACTTTCGTTACTCGAATTCATCCATCCAGTAAGGAGGTCCAAATTGAAGCGGTATTCACTGACTGAATATCGATTAGGCAACGGCTTCCGTGAGAAGTACCTAAAGCAGTTTAATCGAGCACCGTATTCAACTCCGCCGAACCAAAGGCTATGGTCTTTCGGGAAAGGTCTGTCTCGGGGAGACAGAGATACATAAAGGATTCGAAAAGATTGATATCTACAAGGCTTGGTTGCAAAGTACAGTCTTGTCTGGAAAACACGCGAATGCACTTGTTATTCTCCCAATTGAATCTATGACCCCACGATATCGAGATCAGCCTCCTGCGTCAGTAGAAATACATATCAAATTGATCAAAGAAAAAACACGTGATTATTAATATCTGAGCAGATTCAAACGACCGCCCCAAGACGGCATCAATACACTTGCCCTTGCGCCGGTCCTCAAGTCCCCTGTTTTGGCTGTTCCAAGTATGATGGTGACAAGCATTTGATATAGTGCGCTCGCTGACAAACTTATAAGTCGCCCAGATTCCCTATCATTCAAAAGTTACGGGATGTGAAGAGATGCTTCCGTTCGCAGTTGCACTCATGAGCCCTCCGGGTGAGTGATGGGTATATGTAACCGTGCAAATCTACAAGACTGATAATACAAACCTAGGTACTGATATGGCACTCATTGGCACATCACTACATATTTTGAGAAGTGCAGGCTTACCCACTTCTGTGAAGACTGGCAAATCAATGTTTTGAAGGCAAGGAAGAGAGAAGATTGTACAAACACTACACGTCTCTTGAGGCCGCGCCGTGTGAGACATGTGGCGTTTCCATCTTTGCGAAAGTTCCGCCTAGCGGAAGATTGCGCAAGAAATATGATTAGTATGATTACAGATTGGACATTCTCTACAATTGAAACCATTCAGGGACAATTTGGCCTTTCCATTCTACAATATAACCAAAGGTGCAAGGGGAAAACTCGAATCTTTCAGAACACTTGCCCGATGAAAAGGGAATATTGGAAGTGAAGATTATTCGTGCTCAGAGCTCCTGTTTGACTTTGCACGGATATCCTCATCTTGCCCAAGGTGCGATAGAGACAGGGATCTGTGGCCAAGTCATACATCGGAGTCAACCCATTTCGCAATGTTATGCGGCGCGGCATGCATGATAGCTCTCGTGAAGATGTGGCAATTGAGCCCATTTAATAAATAGGCCATTTAATAAATGCTACTTATCTGCGCTGTTACTCGCCCTCGTATCGGCAAAGGCATGAACCCATCACCACAATCAGCGATCCCCGGAAAGACCGCGCAACCAATGACGCCGAGGAGCATAACAAACATGAATTTACAGGTTGGGCATCCGTGCATAATAAAATGTAACCGTAAACAAGAATCTCCGATTCAAAAGGGCGCGGGGCGGTGTTGACCTCGGTTGGGTTGAGGCTGAAGGAAGATGACTTCGAATACCGCGCTATGATAGAAATTACATGAATTCAGCTCGGTCGCTCAACGTGTCCAACAAGTCAACAGTAAGTGGGATACCTTGGTCAAGAGTCATAGTGTATATCGCAAGCCATGGCAATGACGCCGGGGGCAACTATTGAGGGCCGGTATGAGGAAGGGGTATCTCAGCAACAAAACCAAAGTTAGCTAAGTCTAATACAAGTATGTGACTCGAGCTTAAACCATACAACAGGTCAAAAGTCTACCACAATCGAAAGAACAATGTTTTACTTGGGGCGAACGCCACTCTATGACTCCGAGAAACCCTACAGTATGCGCTACCAACCGGACGAGGGAATCCAAGTTCAATGAGTGCGGGTTTCAAATTATCCAACTCAACTCTCAACTGTCGTATGACGAATTTTGGGATAATGCCAAGGTGAAGCAGATATATATCGAAGAGGTCAAAGAGGCGTTGAAGAAAGAGCTGGGAGCAAAGTATGTCCACGTCTTGGACTACGCGGTTTGTAATTTCCTGTTTCTTCTTCCAGAGAGAAAATTTTAATTGGAATCAAGCCTGATGAGTGTGCAGGTCAGAGAGCGCGATGAATCATTTCCTGTCTCTACGGGAGAGGAATACAAATACGATCAGCCAACTTCTTTAGCACACATCGGTAAGATAGCAACACCCTTAACTAGGACTCTGGTAGTTGAGAATCCCTATAGACTTTACTGTTGCAGAAGGAGAACGGATCATCAAAGTATTGTTTGGAGAACGCGCCGAGGAAGTCCTGAAAGGTCACTGGCAAGCAGTTAAGTGAGAAGCTTCATCATGGCATATCTCTGCGCTATATTATTTTTTTCTAATCCAGTGCTACCTTTATCTAGTATCTGAAAACCCATCAAAGGTCCTTTGAATGACTGGCCGCTCGGGCTATGCGACGCGCGCTCCGTGGATTTTCAAAACGATACTATGCCTGGTGACATCGTGTTCGATGATTTCTACACTGAGAACCTGCAAGTTCTCTACAATCCCAGTTACAAATGGTATTACCTACCGGATCAGAATACCTGGGAAGCATCAATCTTCAAAAGTGCGGATAGTTGGGAGGGTGAAGCGGCAGGTATGTACAAAGTAAGACTATGTCAACATGTATTAGTGAATCTAACCTAAACAGCTTGCATACACTCTGGGTTTTACAATCCTAATGCAAAGGATGGTAATCTAAGGGAAAGTTTAGACTGTAGAACATTTGTTTTTCTTAAATATTTGCCTGTAGTTGGAGATATTTCCCAGGCACGCGCGCATATGTTGTAGTTCATTCAAAGGTGCATATGAAATCAGGAGAAAAAACAGCTAGCATTAAGCAACCTATTGCCTGCTACGAAATCTCATCCACATCAATGAAATTTTTGAAACATGCGGGGGTCATTATATTGAATACCGCAAGGGATTGCATCGACACTGGGGGCAACTCTTGAGGACGGTGGGATTCGCTATCAACCACAGGAGAGAATCGGGATCACGTTGAAGCAACTTTTAAAAGTCAAACGCCCAATCACCGCCGAGAACTTGCGTGACCGTAGCTTGTCAAGCGAGACTTGACGCCGAGACGATGGGGAGGGTGATTGGTTAATCGCCGAGCGGCCTGAGCCATGCATGAGGGGTTGCTAGTTTTTGTTCCTGTGGCTTCAACTAACTTGTTCTTGTTATTTAGCTTGGACAAGGAAAAGTTGATAACTCGGATGCATCAGCGAGAATCTTCTGAAGGGCTACATGTATTGGAGATCACTGGTCATTCCCTTAAACTACATACATGGACCCCCTCTCCGTCAGCGCTTCCGCTGCGGGACTACTGACAATATGTGTGCAAGCTGTACAGATCCTGAAGAGAACAATCGAAACCCTGAGTGGCGCGAAAGATTTTCTTTTAGGGCTGTTGACCCCGTCCGCCTTTTCCTAGAGCAGCTTCGTAGCCTTACAAAGCAACTAGGACACAGCAGCGAAGTCCTGTTGACTTACAATGATAGCGGCGCTCGCGAAACAATAGATGAACTGAATGCTTTTGTGCTCGCTATGGCCCAAAGCAAAACGTGGGTTAGATTGAGGGATTTGCTGCATCAAAATGCTGCTGATAAACTCGTGGAGAGGCTCCACCGTCATGAAGAAGAAATCATGCAGATGTTGTTATCCATCTAAGCAATTCTAAACAGACAATTCCAGGACATATACCACCCAATAATTTTAACGCAAGGCCCCAAGGGAGATACTGTGTTCCAAGAGAAGCGTTACCGCAGACCGCGAAGAAACTTCAAATCTGGTTCGGAGATCTATCACGGTCTGGCTTTTCAACAACATACCTTTCATTCAGGGACCAATTGGCAAATTCCGCATTCCGGGGTGACTTTCATAGCGTGCTACAAGTACTAACAGACGTGGAGGACGCGTATGGACAGTCTTGGGCAAATGCACCGCGTCTAGGTGAGCAATTCCCTGTCTTTGACACCTTCCCTAGCACCAGTGGGCTTCATTGTTAAAAATTGATACTTCAATTCTCTCTTCGATGCGGCAGTTTAGTTTCATTGAGCTTGCTGTCCATCTTTCTTCTTTGGATCATCGTGTCTCATAGTAATACACTTTTTCCTTTTCTATAGCATAAATTCTCTTCAACAATATACCATTAACACTAATAGGATCTATACCGGACCGCTCCTCTGGCTGGACGCCACTTCATCAGGCTGTTACTACAGGGGCATCGAAAGAACAGATTACTTGCTTAATTCAAGAGTTTGGAGCGCTGCGTATGTCCATTTGTTTTTGAGCAGCAGTATTTCCACCTTAAGCGCCTCCTTCTCATTACGTGAAGATATCCAGCATTGGAACTAACAGTTCTTCCTAGGTCTCCTTCGTACCGCCTGGACAGATCCTGCAGAGCTCCCCTACCGCGACATGACTGCTGCCGAAATAGCCTACGAGCTTGGTTACACCCATCTCCGTGCAATTCTCGCGCCTATTGTATATCACTGCATTCCGCATGACGTCCTTACAACTCTGCAGATGCACTTTCGTAATCTCATTCGCAAGGATTTATATGGGCAAAGCGGCGAGATAGCAAGCCTCCGCCTACCAGACCTGATCGTGTTGACAGAGCTAAAAGAACCGTTGATGTGGTTCCCACTGAAGCCGAACCCACTTAGGAGATCTAGAGTGAGCTACATACTCTCTGTTCATAAAATCTCTAGACTTATCAATGACTACGCAGAGTTATCTATACCGGCTTGATAGCAGAGATCTTCTTGTTAAAAGTTTTAGTGTTAGTCATGATGGAAACCCGAAGTTGTATCGAATATCAAGAAGTGGTGTCCTGGAAATTGAGGACGCCATCACATTCATGCGTTCTTGATTGTATGGTAGATTAGGAAATATATCTTGAAAGCCTAAATCCAAGACTTGAAAGAATCCATCGCGAGTCTCGTTGCAAGTCCATGTATATATACAGTTTTACTCAACATGAAATTACGCTCTGAAACTGAGAGTGTGATGGAACTCAGTACTACGAATGCTAGTTAGGCGGTCATGTATATTGGCAGCTACGTAACTAGCAAGCTAGGCTGAAGAACAGGAAGCCAGCTAGAATGATTGGGGCCTTTTGTGACCCAACTCCTTCAAATATTAACTAGAATATTCCCACGCGTCTGTTTCACATATCCATCCTCCTATTCAAACGAATGTCTAGCTAATTTTGCAAGTTTGAAGGATTGCTATCATATATGCAGGCTTATTTCGGAACATGGTGCATGTCTATTGACCCGTACCACTACGGACGTTTGCTGTCTCTCTTTTAGGAGACAAGTTGAGTTGCCAACAGACACTTTACCATAATTCTTAATTTACAACAGTAACTTAACATAGCACATTAAATATTGACTTTATTACATGGATATCCATGGTTGCCCGACTACGAAAGACCTTCATCATAGCCTTCTAGTTCTTTAGAGTAACAGAAGTCGCTCGATACCCTAACCGGTGCTGAGCTCAACCACTTTAGAAATTGCGAACCCAAGTGATTTCTGTTGTCCACGATAGTCATCCAAGTATTGATATGTCTCGTCATGACTCTCGGGTTCTGTTAATTTCAGTGAGCGACAGACTTTCTGCCCATGGATCAGATTCAACCTGCTCAAATTGCGACTGGCCGACAATTCTTTCTTCGCTGTCACCCAGATTCACTAATCCGGATCTCGCATTATTGCCACAATGGTCGTCGTTTTGTTGCTGAGGCGTTTGCTTCGGAGAGAAGCTAGTGAGGAGTCCCCCGGAGGTGAATCTGGAGACCAAAGGCCAGATAGTCGGAAGACAAGCAGCAACAACAACGATTCCGCCTTCAAGAATTGTCCAAATACCAAGCTCGACAGATGCCCCTGTGATTTTGTATGTTAGGAGCCCCTTGGATACTCTTGGGGGTGACGCAAAACAACGTACAGGTGGGATCTGTAGTAGCACTTTCTAGAAAGAAAGTCGCCATCCGAAGAATGCTCGCAACAGTGCCCCTGTCAAACTTTATAAGAAAAGCAATTAATCGGTACGCTTAGATTAGATCTCACAGACTGCCCAGCAAGAAAACGCCAGTAAGTGCGACCTTCTGCCCTACTCGGGTGTGAAGTTTCCACACGGATGGTAAAGGCATGACCAAAATTAGAACATCTGTGAGGATATTGGGAGGTGACACGTAGCGATAAAAAGCCTGCTGATCGAAGCACGATCCTCCGGGGATTGCTTTGTCCCACGTGTACGCAATGGGCGAGCACTGGAAGATGGCAGCGAACAGAACTCCAATTCCGTGGGCAAGAACGGTTGCTCCAACAATATATGCAAAGATGCAAAAGCTGCGCACGGTGAAAATCCGGGTGTAGAAGAGAAGAATCGAGATCTTGGCCGGGGTCACGGTGAATGGGAAATCGAGGATTTCATTTGCATAGAGACCCTATATTAAAAAGCTGTTAGAAAGAGAAGCGCAAAAAGAAGGCAACGAGCGGCAGTCCAAACGAAAGTTACCTTATCGAGTATTACCAACTTCTGCGGCGTTTGTTCCACATAGTCCAGATGATATCCTATCCCTCCCCTTGGAATCACTATAATCACCATTAGTTAGTATTCAGAGCGCCATATTGCCAATCAGTGGTGATACTGCACGCACAAAACAAATAAAGAGCGGTTTGGCCTAGACAGGAAATCTATGAAGGATCCTCGTTAGCATTTCACCGACTCAAGACCTCTGCTTTCTTCTTTCTCTCCTCTTACCAGCGCAAGCACAATCAAGTAGTCATCTAACCAGTAGGCTGTTTGCTGCAAGTATCTGGTGTAGAATCGCGCTCCGACAACGAGAATTTGGATGACTGCAATCGCGATAGAGACCCCTATCAATTGTTGGCCGCAGTAGGAAGTGGCGCTGGAACTGGACATATTGTTCATGCCGTGATGACTTATTTTCTCGTCGTTCTTCCTGCTAGCATGCGCGCATTGGTCGAGGAAATCTGCCACTGGGCTTTGACAACTCATTTAAAATCATTTTGTCTTCTTGTCTATTTCCAAAACAGTGGTTGATTCAGTACTTCTAAAAAGCATTTCCTTGCTAGTTCAATATATGGTGAACAAAGGAATAGATAAATTAATATAAACATATCGTATATGATTGGACCCTGTTCTGCTTTATGTAACGTGGCTATGGAGAAACTAGATAACAACGGAGCAGTGACCATCAAGCCACAAAAAGTTCCCCTTTACGGTGCTTCTAGCCATGATCATAGTATGTTCAAACCATGCTTTATACAAAGGTTTTAGTAGAGTAGTGGTGACGCGTGTAGTCGGCAGGCAGGCACAGTCTTTCGTACTCTGAATAGGCATTACAAGGAATGCTATGCGGTAATTGCTTCATGGTGGTTAATAATGTCCCAATCGATTACGATCATGATTTTGATCGTCATCTCTCTGTTCCCGAGGGACCTATATGTCATATAAATATAGACTAATAGCAACCAGTAAATGTTACTATTTCACCCGAAATTCCGACTAGCTGACCGTGCTAGTGTCAACACGATTTATGCGTGTGCAAGCGCTCTCTCAACCTCAACTGTCGCTCGTTTGTCAAGGCCAGTGGGCTAGGCATTTATCCAAGGCAGACATATTCTCATGATCACAATGAGCCAGAACGATAACCCCACCTTAGCATCTCTCCCGGCACAGATCGCTGCCCTGACTGAGACTATTCCAGCACCGGGACAGAGTCGTGGTCTTGACGAGATGAGACGATTGGAGGCATTGAATGCAGCGAGGACCTTAGTGGCAGCTCTCGAGTCGCCGGTTGAGAGAATCATTCGAGATGTCGTGATGGTAGGAGATTTTTTTTTTTTTTTCTATTTCTTTTTCTCTTTTTCGAGGGGGGAGGTGGTCCTCGTCTTTGACCAACGGCTGTCGCAGCGAAGTGTCATCCCTTGTGTATATACGAATACAAAATGGTTAACATTCTGCTTAATAGACTCCTCCGATTCTTATGGCGCTTCGGATGGGAGTCCAGCTTGGAATTTTCAGTCAGATCAGTCAGAACCCAGATCATGGCGTCAGTTCTCGTGAAATCGCCGATAAGGCAGGGGCAAGTCCGATCCTTGTCGGTGAGTTCAAGCATTGCTAGCAGTTACTCTGCATATTATACATTGACTGATTATTGTACTATGTTCAGACCAGATAACCCGACTGCTTGCAGCGGTAGGATATATTCGACAGGAGAGCGTGCAATGCTTTAAGCCTTCTACGTTGACCGCAGTAATAGCGGATCCAACCATGGAGGCAACGACACGAGCCTGGTAGACATATCCTTTTTGTTGCAACTTGCTGCGCAGAGATATACTAAAAGAAACAGCTTTGAGATAGGCAACCTCTGTGCAGCAAAAGCTCCAGAATTCTTCCGCAAGAACAGCAATCAGTTTCCTAGCTCGGCTACAGACACTCCTTTTCAATTGGCATTCAACACGCAGCTCACCTATTTCGAATGGCTTGGTCAGAATCCTGAGCTAGCCAAGGACTTCCAGCAGTGGATGACACTCAACCAACAGGCTACTTCAAACTGGGTTGACTGGTTCAATGTGCAGGAGCACATCCTGGATGGCTTCCATGTCACTAATTCGGCCGAAGATATTCTTCTTGTAGATGTGGGGGGTGGTGAAGGAAGTTATCTGCGCCAGTTCATGGAACGATTCCCAGGTGTTTCGGGTCGTTTCTTCCTACAGGATCTGCCTCATGTTGTCTCAAGCATCAAGAACGACACTCTTCCCGGAGTGGAATTAATTGGACATGATTTTTTCACCCCTCAGCCTATCAAAGGTATGTAGGATTTCTCTTTCTATTCGCTTCCTTGGTCCTCCCTTTAAAGAACACATGTATTTCTTGAACGATAAATAGTCTGAACAAAACACGAAAATAGGAGCCCGCGCATACTTTATGCATTGGATTCTTCATGATTGGTCCGATGAACATTGCCGGTCAATTTTATCGAATATCGTGGCTGCTATGAAACCGGGATACTCTAAACTCATCATCCATGAACGTATTCTTTCGGACACCAATGGTGATGTTGCATCGGCGTCCTTGAGTATCATGATGATGGTTCAAGTAGCTGCGTTCGAGCGGTCCGAGAAGCAGTGGCGCGAGCTATTGGAATCCGTTGGCTTGAGAGAGATCCGTTTCTACTACCCTCCTGCCAGCGGCGAGGGGATTATTGAGGCTTTGCTATAACCCGGATGGGCTTGCAAAACGATTATGATCAGTACTTTTGCAGCATAAACCGGAATAGGAGGGAGAAGCCGCACATTGAATATATATCAAGGAGCTCTGGACTTGCCTTTATCAAAGCAGGGACGAATGGCCATGCCATGTAACAAACTACCAGGTTGTTATTATCTTCATTGTATACTCACTCCGGCTTCTGTAGACCAACAAATCAAAATTCGCATTTGACGATAGCCTTGTTGTGTTTCAGCGCGATCCTTTACATATGTATTTGGCAATAAAAGCGTTGAGGACCCAGCTATACAAAACCTCTCTCAGTTGAAGAACCAATCAAAATATGCTGCAAGGAAGAATATACCTAATTTTTAGGATAAGTTTCAGAAAAATAGCATGCAGTCAACTCAGATAACAAGAATTCATTCGCATAGCTACCTAGGTAACTATTCAACTAGTGACTGCTGAATTTCTTTGAGCCAAGCATGCATTCAATCTAGGAACGCAGCAACTCATCCATACAAATCACGTCACTCAACCACAATACAAATCTTCCCAATGTGCTTGCCAGAAGCAAGATGATTGTACGCGGCCACAATCTCATCTCGGGTGAATTTAAACTCCTTCTCAATTTGAAACCGCAACTTTCTCCGCGATACAAATGTGACCAGGTCATTGAGCATACATACGGGTCCAATTTGAATGCCTCGCAGAACGGCCTCCTTTCCTAATGCGAGTAGCAAGACATTGGGTACTTGTGCAGGGTCATATTTGGCCAGATATCCGATGATACTGATCACACCACCCTGGGCAATCGCAGAGAGACTTTGCGCAATGGTTCCGACGCCTCCAATTTCCAAAATGTGGTCCATGCCCTTTCCACCAGTCAACTTGACAGCTTCTGAAGCCCAGTCCGGGGTCTTGGTATAGTTGATGCAATAGTCAGGGTTAAAAATGTTCTTGACAGCCTTTAGCTTTTCGTCGCTAGAGGAGGTGACAATTGTGGTCGCGCCTGCTGCCTTTGCCAGAACGAGAGCAGTCATCGATGTACCACCAGTACCTGCTCGCCATATTCAATCAGCATCGCGTCTCAAGGATGAAAGGGGATCGCAGTGTATAACAAACCTTTTGGACGAGGACTGTCTGGCCCGGCTTCAATGGGTTATTGCCATATAGAGAATTCCAGGCAGTAACTCCGGTGCACACGAGTGAAGCCAGTTCGCTGTATGACTGGGGTGAATTGGCTGGAACTTTGACGACTGCCGATGCTGGACGTGCAATATATTGGGCCATGACTCCGTCCACACCACCTCCCTGACCAGAAACGACATCCCTGGCAGGGCCATACAGTCGGGTGTTGTCGAAGGATACCACAACACGATCTCCGGTAGCAAATTCACGAACTGCGCTTCCCACCTCCACAATGTCACCAGCCGCATCTGACCCTGGAATCACCTGGTCTTTGCTGCCGAAAGGGTATCTCGATGTAGCAATCTGGCAATCTCTCGAGTTGAGTGATACAGCCCGCACCTTGATTAGAACCTCATTGCTAGACGGCTTTGGAATGTCCTCCTGATAAGAAACTAAGTCTTCAAAGGCGTTCTTTGTCGGGAATCGAAAGACGGTTTGTAGTGGCATGGTGAGGAACAAGATAGCTAGAGTCGGTATTTGAACGCGATAGAGAAGATCAAGCTTAGAAAAAAAAAAGCTCATACAAAAAAGCACGCTTCACTATCCTTTTATAATCGAAATTGCTACAATGAATGACGTTGAACCGCGCGAAACGTAGGGTTAGGGCTGTATACTCCTTGATTCCGGGCGGGTCGTTCCGTCGTTCCAGCGACTCCGATTCGCTGTAGCCCCGACTGATTTCTTTCCTCCTTCCAATCATCGCATCAACGCCACCTTCCTCTTCCGGTACCTTTCACTGGTCGGATGAGCTTTCAAATGCCTGAGACTACACATTCTCCCTTCCGGCGGACAGAGCTTGCTGCGCGACGTCGGAAGGTCACCAAGGCCTGCGACTTTTGCCGCGAGCATCGCGTACGCTGTGAGACTGCCACGCCCTGTCCGCAATGTGTGTCAAACAATGTCGTCTGCAATCGATCTCGCCCATCGATTATCCCCAGGGAGAGAAAAATGGTCCGCATAGATGGAGGGAGAAACAGATCATCGATTGAACAACCATCGGCGCATGAGCCCTTGGTCAATGCCACGCCAGCATGTGAGTCTGGCCCGGTAGAGGTTTCATCCCGAACGCCGTCACCCGAGGAAAACCTGGCATGGACTTCGCATCGAACAGATTCCATGCTGGGGTTCATTGCTCGCATCAATGCTTTTTGCTCAGGGGTGTCGCAGCTTTCCCTGGATCCCACTCTATCTGGCAGAGATCCATCCATAGAGCAAATATCGCCTTTTCCGCCTAAGATCCTACAAGAAACACATATTGACAACTTCGATCTGTCTTCCGCTCAGATAAAGCATTTAGTTCGAATATTCTGGGCTCGTTTCCGGCCGCAAATGCCTATCGTGGAGTGGAAAGATTTAGAATACAATGGACAGACTCATGGAAGTCCATCGCCTTTGCTAGATGCCGTCACCGCTTATTCTTTACATCGTGTCTATCATTCTGGAATCCACACGAGGCTTGTTGGTCTCGATTGGCCTCAACTTCAGCAAGGAAGCTCAGAAATCGGGATGCCATACTTTCAGCGTTGCCTTTCCGCTGTTACGCAGCTCGGCACATTTGCAGGCCCCTCTATATCTGTCTTGCAATGCTACTGCTATCTTATCTCGTACTTGCTAGATTTTGGACAGCACCAGGCGGCATACAATATGGTTGGACTCGCTCTTCAATTTAGTCAGTCAATGAACTATATGGATGCGCGAACTGGCGGATACCCTGGGACGTGCCAGCTTTTCCGGCGCATCTGGTGGACCTTGATTCATCTTGACTTTCGATGTTCAAGACACGTCGGTAAGCCAGTCACTATACACGTCGAGGACGTGATGTGCCTGCGACCTACCAGAGAGCCACAGGATATTCATATTTCTAATGGCCTGTTATATCACACTAAATCTATTCACCTCACATCCGCAGCTCTACTCGTCAATGAGGCAATGGATCGCTTTTCCATTCCAGGATGGCAAGCATCCAGGCCTACTGATATTGAAGCTAGAGCTCAGATTCTTTCTGATAATATATTCCATCTACAGGAATGGCGCGAAGAAATCCGCAAGGAGCAAGCTTTTGCGCATTTACAATTTGACATATCCAATTTACCTTTAGATCACCAAGAGAGTGCCAGTCATACGGACCAAATTGGTCAATTATCGATAGCAACTCTTCTGAGCACCTTATTGACGTTACAATACCACAATGTTATAATCAGCCTCCATCGAGTTTTCATTCAATTCCCCAGCCATCCGCTAACCCCCAAATTCAATCCTAAAGCCGACACCCATGCCACAGTAGCTCTCAGCCACGCCCAAATGATGATTCAAATTGCTCACCAGCAGATGGCGATACATGAATTTTTCTACGGTGTATCTGAGATATACGAATATCTATGGAACGCGGTCATCACTATCATTGGGTTTATGCTCGCATACCCGTACTGTCATCGGTGCTCTCGTGCAAGAAAGCCTCTCAGCCTTGCCTTGGAGATCTTCGACTCGGTTAATAGAGCGGATGCTACTGCCAGAAGAGCCGCCACCTTGACTCGGCACCTGCGCAGCAAGTTCGACGTGCTAGTCCGGAATCTGAATATTCGTCAACCTACCCCGGATGTATCGTTGCCTTCGGGTTCAGCGATTCGGTATCAAGACTCCCAAAACCAGTCATGTGACTCGGTGGTGCCTACTGTGCAAAGCCAGGATGGCATAATACATGATATGTGCCAAGAATCACTCTGTTCTTGGACCGATCTGATCGATTTGGATGCTTGGCCAGCTTATTGTGATGAAGTTAGCGAGGCATTCACGGACCCGATATATTTCTCGATATCACATAGCCTTTAGAGATATGAGAGAGATGTTGCTTCATTTCTCGTAGAAATTAGATCAACGTATCCACCTGATAAAACTTGCCCTCTGTTTCCTATTGGCATGCTTTAATAAAGAGACTAATAATAAACAACCAGGGTGCGCCTTGCTGTCTCTGCGGTGATTGTGCATGAAGCAGTTCCCTAGCCAATGGGAAGTTCTGGAGATCTTTGTGGTGGTGGGGGGGAGGGGGGAGGGGTTATTTCTTACACTCCATCCGATTGGATACACAACCTCATCCATAGCGATGCTTTCGATTTGTAAAGCGCCATGAAAAATAATTAACATCTCTACATCTATCAAATCCACTTCCATACAGAGAGAGCACTTTAAGCAGTACAGTACATCATATCGAAAAGATGTTAGTTAGTCTTGGCAAAGTGCTGGTTAATAGATGTCTAAGTATAACTAATTATATCACAGCATATTTGGAGTTTCAACATAGTCTCCCAAATACTAGATATTTTCGGAACATATTTCATAACTCTGGGGTATAACTTGTGATTGCAAAAAATATATATATATATACAAAGAACATCGTAGAGTAACTGTATCCCACATTCTAAATTCTTCTTTTCAGGTCTTTTAAACGCCTGCAATATGTAATCATAAAGCGCTCAAAAAGAGACTATTAAGGGCACTTCAAGCAAATCTGCGAGCAAACTACATACCTAGACAGAGAATTTGTATATTAGAACAACCTCAGGCGTATTGGCAGCCTCACACTCTCTAATTTGTCTAATTCAGACAAAAACTTATAGTCTTGACACGAATATGCTCGTCGTCTGCCACGTGGATACAGTAGAATGATTAACAGAATTACCTTGAAGGCTGTGAATTATACGCCAAAAGCTAATTTTCGATTCCGTTACCTGGGCGGGAAACATTTATTTACAAGGTTTTGCATGTCGAAAAAGGATTTCCATTGAAGCTATAAGTTCCGTATTAACGACACGTACCCACATCCTTTTGTGGTCGCGCAATGGCACTCATATATCAATACATGTCTCTAACTAACCAATCTAATAGCTATACCTGAAATGTCGGTCCTCCTTATCCGTCATATCACCAACCGGCAGCCCATTCTCATCCAAAGACAATCTACCCCCTGAATACGCTGAATTTGCATGATCGAGGTTTTCTGCATCTCTGCTTTTATTATCCTTCCAGCATACGTACCAATAAGCCAGTACAACAATGCACAGAAGACACCATGTGACAATTGAAGTGACAACCCCTGAAAAGTAGCGTGGCCCATGAGTCCATAGTTGAGGCGAAGCAATGCAGCCAGCACAGTAGCCGATGAAGAACATGGCATTGACGATAGCACGTTTTGTGTTGCCCTTTGAGTTGGAGGCAGCGAGAGACAGGAGGATGGACCAGACTGCTGTAATGCAGGATGACTAAAGAGAAAATAGTTAGAAATGAAGAGGGAATACTGGGAACGAAGACCATACCAGCCAAGAAGCAACAATTAATCCCCATCCAGCAGAAACTGTCAGCTTCATCAACAACACGTTACCCACCAACGGCGGAATGCACAATATGAAAGCAACAACTGTTCGGTACTTAGGTAACATGTAGCACCCCAAGACACCAATCCAAAGCAAAACAATCTGGACCGCTCCCGAAGGAGCAGTATACAGAATCGTCTGGAACTTATCCGCTCCCAAACTCTTGATGACAAGACTTGCAAAAGTCAATACAGGACTTTGCATGGTGACAAGCACGCCGAACCAAAATACAAACCATGCCTTGGGATCGAGCAGTGTCTCCTTGAGCTGTACAATTGAGAAGTTCTGTTTATCACCTCCTTCCCTATCGACCGCCATCCGAAGAGCCATGACTTCCTTTTCACGAGCAGTAAAGAACCATGCGTCCTTGGGGCCTGTGGGAATCAGGAAATAAAACGCAATCCCCGTCACCGAAGTAATAGCTCCGCAGATGAGGAACATAGTCCTCCAGGGCTGAAGCGAGAGAGAAGAATCCTTCGCAACGCCGTACATTAAAAGACACCCAATGACTTGTGCGACGCCGTTCATAGTGACCCAAAGCGCAGTTCGGGAACTATGTTCTGATTTACGATACCAGATCGAGGTCATGGTGATGAAGGACGGGGATACGGCTCCTTCAGCGAAACCAAGCAGGAAGCGGACGGTTGCGAATCCGGCAAAATTTTGGGGTGCTGCGAGACACATGCAGATAACCCCCCAGATGAATCTACTCTTTTTAGTATGGAATCAACTTATGCAAGGGCTGGCGGGACGTACACCGTTGTACCCACAAATTTGTTCAGGTGAAGGCGAGACATGAGATAGATGAAGGGGTATTCCGAGACCAATTGACCAACGTAGAAGATGGAGCTGCACCATGAATACTGGTCGCTGGTCATATTCAGATCGGTAATGAGGCCGAATACGCCGGCATATGAGAGAGATTGCTTGTCAAGATATTGTAGGAAAAAGACAAAGCACATCTGTCTTGTTGTGAGAGAGCATTCCACGGATTCAATCGCGAGTTACGTACCATAGGTAAAATGACCCTATCAATCTTTGTTAAAACTTGCTTCTCTTCTTCAGCTGTGAAGCCATGCTGTATCAGAGTCTCGTCGACTTCAGGCGAGTGAGCCTTTTCCTCAATGCTGGGAGCCATTAAGCAAATTCTCTTCCTGGCAAGTCTGGTACGACGTAGGACTTGATCCGAATAAACAATCTACGACGTGAGCATGACAGGAAAGCTCTCTCTCTTATTAGTCCTGGAATGCATGTTTTCACCCTTTCTCGGGGAGCTGTGATATCGTTTCAACGCATTCTGATAAGAGCCAGATTGCCGACGTTTAGGGCCAGCTATCCGACGATGGGTGACAGACTGCCGACCTCCGCTCTCGGCAATCTGCCGTCAGCGATACGATCCATCGATTTTGACCACAACTTGAAGAATATTTTTGTAGAGCGAATACTTATGAGAGAGATTTTCTAATTTCTGCATTATTGAATGATTTATCCTGTCACTTCCAAAAGACTCTAAGGTGTTCAAAATGGTTGCTCCCGAAGCCATCAAGCCGTGGCTTCGTGCCGCTCCTTCATCCTACCTCCTCATCAATGCCAACATCGTCGACGTACGCAACGGCACAGTCCTCAAAGAGTCGTCAATTGCAATTGAAGATGGCATAATCAAATCCATCACCCCGAACGCTGCTTCCACGACACCCAATCCATCATCAAAAGTCATCGATTGCAAGGGCAAATATCTATGCCCCGGCCTCTTCGATGCTCACGTTCATTTAATGGCAGTCCCCGGCTTCACAGACTTATCCAAAGCATTCGGAAACCCAAATGATGTGCACCTACTCCGCCAACCATATGTATGCGCTCAAATGCTGCATCGGGGGTTCACCTCCGTGCGAGACTGCGGAGGCGCACATTTGGCTCTTAAAGAAGCTATTGAAGATGGCGTATGGCCTGGACCTAGGCTCTTTATTGCGGGCTACGCACTGAGTCAAGCAGGTGGTCATGCCGATTACCGTGGGCCACACGATCACAACCAATGCTGTGGTTTAGCCACCACGGGGCTCGGAAGAGTCTGCAACGGCGAAGCTGAGTGTATGACTGCTGTACGCGAAGGGATCCGAACAGGCAGCGATTTTATCAAAATCATGGCCTCGGGCGGCGTTTCCTCCCCGACAGATAAGTTGGAGCATTTACAGTTCACTCCGCGCGAGATTCGCGCCATGGTGGAGTGCGCCGATCAAGCTGGGACGTTTGTCACGGCGCATGCGTATACGCCTAAGGCGATACGACATGCCATTAATAATGGTGCTAGAGGAATAGAGCACGGCAATTTCATTGACCCCAATACAGCGAAACTCATGGTTGACAAGGGTGTTTATCTAACCCCGACACTAATCACATACGCTGAAATGGCGAGTCCTAATTGGGAGGGGTATCTACCTGTTGAGTCCCAGACAAAGAACACAGAGGTTCTACAGGCTGGGTTGACGGCACTAAAAATTGCGTCTGATGTAGGTGTTAAGATGTGCTATGGTACTGACCTGCTAGGACCCTTGGGAGCCGCACAATCCAAGGAATTCAAGTTGAGAGCTACGGTCTTGTCGTCCTTGCAGGTCTTGCAGAGTGCTACGATCAATCCGGCTGAGATGATGGGTTGTGCGGATACGCTCGGACAGATCCAGTCGGGATTCAAAGCCGATATTCTGTTCTTAGATGCTAATCCTTTAGAGGATGTGTCTATTCTGGATGATCCGGAGAGATTTATCTTGGCGATTATGAAGGAAGGAAGAATATACAAGAGCCGCTGGGATGCTGTGGAGGAAGATGCTGACATTCCTGTTAGGGTTAAAGCAACATTTTAATCTTTAGAATCCCATTTACTGTCAAACCATATAATAATACCCTAACTTATATCGTACTTGTTCTCATTTACCCATCTGCCGATTCTACTGGTCCAGCCCAATCTGCAAAATCCAACATATCGAACCCAGTGAGACACGTAAGAAAAGTTTGATCGTCTCCATGCAGCCATTGTAAGGAAGTGTTTGCAGCCTCTAATGCACTGTGGGTGTGCAATGACTGATGAGTTTCATGCCCAGTGCCGTTTGGCACGTAGACTAAACTAGCATTTGACTCCTTTGTGTGTGGTCTTGGCCTTGGTGCTGTTAGTGTATCTTTATCTAGAATGGAAGGGGACAGTGCCATCGAAGGATGAGACACAGGCGTCTGCCAGTGGTAGCCCACATCATGTGTGCCTGTAGAAGAGGAATTCTGCACTGTGCTGAATGTCGAATCGATCCGAGTGTCTGACGAAGTATCCTTCATACTATGGCTACTGTCATCAGTGCCATGCATATTATGTTCCGCCCCGACCAACCACTCGGCCCACTGGATATAACGAGATTCATTGGCCTCTCTCTCCGACTCTTGCTGTACTCGAGACTGATCCATAGTCTGCTTTAACTTCACCACGGCTTCATCTGCAGTGGACCGCAACATCTCAACAAATCGCACACCAGTCCTGGCACTCTTGTTCCCATCGGCCATCTTCCTCAGAGACTCCAAGCCAAAGTTGACCTGCGCTTCGTATTCAGGATCCCTGTTCATTATACCCGCCAATAAAACAATAATTGTCGATATACTGCAACCCTGAAAATCAGTAAAAGAGAACCGTGTGAGATTGTTTGTTTTGGTGATGTTTTCGAATAGACGAAGTAGCTTTTTTGCTGCTTTGATGCAATGCTTCGCAAGAGAAGGGATGTTCTGATCTTTGTATAGAGGAGATTTTTCCTTCGCCATGTGATGTCGAAGATGTTCGCGCACAACAGCAACGACGCAAACTTTTCCTACGGCAATCCAGGCGTAGTAATATTGGAGATGGAGATGGAATACGGCCCGGTAGCGTGAATCTCGGGAATGAATTAGATGCAGCGAAAAGTCTGAAGGTAAACTTCGCTTCCATGACTTTAGCTCCGCTTCAATCGTCTCATACCAGTGTTTTGAAGTCTGTGTGCCAGTGCTATGAACGGAAGGCCACATATTCAGCGACGTAGACTCGGCAACACGGTCAATGATTAAGGCGAGCTTGGCATAAAATATCTGATGGAGGTGATTGTCGAATATTTGAACATTATCAAAACTGGGACACGGCGAAGGGATCGGAGCACTGATTATGTCGGCACTAATTGATCGGGGCCGGTTAAGCTTTAGGGTCGTGGTTCGTTCCAAAGAGTATATTGACCACCATAGTCGTCGTCTTATTTCCTTGTCTGTGCTGGAAAGCGTCACATCGTCTGAATTGTCCATGTGAAGGTTGATAGTGAGAGCAGTGCGTAGCGCAAGTCCGAGATAAATGTACGATGAACTAATCGCACTAGCGGGCATAAGATAGACCCCTAGGAGATAAATAGCCTGTACAGTCACTATATTCGGTCTCTCAATAATATCAGGTACGAGTGTTTTGGCATGGCTGTAGAATATCTTTCCGGGATCGCCATAATCTGGTTGGATGATGACACTCTGCTGGGCTTCAGATGGTCTCTCGAGTGTAGTCCATTGACTTCCCAGGGCAAAGGCTGCCAGGGCCAGGCACACAAAGCGAAAGTCGTGTCTAAGATGAGATCTACTATCAGTGTAAAATTGGTCAATATCCGATAGGAAAGTCGCTTGATCGAAATAAAAGAAATTGTCTGTACCGTGCTTGATACAAACAGAGACAAGAAAGTCGGCTACCGGCCGTGGAGGAAAGCTATTGATCGCTTTGTGTAGTCGGTGAGCTTCCTCTGTTGAGTGTACGGAATCGTTGTTGTTGCTCTGTATGAAATGTAAGGCCGATATTCATTAGACGGGAAAAGAGGCAGAGCTTCGTATACCATTTGCATGCAACCGATATTTTGTTCTCCGAGCGCTGATGATGAGTCAAGGTACAGCGTCTCGCGAATCCGAGAAAAAAATTGAGGCCAGAGGTAATCCTCTTCATCTAGCGAAACGGTCATACGCGCATTTTCTTCTGCTCCTTCCAGTTCTTCGCTCTGCACGTCTCCATCTTCATCGGCCACTGACTCGGTGACTTGCGTGGGGTCATTTGACGTTGCCGAATGTTCCTCGCTGACCGGAGTTATTTCCCTATCCTCATGTTAAATGCATATTCGTCGATTTGTGAAAAGAAGATGAGGGGAGGAAAGGGAAATATTAAAATACAAAGGGCCTACGAACCGAGAGAAATGGCACGAAAGCGAGTTTTTAAGACATCTTGTGCAAGTCCCGCGTACTGTCTCTATGCATTTACTCTTTCGAGATTTACATCGGTCACATCTAGCATACAGTATGATAAGTGTCAGCGCCGGCTTCTATGCAATGGACGGTTTATACGCACGCTCTGGCGGCTCTCTTCCGATTCTCGTCCGCCACACGACGCCGTTTCCTACGGCATACTGATGCTGGCGACTGCATCTAACAATATATTCCTGGAGTAATTGGTTCGTTCTAGGATCGTATCTAGCGATGGGAAGGTGGCAAAGAAGCAAAGATAAGTGAACCAAATGATGCTCAGAGTCTAGAGTCTAGAGATAGAGCTTACCCGATAAGGCTAGCGCCACCTTTACATACTCCGAGCCTCCGATCGCTTCGCAACTTATCAATAGCCATCACAACAACAATGGGAAATAAATGGCATCATAAATTCAACGGTCTACGACGTATACCGAGGTACTGAGAGAGCAGAGAAATTCGCTTCCTACTCATCATAGCGAGAACGCGCCATGAACCGCGGCCGGCATAAAGGTCTTGCTGGGTCTTGCTGTAATTGGAGCCTGCTGGCTCGTCTATATCTTATGGCCCAGCCGTTTATTCCGAATTGGTTGAATAATAGTTCCGAAGTTGCAGATCAGAACATTGTGGGAAAGATGGTGCCTCTCGATGTACACGTTATGAGCAAGTTCCCGAATGCAAATGACTACTTGTAGAAGTACTGCGAGGGAGAAGATTAGTAACAATGTTGATCTTCAATCTATCGTTCTTTGGAAGGTAGATATCCAGCCAAGTCCCTTTATTTTCTAGGTATTAACTCCTCCTAGTGTGTCTTGCAGTTTTTCCGATGTTGAATGCACCCAACCAAAAAGTCGTCTCCGTACTCGGCGCGAGGTACCAACTTGCCGTTTAACTACCTTGAGTAGATGTGGTCCATAAGCAGTTCTGATTGGCTTAGTAGCGATACGGGTAACTAACTTTTTTGGATACTAGTGTATTTAGCGCCTTGGCATTTTGGGAAAAGTGTCGGCAATATAGACATCCCCCCCATATATTGAGCGCCCAAATCTGGTAAGGCTGCTAGCATTAGTATGGGTCTAAGCCTCTAAATTCAATATCATTGGCGCTTGGCAGTAAGGAATCTTACCTGATCTAACACTAGTGTTAAAGCACGTGGCATAGGCCCGCACCTATTTAGATTCGCAGAACAAAACTCATGCTCCCATGTGTACAAAAGGCGCCCAAAGTAGAGGCTGTCGAGGACACTTTGAGCGTATCTCCAACACTGACTGGTGTGTTGCGAAAGCTACGGCCCTGTTCCCAAGCTCTCGCTTACTGCTTTTTTTCAGTTGTCCGTAGAACTCACTCGCCATGTTTGCGCAGATGTCATCGTCTGTCTGCCACATGGATGCAATGACATGACTAAATCCAGCTACCTGAAACGCACTAGCCGGGTGGATAACTTCGTCAAAAATTTGGTCGTCTCGAATCTCAGCCGTCGAACAAGCTGACAAGTAGGCTACTTTAGCTTTTTTTAGATGGAGGTTGAATATGTCTCGGACAAAGAGTTTTTCTGTCACTTGGTATCCCTCCTGGTTATCCATCAGCAGAAGGCTGCTGTTAAAAGGATCAATTGAGTCTAGAACTCCGTGCTCCGCAAAATGAAGCATGTCACATTCAGCAAGCTTCTCCAGGAGCCTTTTGGAATTCGGCTGATTTAGCACGCAAGTCGAAAAGGCGGATGGTGAGGCCATTTCAATTGCTGCCTTTTCCTTTTCTACTCCTGGTAGATCACTTTCACCTGGGGTACGAGGCATTGTCACAACCAAAGTTTTTGGATGGTCTTTGCCACTACCAACCATTGCTGATCCTCTTTCCTTGGCGCGTATAAGAGCTTTGATGGTTGAAGTGTACGAGGATATAGCCCACGAGATTGTGTTGTCTGTTGAATTGCCTGCATGCGTTCCAGCAGCGTGAAATGGTATATGAGTAGCAAGCCCTACACCAATCTACCATATACGCGGAAGACTGCTTGAATCAGGTCGTCCTTTCAATTCAAAAATCTCCCGAAAAATGGGTTCAACGCAATTCGACCACGTCCATTTCAAGTACTCCAAGTATCTTTTATTTTTTTTTTGCCTCTCTCTTGCGGATTATGATATGTTGTTAGATTCTCCTTAACCCAACCTATGGTTGATGCATGCGAGAGGCGAGGTAGTTCAATCGATTTGACAGCAGAGTGACCAATAATGATAGCATCACTGCGCAAATCTGTCACATTGACCATGATTATAGGCCCCTCTGCGGCGTGCATTTTCAACTGGTCTAATATCGGGCCCAGGAGAAACCTCGCGAACCCAGGGAGCTGCCGAATACTGGCGATGCACCTTTCAAGCTTTTCCACGGCCTCTATGCGTCTTTGTATTCTGATCAATCTGAAGTCATCGCCCTGCGTTTCGGCGAGTACCGTGTCTAATTCTTTGCGAATTTTGTCATATTCGTGGTCGCCTTCTTTGGGTATGATTTAGCCAGTGCTGAAATCTCGCTGCGATCATCCATCAACTGCCCTATGATCACTCCGCGGCAAAGTTCCGACAACCGAACTGCTTCAAATGGGTCTCCATTGAGTTGCAGCGTAAGGCAACATATATCTTCAGCAAGACCAGAAAAATCCAATAACACATGTCGCTGGTCATCACGGTCTAGGGAGCGATCGTTGATCAAAGGTATGAGATCCACTACTTGCTTCGCGAGATCCAATGCTTCAAGCCAGCTTTTGCGCTGTTTCAACAGCCGGACTGCTTGTCGAGCTGATTCGAGTCGTACATCTGGCTTTCCAGCGTGGCAGTTCCACGATTTCCGAAAAATCTCGATGGCTTGATCTCTAAAGTAGGGAAGTTTAAACATGGCAAAGGTAGACCCAAGGGTTTTTAAAAATAGTGATAGTTGAGGATGATTCTCTGGAGTCATATTCACTACCTGCTGTTCTCGTTGCACTGCTTCGCGTAGGTCCTCCAGGCTGCCCGTCAATGCCCAACGCATCTTCAACAACTCCCCAAGATTCCTCAGATGAAGAATAAAACTTGAATGGTCTTCTGGAGTGGTATCAATGGCATGCTGTGCCTGTCGAATTGCACTATGAAGGGGCTCTGGTTGTTTGGTTGCCAAATGAAGAAACACATACATATGTTGTAGATTAGTTTCAATCTGTGCTTGCTTTACGTTTCGTTGCGTTAGCCCAATGCTAGGTTCTTGCGATATGAGGTCCACGGCTAGCTTCGTCTTTTGAATCGCTGCTTGTAGGTCTTCTACGCTTTTTGGCCTGCGATATAACGCTAAGAAGTGGTTTCCCAGGTCATTCAAAATTTTAATCTTGAGACTTTCACTCCGACAAATTTCAACTGCATGTTGGGTTCGCCTAATTGCTTCGCGGAGGTCATCCATTCGGTTCTGTCTTTCAAAACGAAGAAGAAGCCCTCTTCCCAGATTGGCTAAATTGATCACCAGATCAGACTGGCCATTTGGAGCCTCCACGGCCTGTTGCTTTCGTTGAATTGCTTCATTGAGGTCGTCTATGACTCCTTTTCTCTCATATCGATAACAAAGTACGTATCCTAGAAGAGCCGATAACATGGATACTTGATCATGCCACTCTGGGGTGAGATTATCCACCGTCTGCCTTGCTCGCCAAATCGCCTCATCAATGTCTTCAATGTTGCCCGTTTTTTTCGAACCGACATAGAAAGAGACTGCTAAGGATAATTGATGTGAGTGGAAAGCCATGAGGATTTCCTTGATTCGCGCCGATGCCTTCCTGCATCCGGCGGATCCCTTCGTCCAAACTTTCCAATTTCCTTGTCGTCATAAACTGAAACTGAGACGCAAGTCCGATCAGAGCTATTGAGATGGACGATAAAACATCATCACGGTCCGCGCCACTGATGATCCTAGCCCGTTGCATTCGTCGTATTGCTTCGTCCATGCCATCCATGTCATTTGTCCTCAGACAACGAAGCGCAAGTGTGGATCCTAGCAAGGGCGATAGAATTGACAAAACATCTGGTTGATTCCCCAGAATTGACATCTCATCTAATCCCTCTTGCATTTGATGAATCGAGTTGTTTAATTCCTCTCGTTTTCCTGTCACTTGCGATTCCTAAAGAGCTGAAGACCGCAGCTAAACTGCAATAGGCCTTTCATTAGCCTGGTAGCACTCTGTGAATTTATTTCTATCCTCTGTCGTATCGATTGGAGAGATTTGAGAAGGCTTTTCTGGCTGAATATGTTTTCCAACGCCAATACAAGCGATACTGCTGAAAGTGGATTCGATATTTTGTAGGTGGGAGTCTGTGTGTGATGTGGTTCCAACTGTAACGACTCAAACGATGCTGAGAATGTCTGATTAGCCCATGCACTGCCGATAGCAGTGGCAGGAACTCCTTGCGCCAGGCAGATCTTCTTCATGGGTTCCATTGTCTTATTCGCTACATTTTCAAAAGTGTGGCTGTCTAAGTTCTCGACGGTTTGTGTGGTCTAGAGCTGGAGTCAGTTCTCAAAGCCCACACACAGACAAATGACAACAGTGAGGAAAGGCCACGAAGCCAGAGGAGGCTCGAAATCTAAGATTCTTACACTAGTCGACACTTTCACCTGAATTTCTTTGATAATACTCACCCAACCAGGATACTGCGAGGACCATGCATCAGCTTCGTCGCAGAAAATAAGGGAATATCATATACCTTTACCCGCGCCCATATAGCCAGGCGGTCACCCCTCTGAAGAAGGGGCAAAAGACCCTCGCCGCGACAATTGGGGTCATTCCGACTCCATTTGATGCTATGATACTACCAATTACGTTGAACGGCATTTTTCGCAAGCCGCTGGCTTATCACTGGAGAACTTAACTCTTCCCCAACGTTTGGGTCTTCGGAAATGTCTCTGAAACATACTCCCTGCTCCTGTAGCATACCTTTGAAGTCTTCTGGGCACGATGCAACATCCGTCGTCAAGTAACTGGTCTCAATGTTCGAAATCACATTTTCCTGGCATGACTTCAAAATCGAAATCTCGAACCAGGACCAAATTCCGTCCTGCGGGTTGCTACACCATCCCTGGACACGGCTAACTATGTGAAATTCGATAGCAGAAATATGGTCGGAGACCGGGGGCGTGACAAGGTAAAGTAAAGTCCAACTACTCTGCATTGAACGGGCAGACGGTGGAGGTATGCCCATTGCCTGGGCTCGGGCAGCAAATGGCTGTAGACCCCACGAGCTGTCTGAGGGTACGGGCATGGTGGGATGATGTGATTCGCACTGTGTTTCTCGGATTTGCTGCGTTTGCGATTGTCACGACTTAGATCTAAGTATCGTACTCGTTAAAGGACAAATGTTCACTATTATGGCACCGCGTGTACAGCCTCATTCTACACGTAACCCTTGTAGCTTTTGTTCATCACAAAACGCGCGTTTTAAGAGGGGCAAGAGTAAGCCCCGCGTCTCTTCGATAGAAACATCGCATGTTCTCTCATTGCACCTTGTGTTGGTGTACGATCATTCAAGAGACCTAAAATGCATTTTTCTCTTATCAGTCGTTCTTTCCTGTCACCTGACTCAATACGACTCGGGCGTTTTGTGCGAAACATAGAGGAGCCTCATTCAGATTTCCTCGATCCAGATTTCCCCGTATCCAAGGAGGCCACTATTGTCCAAACCCACCTTCAATATTCGGCGTTGCAGCAGAATGAAAAGGAGAAATCTTCTTTCACAGCCATGTTGACAAGTCTGGTCTCGGCTTCCCGCACGAAACGCAACAAGGCGTGTACTCAAATTTGTTCGGACCAGGCCAAAACATATCGGCTAAGTAACTCAGGGGCGTGGTTCAGATCAGCAGTGAAGTCAGAAGCTACCCGGGAATGGATCCGAGAATATATTGATCAGGGTGATGATATCTATGTCGTAGTTGGATATCACACTATAACGGACGCAAAAGTTGTTGAGGGCGCGGAGGATGCAACCAATACAGATGCTTGGCTTAAACTCCCCATGCAAGAAGCGCTCGCCGCAACAGGCGTCGGTGTATCCTTGGGCGATATCGCTGACCCGGCTGTCAAAGTCTAGAACATTTACTAACAAGGTACTTGCAGACGATTTGTCGCAGTTGGCGAGCAGATCTGTGCCGTGCAGTATCGTAAAGTTTGTTTCAAATGGTTCTCAATTCGAAACTTGGACAAATCGACGCTCAAAAGGGACAATCGTTGGAAACTCTACTGGCACGTAAGGGGCCAAGAGACTGGCACCAACGACGTGGTAGAAATAGATCTCCAGGAAGAAGTTTAGTTGGAGGGAGATTTTGAAAATGATTATGAGCGACGCTTGTACGGTACGGAAGACTTTTTGGTTTAAGATAAAGAGAATGTGGCCTTTTGTGCATCGATATTTTAATATGAGTTGCATCTATTAGATTAAGAATCAATGTTCTCTAGTCTAGCCTACCTGGCTGTTACCTTCTGGCTTCCACATTAAAATAGGACTGCCATTTACTACTTATCGAGAACATGAATCAAGAATGCTCTCTTTCTCGTAACATCAATTTAGTTTCTGTCTTCTTTGAGATTGACTTCAGTATTTGTCCTGAAGATGTTCTCAGTGCAAAGTATATACGGCGATGACTCCTTTGGGCCACAAGTCGAGTCTGAACAATGTCGCGGCGGCTTTGATTTAACTGGTATGGATACACATTACCATGTGTAGACATAGTAATCTCTAACATTACAAAGTATTATTTAAAGAGAGTATGTTCTCTCTTGCTCCGGCAGCGTTGTTCCTAGTGAATGTCCCTCTTTGGATAGCGCATTTGTACGGCCAAAGCGTGAAGCTTTAGCTGGCTGCTCTTCATCTCTTTAAGCTGGTTTGGCACTCTTAGGGTTATAACACTTTACATATGCTGACCTTGGGTAGCTTGCCATCGGTGTATTTGCATGCTTACACCTGGCACTTCTGATTCTGTGGTGCCTGTCTCGGCATACCGTCGCCCGATCGGCTTTCATTGCCTCAGCGGCGGCAAGCCTCGCTTGTGCATGGATGACTTTAGCGAAAGCTGTAGTCCTTAGCTTTAAGTGGCCATTTCTAGGAACGGTGGTCCCCCGAAGTTGTGGTGTTGCCCTGAAACCCACTCAGCCCTTCTTCTTAATTCGGGAATCTATTGGCTATATCGACGCTTCTACGAGACTTGGGGTACCGATTATGAGCTCATTGCTGCCTATGGCTTGGTGTATATTTGCATCGCAATTAAGATAACCCTAGTGCTTGGACTCGGACCAAATGGATGCTAATAAACTACACGAGCAGGTATTTACTGGTTGGTATTAGCATTTGACCTTCCGCCTTGTGGCCATGATTCGAGGCTGGCTTGTCGGAGTCATATTTAGTATAATGTTGGAATTGAACATCGGGGGCAATTCTTCGGCTTTGATTCTGATGAGTATAGACGTCGAGAGGATCACTGAAACATGGAATTTTGTGAACGAGATATGGGCGAGACAGACACGTTGGTTCAACGGCTCGTTGCCAAGGAGTTGAGCAACCATACCGTCATCCTGATTGCGCATCGACTCAAGACTGTCGTCCATACTGTTGACAAAATAGCTGTCCTGGATGCTGGGCGGCTTGCAGAATTCGACTGTCCAGACGCCCTCTTAGCCAGGCCATCCATCTTCCGTTCGCTGTATGAAGATTGCTAGGTTGGAATGTATGGATGGCGTTTACATCATATTATGCTTGAATGGAACTTGTTATTTAGGGTTATTTTCTTGAAGGTGCACTTGTTACATCATATTATCCAATCCTTTAACATCACCCAGGTAACCGCATTATGCGCGATATCCATGGACAATTTAATACACACTAGCCATATGTGCCATAGAACTCAGTATCCGAGCCGCAAAGAGCTACGGTACTCGGAGTTCCGCGTTTGTGCTTTGCAGCCTCATTTCATCGGACTAGATTACAAATAAAGAAGCGTAGAAGTAGAGTGAAACTTGTTTTTACCTTGAATAGTGTACCTATTTTAGAAACCTACTGCGGCGCGCAATAATGTTTATATATAAGAATACTGACTTCAGCGGAAAGGAGTGACTTTCTTCTAAAGTTATCGAATTTCTGCCTACCTACGATGCAGATTAAGGACCCCGCAATCCCGTTTGACTCTGTTGTAGTGGTCATTGGGGCCAATGGCTTCATTGGTTTAGAGACCTGTGAGAAGCTACTAAGCGCTGGTTATAAAGTGCGTGGGACTGTTAGGGACCTCAACCAACATTGTAAGTGGATGGGCAATCTGTTTGGTGAGAAGTGGCCAGGGAAATTCGAGCTGGTCACGGTGGTCAACTTCGAAGAGACGGATGCTTTTGATGAAGCCTTCAGAGGTGGGCTACTCTCAGTTATCTAATACATAGTTCTTAAGGCTGTTAGCTAAAACACATTCTATCAGGAGCAGCGGGGGTGATCTACGTCTCGACCCCAATAATTTTTGATCCTGATCCTGCAAAAGTTGTCGACCAAAACGTCAGGTCCACGATTAACACGTTAGAGGCAGCATCCAAAGCAGGAGTACAGCGCTACGTTCTTAGCTCCAGTTCGAAGGCCGTTGAGACGGCTCTTTATGACGATAAGCCACGTAATCTCACGACTGCAGTGTATAACTTGAATTCAGTGCTCAAGGCCTGTTGTGGGCCGAAAACAGACACCTTTGAGTGGATGTTAGATGTCTACAGTGCTGGCAGGACACTTGCCGAATTGAGCTTCTGGTCTTGGGTTGCGGAAAACAAACCGCCATTCGTGGCAAACTGTGTGGTACCAGATGGGAACTTTGGCCGTGGACTCAATGGCCCTACTTCTTCAAATGGACTCCTTAAGGACGCCTTGGCTGGCAAATGGGACACTGTTCTCATGTCTCTGGGTAAGTTTCCTATCACGCCACAATTTGGGGCACTAGAGTTGCTAATACTACCATTGCAAGGTTTCCTAATTGATGTTGAAGACACAGCTCGCCTCCTAGTTGCCGCAGTAGCCAAGTCTTCACTGTCGAATGAGCGCATATTCGCCTACTATAAACATTCTGCTTGGAACGATCTTCGTCAAAAGGTCCGCGCGATTCGACCGGATCTTGTAAAGGGCGATGACCAGCATTGGCGAGGAAAGTATCTCTCGAATGCCAACGAGGCTATCCAACGAGCAGAGGGGATACTCAAAGACGTAGGACAACCCGGGTTCATTAGCGAGGATACCATGCTGAAGAGTTTTCTGGACACCTGCTATTAGTCGATCTCCTACGTACAGATAACAGCGAGAAGGAGAGGCTTAAAAAATGCACCTAGCGATTGTTTCTTGGCCACTAAAATATGATTCTCGAAGGGATATGGCAAAATACACGTCTTTTATATAACGACACGTAATATAACTAGGAGCTGCAACTTCTCTCCATCACTATCCTATCTAGCACTTTCCGCAATGTGATCCCTAGCCCTAAAACCTCGTACCTATCGAAATTACCCTATCTCAAACTGCTAGTTGCTAGAGAAAATCTGCCTTTGGTGGCTATGTCAATGCGCACTACAAACAGAAAAGGTAACTTCAAGTTCTAAATGTTCAGTTCTTTCCCGAGTCCAGTATTCCAGTATAGATCTCTAATCATCATCGTACTTCTCGGCGACACATCGAATGCGGGCGGTTCAAAACCAGGGGCGTAGCTTTCGAGTCAGTTGCAATTTTCTCGAGTCCAGCGATGTCCAACTCGATGCGCGTGGTGGTGCCACTCGTCTAAACAGCAGAAATGCCGTCAAGCGTGATGTAACGCTAGCTACCTGAACAATTTGACATCATTCAGGAGTGCTGCCGAGTCCAGAGAAAGTGCCAACGTGTGAGATATCACAAAAGGCTTTATAATAGAACAAAGGCCTTCGCATGCACTAAAGAATCATGTATAGGATCGGTTTAAAAAAAGTCTCATGGAATGTGCTAGAAGGTTGGATTTGTAGGATAAATAGCAGGAAAGACCATTAGATTATAATTACCCAGGCATCACCAGTTATCGGTTTATCAGAATTCCAGTCTTTTTCTTTACCCTGGACAACTTAAACTAGTTCGTACTTTCTACAAAAAACTTATAACCTAAAAATGAAGATACTGAAGTCTTGCCGCGATACTCTGCAAACGCGACGTCCTATGCATATAAAAGTGGGGAGGGAAAAACTGGTTTTTGTTTACCAAGTAATTCACCATACAAACACTCTTTCTCTCATAAGAAAGTGAGAGTGCTATATTCATCAATGCAGGGATTGATATTGCTTATTACTGTTTAATAACAAGCTGGCTACGACCTTAGCCACTATAATGGGTATAGTATTCAGCCACCTAGACGATAAGAATTATGTCAGTAATTTGCTGTTATGTACGCAAATGGCATTCTCAAACGTCCTGAATACATCTTTCATGGCTCAAACGTAGAAACCAATGAAGTCTCATCAAGGGAAGCTCGTCGGCTCTATCAGAATCTTCCCAGGCCTAAGAACAAAAATGGGGTACCTCTGTATGGCATGCATAGAGCAATCTCGCCCCTCTTTTACACGAATCGCATGCAGAGCCGCCGACTGCATGACATCTTGCAGTAGCTGAATCGCTGTCTGCATCTGCCGGGGATCAACATTAGAGATTCATCGGGCTCTTGCCTCAACACCATTGAGGAACCTAACGGCCGTCTCACCATACCCAACGTGAAGCATGACCGTACCGATCTGCTCGCGGGCCTGCTCCGTGGCCCCGCCGAAGCGAAAGGTGGAGTTGTGAGGCTGAACTTGAAGCGTGTTGTATTACCCCTTTCGGTATCCGGTAGCCGGGTAGCAATTTATCTGCGGTCCATCTCCGTTCTACTCCGTACTGCTCCTCCAAAGTCATACAGTGTCCACTGCTCGGTAGCAATCCATTCCGAATCCGACAAATACGCGGTGTTATAAGTTTAGGAAGTATCTATTATTTATTAACCGACTTCTAGCTCAGTCAAGCTGAATACATATACTTACTACGAATAGTAGAGATATAATTGAAGCACTGCTCAGAGTCTATACTACGCAGGCTTGGGGCAAACAAACTCTTCGTTGTGGTCAATTGCTAAAAACCCTCGGGTCGAAATATCATAGCAACCATGGTCTCTCTCAAGGCCGTCCGAGCATCCAATGCCAGCCTCCGGACCTTATCGAACATCACCGCGCTATTCGTGGGCGGCACCAGCGGGATTGGCCAGAGCACCCTGCGCCACCTGGCCCGATACGCCGACAGCCCGACCGCGTATATTGTAGGTCGCAGCCAGGCACGAGCCTCACCGTTCTTGGCCGAACTGCGCAGCCTGAATCCCAAAGGTCGTTTCCAGTTCATTGAGGCCGATGTCTCCCTGGTGCGCAATGTCGACTTTGCCTGCCGCCAGATCCTGGACCAAGTAGAACACCTCAACTTCCTCTTCATGACCCCCGGTGGGATTTCTCTTGGAGGCCGAAATGGTATGATCAAACCGCGCCCACCAAGCGCACAATATGTCCAGAACTGAGAAGAAACACCGCAGAAACTAGGGAAGGCATCGACTACCTCTTCTCTCTCCGTTATTACGCGCGCATGCGCTTTTTGCAGAACCTCCTCCCCTTGCTGACCACCGCCGCATCCTCCGGGCCCAGCCGAGTCGTCAGCGTCTATGGCGGCGGCTTCGAATTCGCCATCAACCGCGACGATCTCGATCTCAAGCACACCTTCTCATTACTGAACGCCTATAAGCACTCCATCACGATGACTACCGAGAGCATGGAACATCTTGCCCATTACCACCCCTCTATCAGCTTTATCCATGCCTACCCGGGCCTCGTGGGCACCAACATCTACAATAACAGCTTTCCCTGGCCCATTGCCTCCTTCTACAACGTTGCCATGTGGCCTTTCCACTCGGTCAGCCTGCAAGAGAGTGGCGAGCGGCATTTATTTCACCTGAGCTCCGCTCAGTATCCAGCCAAGCAGCAGCCCGCCGGAGCCATCCAGGGAGTTTCCGTGCAGCCGGAAGTCAAAGACGTGGCGACAGGCACCACGGGAGAACCCGGCAGTGGGGTGTATTTGCTGAACTGGAAAGGGGAAGTCCGATCGAGTCCCCAGATTCTGAAGGAGTATCGCGAGCAAGGGGTTCCAGAGCTGGTGTGGAAGCACACCGAGGACTTGTTAGACGAGGCGGCCCGGCGATAGATTTTCACGGTATTGTGCTATCAATAATCTGTCTAGACGGCCACGCCATTCAGAGTATAGAAGTGGTGTCTACATCGCTAAGGCCAAGTGCTGTCGGATTCGGAATACCTCATCGAATACTACCGGATGCGGGAATCCGTTCCGCCTGACAAGGCAGCGCGGAGGGGAACCAAAGCCCCAAAACAGCTAGCCGCACTAGACTGAGTCAGGTATAGTTGCCATACTTGGCACACCCAATCAGAATGTTTATATAAGCTCCCACCCGGGAACTGCGACGATGGATATGGTGAATGTATATGTATAGTTATGTACTGATCTTTAGGATTAGTCCGTAGAGATGTAAATTATATACTTCTTACTTCTTACGGGGATCAAACCAGCCTACTGATCACCGAGTTGCGCCAAGGTACATTTTGTAGCACCCCACTATACGTGGCTTCGGAAGCAGGGATACCGAAGATTAGGACAATGACAGACTTGGACGATAAAAGGGCGGCTGCCATGTTATATCTCTCCGAGCAAAAACAGTTCATAAAAAGAAACTTGCTTCTGACATGCAGAGAGCTTGTCCGGCTAACTTGAACATTGTTAATTTCGACAAAGATTGTCGCTATCAATATCAACGTCTCGCATCTGACAGACCCGAACGCTCGCCATCCATTCGTACGGAAAAGAGGAGATCGCAGACAACAATGGAGGTTGCTATTGTTCCAGCCAGCGCCGTTGACATCCCAGATCTTTTGCGCGTGCACAAATCTGCATTCAAAAGCGATCAATTTTCAAATTTCATGCTCGCAGGTCGAGATGAAAATGTGCATCGTAACCTTATGAAGCAGTCAATCGAGACATGGCTCTCTACCCACACTTCGCAACTGGTAAAGGCCGTGGCCGATGACGGGAACGTCGTTGGGTGGGCGTGTTGGCTAGTCAAGGGAGAAGATCAAAGCCAGCCCCTCATGAAACCGGAACATATACGTGACTGGCCGAATAATGTCGGATCCGCCCCTGTTCTTCATGGTGAGAGAGTGTCCACGGACGAGCCTGGAGAATACACAAATCACGCATCGCAACTACAAAATGATAAACTGAAAACACCAGCTCAACTCGTCAGTCGGCAGATGCGCAATGATTTGATGAAATGGGAGGATCAGATGAAAGGCAGGCGATACTATGTTTTGCAGGCCCTTGTGACAAGTCCACACTGCCAGCGTCAGGGAGTTGCGTCCCAGATGATCCAGTGGGGGGTTGATAGGGCCGATGCAGAGAAGATTTCATGCTGAACTCACGCCTCGCCAGCCGGGTTTCGTTTGTATACCAAGGCAGGATTTCAAGAATTAGGGAACTACGAATATGACCTTGGGGTCTGAGGTAAATATACGTTTCGATATATGTTGCGTCCCGCTAATAAGTGAACTTTTCTCGATTTAAATATGGATATTCCGTTGATGCTACATCTCGCATTCCAGTGAAGTTGTATTTTCCCAATCTGTCACTCTGAATCCTACACGTCCTGCAATTCGTTAGATATCTTACAGGTCTTTACCATGTTCCTAGCTTCCTCCTTTATGCCAGTGCATGGTAATGACTGGTTGTGGTCTCTGCTTCCTGAATAGTGCTAGCCTGAGCTAGTGTCATGCAAGTTAGTTTCGTAACAGCACGTAGCACTTTTCAGACTAGTACTAGGTTCTTACCTAGTGCCATACAAGTTGGTTTCGTAATGAGTGTCTTATCTTTGGTCCCCTCTTCCTTCCCCATTATCGACTTTGTCTCCTTCCTCTCGCTCTACTTGTTGCCTCATCAACCAAATCCATCAAAATGGATGGTTTGAAGATTGAACAGCTACAATCTCTTCAATCCAAGGACCAAGCGGCACTCCTCGACACGGTCGACGAGATTCGTCGTCATGGCGTAAACCGTTACGTGTCGCTGCCTCAACTTATCGTCTGCGGAGACCAGAGCTCCGGCAAAAGCTCTGTGCTGGAAGCCATCTCTGGTGTCCAGTTCCCAGTCAACGATGGCTTATGTACTCGATTTACCACAGAAGTCGTCCTGCGTCGCGCAACCAAAAGTCTGGCTACCGTCAAGCTCATCCCCGCCAAAGACGCGCCTCCATTTCACATAGAAAAGCTATTACTATTCAAGAAAAGCTCCATCAGCCATGCGAAGATTCCAGACCTGATTTCAGAGGCAAAGACCTTTATGGATCTTACTGGAAGCAGTACCTTCTCACGAGACATCTTGCAGCTGGAAGTCTCTGGTCCCAAGCTACCTCATTTAACCCTGGTTGATCTTCCAGGTTTGATCCATCATCCCAACAAGGAACAGACCGAAGAAGATGTCCACATCCCGAAAGAACTAGTCCAAAAATACATGTCGCAGTCGCGAAGCATCGTGCTAGCTATCATCACGGCGAAAAATGATACTTCGAACCAAGTCGTGCTAGAAATGGCCAAGGCGGCTGATCCTCAGGGAAATAGGACGATGGGTATCATCACCAAACCAGATTGTTTGATCAAAGACAGTCCAAATGAGTTAAACTTCTTTGCTCTGGCTAGCAACAAGGAAACATATTTCAAGCTTGATTGGCATGTTTTGCGTAACGGCGATTTTAACGAGCGCAAGGACTCTACCTTCGATAGGGATGCGGTGGAAAAGGCCTTCTTTGCATCGACGTTATGGAAGAACTTACCAAGCCACAAACGCGGAGTAGAAGCCCTACGTACTAGGCTGAGCCATGTCTTGTACCAGCAAATTCAGAAAGAGCTTCCGAGTCTTATCAAGGAAATTGAAGCTGAATTGGCAGCTTGCAAGACGACGATGGATCGACTTGGTTTGCCTCGTGACACTGCTGGTAGCCGACGCCAGTATTTAACAGGAATTGCCGGTCGATTTCTCGAACTAGTTCGAGCGGCTAACGATGGCGCTTATCAAGATCCATTTTTTCGGTCGACGAATTCTGGGGTTTTAGGTACAGTTCAATTGCAAAAGACACGGTTACGCGCGACTGTGAGGAAAGCGGAGCAGAAGTTTCTCGACAGAATGCACCGATATGGCCACAGCTATGTTATTGTGTCCGAAGGCTCGAACACAGAAAGTATTAAACCCCATAACCCGTCCCCGTCATCTGTCTCCGAAGACGTTCAGACGACTATCCGTGAACAACAGTTTCTTCAAGAAATTCGTCAACTTCTCAATGATAGCAAAGGAAGAGAACTTCCCGGTACTTTCACACCGCTTCTCGTCGGGGACTTGTTCATCCGCCAATCGACAAATTGGAAGCCTTTTGCCCTAGACTTTGTTGAAGATGTTTGGAATATTGCCAAGCAATTCTTGGACGACGTCTTGGTTCATGTAGCAGATGAAGACGTGAGGGAAGCGCTACTTGAAGAGATCATTGATCCAGAAATGGACAGAATTTTGATGAAGCTCAAAGACAAGGTTACCGAGTTACATTCACCTTATGCTCGTGGCTCTCTGAAAACTCTCAACCCTCGCTTTGTTAAGGAGCTCGAGAACCGACGGTCCCAACAAGCCCAAAATCCGTCTACCCAGCCAGGTACCATACTCGGAATGACTGGTACTGAAGATGCCGATTCGTATGCGTGCCGAGAGCTACTGCATCTAATGCAGGCTTACTACACTGTCGCCCTCGACGTCTTTGTTGACAATGTATCTAGCCTTGCTGTCGAGAACTGTCTTATGATTGCGCTTGAGGACTTGCTATCTCCTCTCACAGTCTCTGAAATGAGTGATGAAAAGCTCGAAGATATTGCATCTGAGTCGCCGGATGTTCACGAACTGCGCAGTCAGACGCTTGAAAAGCAATCTTCGCTTCAAAAAAGTTTTGAGCTGTGTCGTCGGCAAGCAAGAAAATTGGCATCAAATCGACTCAACGAAGAGGCACAAAAGAAGACACAAAAGACGGAGACCTTGCTAACTTCGGTCACGGAAGGGTCTGCAAGGGTGAATATTACACCAGCCGCCTCTGTAGCAACACCTATAAAGGTATGTGCCTGATCACCTCCGCTTTTTTATTAATTTCGATAAATGCCGATATTGTTCATCTATAGTCACAAGGTTACAACAACACTACCTCTCAACCAATGACCCAAGGTCCGGCGGCATTTCGAGCTTCAAATGCTTTTTCAACAAAGGTTCAAAGTGCACCTCGAGCATTTAGTCCTTCTCTATTTACTACAACAGGTTCGAGCGTAGGTCACATGACACCTCAGACCTCGAGCGTCTCGCTATCTCCGATACCACTTTTCGGCGGAGGCCAGAATGCACCTCAGACAGCAACTGCCTCATTATTTGGTGCACCAAGTGCAGGCACGGGCCAAGATGCACCTAAAATATCAAATTCCTCTTTGTTTGGTAATGCACCAAGTGCAGGTACACGTCAAGATGCGCCTAAAACATCAGCTTCTCTATTTAATCTTGCTTCATCACAGAAAGGTCTTTCTGCATCTCCTGTGGGAACGACCAACCAAGGTTCTAATGGCACTTTACCCTCTGGGTCGAAGACTAGCGGAGGAGGCTTAGTTGGTAGAAGCACTCCAACACCTTCACTATTTGGTCCAAAGACTACCGGAGGTGGTTTTGGTTCTACAGACGGGCTGGATTCCACGGAAGGGTTTGGTTCCAAGGGTTTATTTGGTAGAAGTACTTCACCTTTGGGCGCGAGGAGTGGCATAGGGGGGTTCGCGTCTACAGGTGCGACCACTTCACCGCGGGCATCCATCCCTTTTCAAAATACTCCAGCACAGCCGAATCAGACCGACTCGAGCAGTGATGCCGACAAAGGTAATGCAAAATAGTCTTCTCGTGTACAACTCGTCGTTTTATGTCAAGTCATTTACGTTGATATATATATTCTTTTTTTTTTTCCCCTGATATGATGAGACTTTGGATTAAATCTGACAATCTACATACAAGGAACAGTTGACTTCTCTTATTTCAAGTATATTCCAACTAGTGCGCAAGTTGTTTCTAGAGGGACTAGTGGCATGCCAGGTTATGCGGATGAAAGAGATCCAAATAGCACTATGCATAATGTTTACGAACACATATCTTATGGACTGTCCACTGCCCAGTTTGGTCGCAAGGATCCTTGTAACTATTCTGCGGAGGTTCGTTTAGCCCTGTCAATACTTGTTTCGGCTTTTTTTTTGGGAATGAAAGTAAAAGAGCTTATTCGTTTTTTTTATACTACAGGAGATACGACTCAAGGACTACCACGTTCTCGGATTGTCGAAGAAAGTGCCTGCTAAGTAGAGAGAGCTTCGGAAGGGTTATTTCCAGGTGTGATTGTACCATTGTGATATAGAAACTACTACTCGCCTTTAGGAGTCTTCAATGATGCATGTGAGCTACTATCTGCGAGTGACTTATGGCTTAGGCTCCCTACTTCGTAGTAGTCTCAACCACTTGCGTTACTGTTCGCCGTAAATTTTGACATTATCCAACCAGCTTTCTCTGACTGGTGTGGAACAGTGGTATGCCGCGAAACACCGCCTCTATATCATACACAATTTCTAATTGGTATAATCCGATATTTTAGGCTGTTGATTGGGGCTGATGACGTGAAATCAATAACGTATATTTACCTTCTCTCCCACCAGCTGCTAGGTAAATATTTTGCGCTTCATCTAAACTTGTGTAATTGATGCGGTGGTTTCTTATCTAAAACGCCATGGATGTCCTACCTCCTCCAGACTACCCTCCCGTCTAGCTGAGCGAATACCCTCGAATTCTGACTCGAACGCCTCTAGCCACGCTTGAAAATTCTATACTTCTTTTGTCTATGGTGATATCTAGGAATTTAAAGAGATTTTGGACTCATAAAGTTCATTATTAGAGGACTTTAACATATGTGATTTCTATATATTAATAATTAAAGCTACCAGTCAAGAAGATATGCAGTTCATTAAAGAACTTCTTAATCGTGGCTTACCTATGGATCTATTCTATGCATTGGAGGCTGCCAAAATCAAGAGGACAGATGCCCTGAAGGTTTTCCTGCAAAATAGATAGAATATTAATCAGCCAATGAGTAAGCTTAAGTCTCTTGTACTTGGGTACAAATATAGATAAGATACAAATGATCATACAGCTTTGAATGTGCAAAAATGTCAAATCACTGGGAAGTCATCCAGACAGTTGAGAAAGGGAAATAGCTTGTCTTTTTCATATTCACGATATAAGGCCCATTTGTGTCACTACTGAATTTCTATTGCCTTATATTCATATATCAGGGTTCTCTCAATCTGCGTTTGATTTGAAGAAAGGGGACTGAACAAATAATCGCCTTATGTGGTTTATATGTCCGGTCGTCACATTGTATAATAAGGTCGGAATATTTTCCAATTAACAGAAGTTCCCGCAGAAAACACATCCTCTCTGCCTATTTCTTCGGCCCCGAGAACCCTGACCTTTGTTGACCTGACGTGGACTTATTCATATTCACTTTTTAGGCCGACTTCATATATGAATTTATTAAGATTGCAGGGGAGTCAAAATGGCTATTTTGTATTGGGATTACATGTGGCCGGTTTACTAACGTAATCCGCACCCGAGTGGGCACCACAACCGAGTAGCGTGCGGGAGGCGGTGAAGTACTGTATTGATTCGCTGGTTGAAGCATTTAGGAATACGTAGTTCAGATTGGACACACCTTAGACCGCTCGGCCATGTTACCTGGATGTTATTTGTTGCAGGATCTTATTCCGCTTTCTTGCTAGATTCATCTTAGCATTGCCAAGTTCAATGAGCACTCACTATTCAGCTCTAAATCTTTCTTGCACGTCGATATGGTGCATGGAGGACTTTCAGGCTGTGCAACGTTCGCGAAGAAACACAAAGTTGAAATTCACTCAGAACCGACCTGACTGATATCGTCTCATACATTAACACTTACAATCATTCAATGGTAAGTTGAAATGGATGAGACTGAAGTTTAAAAGAACAACGTTAGAGCCCAAGCTCATCGGCATAAATTATGTCAAAGGCTTGCAATCATGGCTGTCTGAGACGCTTCCAGGTGGGTAAAGTGCATTTACTCTCTATATTGTACAGTATTTCTTATGCAACTATTAGCGCTCCAACCTAGCCTTCGTGCTACATCCCGAGGGATCTTTTCACAACCAGGAAAAGGGAAATAGCGTCACTCCAGTCGAAAAAAGATGTGCTTGTCAGAATTGTAGGTACCAAGCTATGCGGCTCACATGTAAGTATTTCTCTCCTAAGCCAGATTTCATTGGATTAAGTACGAGAGCCTAATCGATCGAGGTACATTATTGGAAACATGGCCGTATAGGGCAATGTGTTGTCGAAAGCGCTATCGTCTTGAGAAACGACTCCTCGGGAATAGTCGTAGCCTGTGTGGAAGTGATGCTGACGGACTCGCAGATGGCCACCGAGTAGCCCTTGAGCCTGGCATTTCTTGTAATATCTGTGTGAAGTGCCGCAGTGGCCGATACAAACTTTGTAGTGCCATGCGCTTTGCTGCTACAGCTCCATATAACGGGACCTTGTCGATGTACTACCAAGTTCCTCGCGAGTGCTGTTATAAACTGCCCCCACATATATTGTTGAGAGACGGCACCTTGTTGGAACCGTTGAGCGTCGCTGTTCATGGCTGCAGGCTCGCTGAAGATGTGCAGGATAAGTCCGTGGTCGTTTTCGGCACCGGCCCCGTTGGACTACTCTGCTGTGCAGTGGCACGGGGCATTTGGCGCCTCAACTGTAGTCACTGTTGCCGTTGTACCAAGCCGGATGAGTTCCGCGACAAAGCACAGCGCAACTCACGCATGTAAAATGGATTTCGACTCCATGGAAGAAAAAGCCAAGCCCTTGTTGGCTACCAGGTTGATATTGTGATGGATACTACTGGAGCAGAAACTTGCTTAAATATTGGTATGCACGCGCTCATGACTGGAGGAACATTTATACAAGTTGGTTTAGGTCAGCCAAATGTTTCGTTGCCTGTGGGACAAATTTGCGACAAAGAGATTGTCTTTAAAGGAAGAACCTCTGCCATTCTTGACGTTCGCCACGCCAGGTCCGTAACACTCAGTGCCTGAAATATATGTAATGCCATGCAACCACAAGGTAATCAATAATGAACCTTTGTTATTATAAGTATTTATCAGTTCTTTATTACAGAGATAGTTTTAGAGCAGACAGGAGCATAGCAATGCGATATTGCCTATATAGGTACTACACGCATATTGCCTGATCGGGTGTTTAGGGCTAACTTGGTCTCAACTAGCACTAAGCAAAAGGATTAATCCTTCCATTATTAGACAACGTAATTTGGCGATGCTTATGGAACTTGAATTTTCTATCTCCTGCCCAACAGGGAACGTCGAAGCCTCAAATTTCAATGCTCTTGTAATGACATGTACAGTTTCCGAAATTCCGAGTTTCGCGCAAGCAAGACTTGTGGACTATCATATTCCACAATTTTCCCACCCTGCAGTAGTGCTACCCGATCGAATCGATCGATATGTCGGAAGCGATGAAGAATAGAGATGATTGTTTGCGAGGACGCAAATTCTGTGTCAATGACATCTTGCATGATGGACTCTGTTTTCCAGTCAACGCTATGTAAATTGTCAGATCTAGATGTACATTTTAAAATGAAAAGGGGGAGGGCGAATCCCAAGCAATGTGAAAGAGCCCATTGTACTGAACATCTTGAACGGCAACTTACCTGCTGGTGGCTTCATCGAGGATCAAAATACTGCTGCGGACGTTTAGTGCTCGCGCCAGTGTCAACAACTGTCTCTCTCCAATGGACCAGTCCGATGCGGATAACTCCGTATCTAGTCCTCCTTCATTGCTGATGCGCTTCCATAGGCCCACCTTCTTGAGTGCCGACTCAATACTTTCATCGGTCGCATTTCTGTGGGGATCAAGGTTAAATCGCAAAGTGCCAGGCATAAAGAAAGGGTCGGAAGGGACGGTATTTAACCGTGCGCGAAGAGTGTTTCGCGACACTGTTGACAGGTCTACATCATCTACTATGATGCGACCCTGTTGGATATCAATCAGCTGGAGAAGAGCCAAGATTAACGATGTTTTTCCACTGCCGGAAGGCCCACAAATGGCAACTTTTTCGCCTGCTCGGATCTTCAGAGACAGGTTTTGAAGAACAGGCGTGCTTGTAGGACTATAGATGGGTGAGTTTTATCGTCTTTCAGGAATGGTCTAGTATAACCCAACATACTTGTAAGAAACCGTAACGCCTGCAAATTCAATAGCACCGTGAGAAGGCCATTCAGGTTCAACACGAGATGGAGTAGTTAAGGATCTTAACTCCGAAGGTGTACCTGTGACAAAATCCCGAACTCGCGATACGGCACCAATGGACGTTTCCAACATTGTCCAGGACCGGATCATCTGGGCAAGGGATTGATTGAGTGTGAGAACCATATTGAGCGCAACTCCGATGGACCCAGCAGCAAAGCGGTCTCTCATGGAAGTCATGGTAGCGACTATAATGACTGTAATCGCTCCTACAATCATGTTCAGGACCAATTGTAGCCAGATGTGAATGCAAAATAGCATGTAAAATGGCTTCTGAGATTCATTCAGGTATGATTGGCCTTGATCTCGAAATCGGGACTCCCACTTGAAGGCATGAATGGTTGAGAGACCCTGGATCGTCTCGATGAAATGGGCGTAAAGGGGGGCCTTGGCTTCGATATCCACCACTCGAACTTGGCTAGATGTCCGCAAATAATACCGCTGGACGAAAAATAAGATCCCCAGCACGAATGGAACAGATACTGCAAGATACTTCCCAATAACACAAAGAATGATCAAAGTGGCAACACATGAGAAGGCACCTATGTGTTTGGGAGAGGTCAGTGGACAAACTCCTCAAGATTGAACGTGAACTCTACTTGTAACAAATTGGGCTCCATTCATTGGAAGCTCCATATCGACCAGCTGCATATCTTGACTGAATCTAAAGATTCTGGTTAAAGACCTGAAAGGATTGAAAGCACTTATATGAGATTCCGGTACCTGTTTGTTATCGACCCCGTGCTTGTCTTGTGAATGAAAGAGAACGGTGACCTGCGGAACCAAAAGATATATTAGCACGGTACGCTATTGATCATTTGGGTGGAATATACTCGAGAGTCGTCTGCAACAGCTGGCGATGTAGATTCAATCCGGTGTTATTAATGATATTAACAAGGAAAATCCTGCTATCTGTCAATTTTTTTCCGCCTGTATGAACGCATCTGCTCACCAACAACCGGCCACGACACCGAGAAAAGATAAGCCGAAGAGAAAGGCGTACACCCCTAAGTACTTCCCTAGCTCCTTATTTGGTTGCTGTTCGTTTGCTTCCATCCACCATTGAAGCCATATAGCTAGAAACAGGACCTTAGAATCTTCTGTGATTGGTAAGGGATGAACAGCCACTTACTTGCAAAATTGCTTCCAAATGCTTCAATTCCAGAGAAAAATACAAGAAGTATAACAGGGACAAATCCCGCACTGCGATAATAGTACATGTACACAGACCAGGCGCCACGCTTTTGTGTTGTAGCGTCAGAATGTATACTGTCTACATCACTGCTAATCAGGACTTGAAATTCATCCGCTTTCTCGCCAGTCAGGCACTCCTTTACAGGTGATGCTATGGGGGTATTCTGAACAGGCATGAAGGATCTCGCAATTGTGTCTGGCCTTCGCGACAAAATCTCTGCGTACGGTCCTTGATCAACAATCCTTCCGTCGTCAAGAACGATAATATTGTCTGCATAAGAAAGAATCTGCTCTTTATGACCGTCAGTTTCCTTGGGATAGCAGCATTAATCGATTCACACTTACGCGTATGCGTGGCAAGAATCACCGATCTTCCAGTGGTCTTGATGTAGCCTTCCCGGCTAAAGAGATGGCTGGATATTACACTGATCGTCTTTGAATCGAGTCTGCTAAAGACATCGTCCAGAACTAGAACCCGATTTTTGGAATATACTGCACGGGCAAGAGACTGGAAACAGATGATCATCAATCTCAGTGCGAAAGGAATACTTCTACGTCTGCGATTGGAAATAAGAACTCACAACTCGTTGTTTTTGTCCTGAGCTGAGTGACACCCCTTTGCTCCCCGTCCTACACATATCACCTTTCGGAATTGCTTTCATGTCTGCTTCCAGACCACAAGCCGAAATGACAAATCGATACCAACTGTTCTCGAATTCAGTTCCTCCCGTGATATTTTGTTGAATGGTACCATCTATGATCCATGGCGTCTGGCCGCAGTATGCGACTTTCGTCATTTTTGAATTCAATGAGCCGCGTTTGAGAGTTGTTTGCCCGAGAATACTTTCTAGTATGGTTGATTTTCCCGACCCGACGGGGCCTATCAGCGTAGTGATTCCTTCGGGGATGTTCAAGTTCAGATCATTCAGCACAACCTGAGTTTCCGGAGACCAGGAAATGTCCGCATTGTTGAATGACACCAAATGCAGGTCAGATGCAGTGGACTGATCATACTCTTGCAGTTCCATTGCTTCTCTTGAGACCCCTTCGGCCGAAGTTGTCATAGATAATTCCGGATCGGGGCTAGGCGTAAGTTTATCAAAGACGTACTCCTGAATGCGTCCGAAGCAGGCGAGTGTTTGGACGATGGATGGCAAGGCTTGACAGAAGGTAAGTAAAGGGCTCGTCAAAAGGGAGATCAGAGAAAGAGAAGTGAAAGCCTGTGCCATGTTTAGTGAATCGTCTTTTTTTACAACCGAGATAATAGCATATGTAGTAAGGGTTGCAAAGGGCGCAAAATCCGTAGGAATGTTGGTTGTTGAGCATTAGCAATGACCACTCAATCTTTTATTTCGAAACAGAACCTCTTACAAAGAGAAATCTGCCATATAAATAATTTCCGGAATCGTTCTGAAGATTTTATCTCAATTTCCCGCAGCCTTGATATAACAACGAACATAACATCCGTAAGCCCGAGTATTTTCACAGCTTTCATGTCACCCAGCATATATGAGGTAACTGCCAGTCTTTTCTGTATTCTCTCGATCCATTGACGTTGAGCGTTTCCTGACTTTTGTGACACCGGGACGGTAGCGAGTACTGACGCTGTAGGCAGAAAATAAGTAAGCTGTACATAGAAAATAATTTCTTGAAATGGACGGATACGGATGTCAGTCACCTAGGCATATGACGGCTGGGACCAAGCACGCGACAGAGACCTGTAGCTCTAATAGCCAGAGAGCAATTCCAACCTCTAAGGCTGATGCCCAAATCTCGTGTACGAATCTGAAGTCCGATGCTATCCGTTCCACGTCGGTGTCCATCAAAGTGATGGCTGCCATGTCTTTCGCCTGAACGCTTTTCGAGCCCGTCGTCGCGGCATAGATAATAGAGACAAGCCCTGCGCGAATGGCAGTAATAAAACGATACCTTTGACGCCAGTATATTGCTGTTGAAACCTATCCTTGAATTATTAGAATACTGGAAACCTACTTTCGGACAGCCAATACATACCGCCAAGCCCGAATATACGAGCACAACAGCTCCTATGAGCGCTGGACCATAGTTTGCTGGTGCTGCAGTTGCGCCCATCCAATCCACGAGAGTCGTGATGAGAAATGGTTGAGCAAAGGTAAATGCAGTCAAGGCCAGACGAGGCGGAATGCCGGACAGAAAGGACCATCTATACGCGCGAAACGTAGCGAAGAGCAGGCGTCGATCAGCTGTGGTTATGTCCCATGCTGTTTGAAGTTTTTGCCCTGCGGTATATCCAGCGAGGCTTTCATCAACCTCGGGTATGTCCGAAAGCTGGAGATGTTTCAAGTAGCCTTGGTGGAAGAACGGGAGGACCCAGATGAAGAGGCTCTGGCTCCAAAATCCACCACTTTGTTCCGGGGTCACGTTCTGATGTAGTCGCCGCAAGAACTTTGTCTTCCTCGCGGACTCTACAATTAAAATTGCTAAGGTGAAGACGTAGATGGCAGTCCATAGACTCTTGCAGGCTGTGATGCATGGAATGAGCCATAACGTACGCAGGCGGGGTATGTATAGAATGCTTGCAGCCGAAAAGTAGATTACAAGAACGTCTGACGGTCGCACGGTACGCTGATCTTCTGCAAAAGACAGGACGGCCGCTGAGAAAGTGGCAATGATATCAAGGAGTCCCGATGCCAGGGACAGTTTCGTATGGATGGCCGACGTTGTTGTTTGAAGTGCGGTGAAGACAACCTGGAGAGCGAATAAGATGACGAGGAGTGACTTTTTGCATGTATTGTCAGTGGAAAGTGCAGTATCAGCAATGGCCATATGCGTACCAGTTTCCAGACGGCGAGTCTGTAGGACGCCAACTTCACTGGAGCACTGCGCAGAAATTGCAGACGCGGCAGCACAACAATCAAAAACAACGATGTCGGGAGCACACTGAAGAAGGCATCCTCGAACAAGAGAGTGAAGTCAAAAGCCCGACAAGAGGAGTTGACACGGGGGCCAAATGTATTGTCACTGCCCGGGGGGCAGAGGGAAGCTTTCGCCATCAAAGAATCTTAGAGGCCTTCAACGTTCGCCAGTTGAAGTTGAAGTTGAAGTAGATGTGAAATAGGTGCATACCAATATAGGTATGGAACTAGCAGGCTATCTGAATGGCGTGAATGCTACCTAATGCAGGGATCCCGATAACTTGCAATATTCTTATATGGTCTAAAATAGCGCCGCTATTACCTATTATTTATGCATACATACATAATATTCTACGGAGTACCTAGATGTACTATAGTTAGTTATTGTGCAGCTTACTCAATTACGTTGCATCTAAGTGACAGCAGATTATGACCGCTATTCCGAATACAGCATGTAATCCTACGGCAGCCTATTCGTACAACCTTGCCAAAATTTGTAATATATTGAAATATGATAATGCTATAGAAAATAAAACAATGCCTATATAGCTCGCTTATAATAGGAGCTAATCTATTTATAGATTAATCTATATATATATAGAACTATATAATCTAATTTTGTTTCTATATAGAGTCCTTTAATAACTTTAAAATTTATTAATATTATAAACACTCTTATAAATTTTTAGTATATTAAAATATTTTAATTTATAAACTTATTAAGACTTAATCTAATTTCTTTAAACCTATTAATTTGTCTTTTTTTATCTTTCTTATAACCTACTAAAAATTCTTCTTTATTAAGCAGAGTAAGCAATATAATATAATTATTTTATTTTAATTAAATTATATTCAGTTTATTAACTTAAAATTAAATTTTAATTTAATTAATTAATTTAAAATACTAAAAATTACTAATTATTAAGTAATAAGTAAGGTAATAGATAATTCTTATAATTATATTTTATTTAATTAGTAAGATTATTCTTAGATAATCCTTTTTTAAAAATTAATATATAAATAGAACTCTTTTTTTATTTATTTTATTTATTAAAAAAGTAGATATTTATTCTAGATAATTAGATTAAAAAAAGAGTTCTAAGATATAAGAATTTTAAAATTCTTTTTATAATAGTATTTTCTTAAGTAATTCTTTTTAAAAGCTAATATATAAATAAAACTCTTTTCTTATTTATTCTATCTATTAAAGAAGTAAATATTTATTTTAAATAAATTAAAAAAAAGATTTTAAGATATAAGAATTTTAGAATCCTTTTTATAATGATACTTTAAATAATAAAAAGACTAATAACTAAAAGCTATAATAATAAAATAAACTTTAATAATATAAGATCTAAGAATTTTATTAATAATCCTTTTAAATTACTAAAAAATGGTTTTAAAATTTTAGATCTATCTTTAGATAGTAAATTATCTAATCTATTACTAAATAATAAGTTAGATAATAAGATAAATCCTAAGAAAAAGCCTATAGAAAAGATAATAATAGTTTAGAAAGATATTACTTATAAGTTTTTATTATTTTTAGATTTAATTTTCCACTAATATAAAGAATAATGAAAAAAATTTTTAAGAATTTAAATAAGAATATTTTAATTTTATAGTAATATCTTAAGCTTATATCTAATAAAAAATAAAAAATCTAATTATAAAGCCTAAATTTTCTCTTTTATTAGAAAGAATTATGAAATTACTGGCTCTTTAAATAGAAAAAGTAATATTATAATCTTAATATTAAATAGATTCTTTTAGTTATATATATTAAAATAAAGAATTTTAATAAGAAATATATTAATAAAGATAACTAGAATAATATTTATTATTATATATATTTTATACACTAAATTCTATAAAGAAATCTTAATTATATAGATAAGCTTTTTAGATTTTATTTTATAAATTCTAATAAGATTAAATATTATCTTTAGATTATTATAAAATATATTTAATATAAGTTTATACTATTCTAGTAATATAAATCTTTAGATGGCCATATATTACTATATAAGAAAACTTATAAAAGAAAAGATTATTTTATTAAATCTACTTCTTATAAATTAAAAAAGTAGTCTAAAAAGGGTTGTCAGAGAATCAGAACGTCACAGCCAATGGATCAGGTTAGTCACTACGGGACTAATGCACACCGGAACAAAGGATTACCCGCGAAGCCTTAGGGTTAGGGCATCAGAGGAATCAGAGGATTTCTATGATGGCTATGATCTACGGATCAGAGGAATCAGAGGATTTCTATGATGGCTATAATCTACAGATCAGAGGAATCAGAGGATTTCTATAAAGACTATGATGGAGGAAAGCTATATAAGGACGCTCATTTACCATGTATTTAGTTTTCTTCTATCGTCTTAAATTAACTGTGATAACTTGAGTATACAATCTTCTATCGATCAGGATATTCATAGTCTTATTCTTATTTCTTTCATCTACCAAGACCTTTCGACCTTAGAAGCCTATTAACTTCGCCCATTAATAGCTATCCTAGCTATACTCAACAGTAATTAACCAAAGTTTCCAACAATTCAAGACCCTCAGTCAAAAGAGAAGTCTTAAAGATAAGTAACAATAACACCTCAAACCCCAGTTCCAGCAACTCCAAGTCCCAACTCACAAACTACTAACACTAGCAGTAGGAATACCACGACTACTAATAATAGAGACATAGCAGCATTATTGCAACACATTAAAGAACTAAAACAAGCAGTAGTTAACAACAAAGGAAGAACAAGCCAAACACCTCAAAAAATCAAGATCAGAACAGTAACTCCATTCAAGAGAAAACATAGAACCCTTAAGATGTACCTTGCTCAGATACAACTCTATTTTATGCACAACAATGAACAAATTGTGAGTGAGTCCAACAAAATACTAGCAGCATCAAGCTTTCTCAATAGAGAAGCCATGAAGTAGTTTGCTCCATACATCACCAACTGATATCACGCAAATAGCAACAAAGAACAAAGAAACCCTAAGACAATCACAATGTTTTCTAGTTACCAATACTACAAAGAAAAACTTAACCAGTTATGGAGAACCATCAATAAGGAAATCGAAACCATCAATAAAATACAACATATTAAACAATAAACCTCAGTTAGAGAATACATTTCAAAATTCTTGCAGACATCAGAAGAACTATCATAGAACAACCAAAGATTCAGAGACCAGTTTTATAAAAGACTAAAAGACAACATTAAAGACCAAATCTCAATGATAACACCACAACCTAAAACATTTCAAGCAATGATAAAAGCAGCATCCCAGATTAATTTAACCATCTACACCCAACAAATAGAAAAGAGAGAATTCAGAAGGAACAAAGCAAACTCATATCAAAAACAAACTAAAGACAAAGATAGAGATACAATAATGCAACTGAACGCAACCTTGTCTAAAGAAGAAAAAAACAAATTAAAAAAAAACAAAGCTTGTTTCAATTATAGAAAACCAGATCATTTTGCGAACCAATGCCAAAAGCCAAAAAAGAACCAGAAACCAGCCACTTCAGGTTCAAAGGAACAAGTCGCAACAATGATTCCACTAGTTTCAATTAATAACAGCAAAGCTAACAGAACAGCTAACAACAAGATCGATTCCAATAAAGATTTAAAGCAATCAGTTGAAAACAAAGAACGACAATTAGAATGGATAATGAACTACAAACAAATCCGAGCAGAATGGATACGACAAACCAAAGAGCAGAAGGCTCCAGAACAACTGAAAGAAATACTTAACAACCTAAGCAAGAAAGGTAAAAGACAGAAGAGATTCAGCCTCAGAAGGAGTGTTGAACAAGCAAGACGAGTTAGCACCGATACAAGGAAGGGACGCCAACCTTACGATTCGGGGGAAGAATCAATCGGCCAGGCATTTCTCGTACATCACCTCGAAAATACGAAAGACTCATCAGAAGAATGCAGTAAAGACGCCGATTCAGAAGAAATTGACGCAGAAGACTTTGGTATAGAAGATACTCGAGCAAAATCCCCATTGGAAGAGTCGCTTTATACTCAACCAACGTTGCAGGACGATGGGCCAACGACGATAACTCATGAGGACCTGTACCGAGAATCAGACGAAAACCCTGTTGAGGAAAAACCAAAAGAAGCATGGGACGATGCTACTTGGCCTCAAGAGAATGACCGGTGTAGTTGCACGTCGGCAAACGCAACTTGCTGGGAGAGGTCTCAAAAGAAATGGAAAGATCACATCGAAGAATGCAAACACTGTAAAGAATGGACATATCATGTGTGCCAACGACATGGACGAATGCATGCACCCCTAGCGAACATGTACGAACATATATCGCACGAGCGAGGACGACGCTTTTGCAATGGAATGACTGGACATGTGAGGAATTGCTCTTGTCATCACTATCCAGCACTAGGAGGAAATTTGCATTGGGAAGTACATTGGACAATGTGTTACGACTCATCATGTGAAATGCATCTTGCAGAAAAAGAACAAAAGGGATGGTTTCCAAGAATCCCAGAAGTGATTGAAGAATCAAGACTCGAATGTCCACAGGAATGGATAGAATATCAGTGTGTCTATCAAGAACCCGCACACCCCTATCACGACAACATCACAATCACCGAATGCAAGGCAGAAGGACCGCACGAACAGCATTACCATAGTGTCGAAGAATATTTCAAATATCAACAAAGATACCAGGAAAGGCACATAATCACAACCAAATTTATTGCAACAACTACAAAACAAAAAGCAATCAGTCAAACAGTGATGATACTGGCAAAGATCAATAGAAAAGATGCAAGAATCTTATTAGATTCAGGAGCAGCCTACAATTATATTAGAAAAGAATTTATAAAAAAAGCAGGACTATCCACAACCCAGACTGACAAATAGGCAACAATCATCTCTATTAGTAGAGAAACAATCAGTCAAGGCTACAAGAGACAGGCATCGAATATTGTTGTGAAATCAGGACAATACACCACAACAGTTACGCTCGACATCACACCAGTATCAAAAGAATATTATGACGCTATATTCAGAATGGCATGATTACAAACGCAAAATCCGATAATCGACTGGACAAAAGGAATAGTGATCATTGATAAGACAAAGCTGAATACACA